CCTCTGTCTCATATAACATGTTCTTTGTGAAATTAGTTCTGCCACGTACAGACTTTTCCTCTTTTTACCTGTCTAGTTAAGACCAGTGATGGAATGAGGAGTTCATCTCAGTAATCAATGCCTGCTTAAAAGGAAAGGTTCTAAAGTTGGTCTGTCCTCTTAAGAGGCCATTCCTGCTATCTTTTTTCTAATTTTGTTTTGAGGATGGGTATTGAAAAAGTGGTGAATGACAATTACTAAAGCTCCCTAAGACATTCAACAAGATCTGTGGAAACTGGATTCAGACCTAGACATAGTACAGACATTGCATTTGTTGTTCTCATGGATGCCTTGTGAGAAAACCTTAATGGATAAAAAGTTCTTCATTGCTATGCCATCAAGTAGTCCAGTTGATGGTTGCAGGGACAATATTTTAGACCCTTGGATGCATTGGTTATGCATCAGTCATGTGTTCCTAGATTTCTACTATCTTGTTAATATCTTCAGGAACCAAATGGAAAAGTTATTCCATTGTTTTGGAGTGGAGTGTTGGAAACATACAGATAATAATCCATTGTGAAGCTTCACTCAGATCCAGTGGAAGATATGGTTGAAAACATGGATGAAATTATGATCAGGTGTTTCATCAGTGTCAAATTCTGGATGGAAATAAACAAGCTCAGACTCCACCCATAATACAGAGTGAAGAGGTGATTCAGGAAATGACTGATTCCAAAGCAATTTCATTTTTTATAATTAATGAGGTTGTGCTAACCCAGATAGAATATACTTGCAAAGTGCATTTAGGGAGCAGATCATTTGCATAAATAAAAGCAATTCTTGTATAGGCCTTAAAATTTCAAATATTCCAAATATAATTCTTGGTACTTTTATAAAAGTGAAACAACAGAACAAAACAACAACAAAAATTGACTAAAAATTGATTGGCAAGAATGTTGCCCGGCATGCCATCAACATGTTGGAAATGCAACCACCACAAAGGCACCTATTACCATATGTGGTGAACCTGCCCAATGGCGAAACAATATTGGCAAAGGATCAAAATACAAATAGAGGAAATAACACACCAAAAGATAGAACTAAGACCAGAAAGCTTCTTATTAGGCATAGTGAATGGATACTATGAAAAAGAAACAACCTATTTAATTATACATATGATAACAGCAGCACGAATACTATACGCGCAACACTGGAAGAGTAGTGATATACCAACACCAGATAAAGTAATCAATAAAATTATGGAATGTGCGGAATTAGATAGACTCACAAAGGAATTACAAAATAGGGAAGAACATGACTTTTACTTAATATGGGAAAAGTGGTATAGTTGGTTGAAAGATAGGAAAGAGATGAAGCAATAGGAAGTAAATAAAATGACCAAATATAATATGATGGAAACAAAGAACAGACATAGGTTAACAAAGATCAATATTAGATAGATAAAAGGGAATGACCAAATAAGGAAGAGTCAAAATACAAAGAGAAATGTATATTATAGTTGCGACAAACTGGACATGTATTGAAATTGATGTTTATATGTTTTTATGTTTTGTACGTTTCATTGTTCTGTTTAGTTTATACTTATAAATAAATAAATAAAAAAAATTGACTAAAGATGAGAGAATGGACACCAGAACAAAAATTAATTTAAAAAAGAAAAGAAATTTGAAATTTATGTATAAATATGACCCACAGAGGATTCATTATTGCAGACTGTTATTTCCCCACACTATAAGCTGTACATAAACTGAAAGATAGGTATAGTGAATGTTTGTATAGTTTATATGGAAACACTCATGAAACATTGCAATAGAGAGAATAATTCTGGCATTTTGCTGTTTGATACTCTTAGATTTACACAAAGCTTTACATTCAGGTTAATAAACATGCTATTGTATAATCAACCCTACAGTTTTATTGCCTGAATGTACAATGTAGCAAAGGGATGTCAAACTGGATTTTTTTGCCCTTGTAGGGTTGGGGTGGGCGTGGCCTGTGTGGGCCGGATCCGACCTGCAGGTCGCATGTTTGACATGTCTGATCTAGCAGCATAGTTATAAGCTGCCTAGAGTAGCCCCACAGAGAAATAGGTAGCAAATAAATGTAACAAATAAATAAATAAAATAAAACAGAGCCGACTTGTTTCCATAATACATCTGGCAGGAATGGGCTTTGGAATAGAACTCTAGACTCCTAAAATAGCAATAGCACTTAGACTTATATACCACATCATAGTGCTTTACAGTCCTCTCTAAGTGGTTTACAGAGTCAGCATATTGTCCCCAACAACCTGGGTCCTCATTTTACCAGCCTTGGAACGATGGAAGACTGAGTCAACCTTGAGCAGGAGAGAATCAAACTTCTGGCAGTATAGAGTTAGCCTGCAGTTCTGAATTCTAACCACTGTACCACCACAGCTCTCTATGCTGCCAGAAAAGACAGGAATATCATATGATGGGATAAACTTATGATCAGAAATGTATCATTGATTCCTACTTCACAGATATAAAATAGATTGCTGGCTGTTGCTGTATATATCATCCTTTGATTTTTTAAAAAATAAGCAAGCAAAACGCATATATACTTAGGCTTTGTTTACTTTTAACATCTTGATTAGAAAGCCATAGGAAAGTGGATTTATCTAAATGATTTACCTGTGTAAATTTTTAAAATAAAAAACAAAAAGCAGCGACGCCAGCATATAAAGCAAGGGCAAGATTGCAGAATCATTGTTTCATAGTAATTACTATGTAGTAAGTAACTGCTTACTACATAGCAGTAAGTAACTGCTTAATGAATTTAGTAATGTCAGTATAGACATATTTTCTAATATCTCTTGTTTGACAAGAACATTGCTATAGAATTTATTCTTTGTAGTAATTTCTGAACTTTTATATGACTATTAGCTTACATCCATTAAATTTTTTGGTTCTAATCTGCAGTGCATTCTCTTTGCTGTGCTACCTTTAAAATTGTATTTAAATATTACTAGAATATGATGTGAAAGTATTTTCTTTTTCCTAGCTTTCTTATTGCTTGATAATCAGCAACAAAACTCTTCAAACAACAATAATGTCTGATAACAGGGCTGTAGTAAAAAACCTCATGCCTGGAGTTGAATACATTTTTCAAGTAAAGACAATAAGAGGACAAGCTGTCAGCATTCCTGCGAAGATAAAAATTACTACAAGTAATTGTCTGATACATTATTTTAATTTTATGTTAACAAATTATTTCTGTTTTACATTAACTGTTATTAGTTTTATGCTGGTCTACGACTGAAATTACAATTAAAATTTTATAAATATATATGTATGTATTTCATATATAATACTTCAATCATAGACCACATAAAATACATACCACTACCAGTAGTCACTCCAAAACAGAAATAGCAATAGCACTTAGACTTATATACTGCTTCATAATGCTTTACAGCCCTCTCTAAGCAGTTTACAGAGTCAGCATATTACCCCCAACAATCTGGGTCCTCATTTTACCCACCTTGGAAGGATGGAAGGCTGAGTCAACCTTGAGCCTGGTGAGATTCGATCTGCCAAACTGCTGGCAGCTGGTGATCAGCAGAAGTACTAACCACTGGGCCGCAGAAATAAAATGATTTTACTAGAATTTACTTTCATTTATAATTTTACCAGAATTATAATAGTTTAGCTAAAAAGGGCTGCATTCCTGAGCCATATTATTTTACAGAGTTGAACAATTTATGATTAAGCCCACTATACATATGTATTACCATGTTAGAAATTGCAATCCTATACCAAAGTTTCTCAAGAAACTTGGATTATGTGCCTCCCTCCCCAAATGGATAAAAAGGCTGAGAGTTGGTGTTGAGAAGCTAGTAGATTTCATGGGAGCCTGCATATTTAAAGCAGATACCTTTGTGTGAAGGACATGTTTTATAACCCTGGAAATTTATTGGTATTTATTTATTGGTTCGATTTATATGCCGCCCTTCTCCAGAGACTCAGGGTGGCTTACAATGTGTTAAGCAATAGCCTTCATACTTTTGTATATACCTGCTTAGTAGGGCTTTCGGGGCCCCCAAGCGGTGTTCTTTTTATACAAAGTCAGCTTATTACCTCCATAATCCGGGTCCTCATTTTACCTACCTCGGAAGGATGGAAGGCTAAGTCAACCTTGAGCCTGGTGTGATTTGAACTTGCAGTAATTGCAGGCAGCTGGCAGCTAAGTACTACTTAACAGCACTTTAGTCCGCTGCACCACCAAGGCTCTTGGAAATGGTGTTTAGTCTGCTGAATAGCAATGGCCATTCAGTTGACTGAGACCATCGAAAGCAAGCAGAAGGGGCGGAATTTTAGGCATTTTGTTATGTTGGACTTGTGGGGACTGCAAACTATCTTCTTAGGATTGCACATAACATGGTCGACTTGCTGCTTCAAATGCCTTGAGGGATGGCATAATTCCCAAAAATAAGAGCTGGAAAGAGGTTAACATAGTGCGTCTTTGTCTGTACTGGCAAATGTAACCAGACAATATCCAGAAATAATACAAAGATAAAATACATATTTTGATCACACATACTAAACCAAAAGTAAGCTAAGTTTTTTTTTCCTGTACATACACACACACACACACACACACACACACACACACACACACACACACCAGGCAATACATGGAGTGCAAAAACTACTTTTTGCTAAATTGCAAAATCTTAATTGCAGAGAAGAAATTAAGATTGACTCCAAATAGTGACCAATTATTTTGTCCAATGACATTTTTAAAAAACGGCTGAGAAACAAGAATGATATCAGCCTTCTACGTTCATTGCATTGGAATTGTCATCTGACAATAATTAACTATTATCAGATTGCATTTGAAAGAGTTAATTTCATTCTCACAGCAATGTCAAAGTGTTGTAAGAAAGTTTCTAGTTGTTTTACTCAAGAGAAATGTATTTATTCAATATTTGGTTGCTTTTCCACATATATTGCCTCTTTTTTCCCAATTTTGTTCAGAACCAATGAAGATATGTGGTCTAACCTTAACACTGAGAAATACAACCTCTGCTAAATTAACATGGAATCCAAGTGAGACTGACTTCAGCCATTACAAAGCATCTGTATCAAACAAGACATTCACAAAGGAATATGCTATTTTCGATCCTGAGACTCATCACACCATTACAAATCTGACTCCTGGTAGCATTTATAACTTCACTTTGCAGAGAGTAAAAGGCAGTGTTGAAAGTGCAGTTTCCTTTACAGAATTTGTGACAGGTTTGTGAATTTCTATGTTGGGAATTGTTGACAAATATGCTACTAGAATCAGTTTCAAAACATCTTACACTAGGGTTTTGTGGAAAAGTATAAATTGTTTTATCATTTGATGGACTAAGAAAATAGACAACTATCTTGGAAATGGTGCAAATGCTAAAAAGATTGTTTGGCAAATAATTATGTAATGATGTGCCTTCTTGCATGAAATAGCAATAGCATATACCGCTTTACAGTGCTTTTCAGCCCTCTCTAAGCGGTTTACAGAATCGGCATATTGCCCCCAACAATTTTGATCCTCATATTACCCACCTCAGAAGGATAGAAGGCTGAGTCAACCATGAGCCTGATGAGATTTGAACTGCCAAATTGCAGGCAGTCAGCAGAAGTAGCTTGCAGTACCGCAGTCTAGCCAGTGTCACTGCGGCTCATAATACTTCTGTGGAAAGTTGCAAAATTGTAAATAGAGGGACTAAAAGAGAAGCACATTTTAGGAATAAGATTACACAAGTACAAGAAGAGATATCTCAAGTTCAAAATCATTCATGATTTGTTTTCCATTGACCAGGTTCTAATCTTGATTTAAGAATGAGTACTGTGAATATTTTCTACTGTAACAGTTATTCTCCTGCAAAATGGTATGTTTTGATAATAAAAATAGGGATTAAATTATTTATAATATTTACTTAATATGTTCCATTTATGAACAGATAATGGGAATTTAAGAGAATTGGTTTGGCATAGTAGTTAAGCATCAGACTACTGGAAGATCATGAGTTCTAATCTGGTTATGGTAAACGTATGATACGTGTGTCACAGGTTGTCCTGCAATGTCATTTTTGATTGCATGCCAGTAGCCCCTTTTTTGCTCAATTTTGAGGCTGCAGAGGTTGCATGCGAATGTGGTGTGCTGTTATACAGCCCCTGGAGCCTCTGGAAGTCACATGAGAAGGCCGTGCTCTTACTCTGCCTCTAGAGCAGGGGTGTCAAACTCATGTTGTCACGTTATCATGTGACGTATTGTGACTTTTCCCCCCTTTGCTAAACCAGGGTGGGAATGGCCAGTGCATGATGCATCTGGCCCACAGGCCACAAGTTTGACATCCCTGCTCTAGAGCCTCTGAAAATTACAAAAGAACGGAACCTGTTCTTGCATGATTTTCAGAGGCGCGACAGGCCATGCAAGAGTATTTCTCTCTTATGCAACTTTCAGAAGGTCTATGGGTGAGTCCTACAAGAGCATTCATATTCTTTTTTTTTAATTTAAAAGTTTTAGAGAATTTTACAAATATTTTCCCATCCCACATCCCACCTCCCTCCCCAACCCTGCCCTCCCCCGACTTCCCAGAGCAAAATACAGGGTATAGCATTCAACAAACATATACTAACATAAACTAACCATCTATAGACTCTTATCTTCCTTTTGTGCTTTAACTCCCCTTTTACTTGGCTAAATATAAGTACTTTTCTATTTGAAACTTTTTAGTCCGATATTTGTTTTGAATATAGTGAATCCATCTTCTCCATTCCAAAATATATCTTTCATTTGAATAGTCCTTCAAATATGCTGAAATTTTGGCCATCTCTGCTAAATTTGCTACTTTTAGTGTTCATTCTTCAATCGTAGGCAAATCTTCCTTCTTCCAATACTGCGCCACCAAAAGTCTTGCTGCAGTTATTAAATTTAAAATCAAATTAGTCTCTATAACCGTACAATCTGTAATTATACCCAGCAAAAACAGCTGTGGGGTAAACTTTATCTTCTTTAAGAGCATTCATATTCTTATGTGCAGGGAGAGATAATATGCCAGGAGAGTCAGGTTAAGCATTTTCTGAATTTTTGATACACTGAATCAAAAAGATTTGCCATCACTACTCTAGTCCCACCTTGGGCACAATGCCAGCTGGGTGACTTCTTCTTGATGACCACTTCCCTGTAACTTCAGGGATTTGTCCAAACAATTGCCTAGAGTCAAGACTAACTTAAAGGCAAATAGAAAAAAAAAGTTGGGATTTAAACATCTTAATAGTATATAGCAGTGACGGCTAACCTTTTTGGCACCAAGTGCCGGAGCACTGGAACCCAGAAGAGAGCAGCTGGTTAGTGCACATGCGTGCACTGGAACCCGGAAGAGAGCAGCTGGCTAGTACGCAGTGGACCAGTGTCCAGAACGCATGCACTCAATGGAACCCAGAATAGCAGCTGGCGATGGTGCACGTGCCCACAGAGAGGGCTTTGCATGCCACCTCTGGCACACGTGCCATAGGTTCACCATCATGGGTATATAGCTTATGACATATTGATGCATGCAAAGATCTATGTACTGGAGCTAATTTATTTAGAACTTAATGTTTTGATAATAATCTTTCTTAATGGAAAGATCAATGTATATATATATTTTATTTTAAGACCCTGAAAAGCCACAGAAACTGACAGTTTTCAATGTGTCCTCACATTCCTTTTCTTTGCACTGGAGGCTGCCGAATGGATATGTAGAACAGTTTCATGTGCAGCTTGCACCTCCTCATGGCTTTGTTTCTCTCCAAGATATGGGAGGTGGAGAGTATCAGGTATGTGAGGGCTTTTGTTTATAGTGTTGTAATTCAAATTTGTTTATAAGCTGCACAAACAGCACAATTGGCATAGCGTGACATTCTATCTTGTGGCTTTTAAGCTGGGTTGGGAATGCGAAAGTACATGTACCAAATTTATGAGAGCAGATTTCAACATCTATTCTTTGTTGCCTTAACAACAGTCATGATACTTTTACAAAGTCTACCTTAGACCTCTAGCTAGTCATTTAAGTGTTCATGAATATTTTAACAAAGGCAGGGCTGAGCTATTGAGTAATACAAGTTCATTAATTGTGTACTTGCCAGGGAGATCTAGACTTAAATCATTAATGCAGGCAACATTTCTCTCATAAGCCATCACAAAGTTTTAAGAGCACTGTTTGATTGCAGTATTTGGATATATATATAAATGCATACATACATACAAACCATGATTTTTCATGTTTTCTTGCTTCTGTTTTTTATTGGACCTACAAAGGCACAGGTATTTCATATGAATGTTGAGTGTTGATTAATGTAGATTATATTTCAATGACAATGATAGTATATTTCCTTAGGTCATCTCAGGATATCTCAGTTGATATGAACAGTCTAATTAGTTTTGTTACTTAAAACTGCAGAATCCTACAAATAAACAGGGCCATTAAAATGAACTATTAACTACTGCTTTTAAAACATTTTTGAATTGACAGCTTATACCTAAGAGTAATGTATGTTTTTTTTAAATGTTATGAATACTAGCTATGTGAATGTATTATTGATTTATTCAATGCTTTATTTGCTTTTGTTAAATTGAGAGATTTAAAGTTCTAAATCTTAATTTCACATTCTAGGCTGAAATTTCGAATACCACTCCTGGGACAATATATAATGTGACTGTTTCTTCGGTTTCCTCTTCAGTGTATAGTTTACCTGTCAGCAGAACAGTGACAACTAATGTAACTAGTGAGTTTATGGCAAAATTGCACTTGAGTGTTTTATCAAAATGTCTCAAAAATATGTATCTAATTTTCTGCTTTGCAAACTGAAATTGTTCACAGTGCTTGCTCTAAAGTAATTGAAAAAAGATTTATTTTAAAGAAGTAATTCCAGAGGTGCATAGTTGAAGAGAAAATTACCCTTTGAAAAATATCATGATTTAAAACACACTTGCCAAAATATGAGTATTCAAAAATGTCTTGGCAAACTCTTCCATACAATTTTAGGCAGAGAACCCAAATGCATACAGATGCTTTAATAATGAGCTTAAAAAAGTGAACTGGCATTAGAAGCTGTTTGTCTGTGAATATTACAGCATTCCATTAAAATTCTTAGAGAAAGAATGTACTTGATGTTCCAAAAGGCAATTTATTATCTTTCATGAAGTTTAAAAAAAGCCAATTTGCTGTTCTTTGATGCTTAAAAACTGGCAAACTCTGTCCTTATTCTCCAGTAGCTAAAGAATATCTAGGTTTAATGTAAAAATGTGTAATTTATACAGATCCAGGACCTCCTGTTTTCCTTGCCGGGGAAAAAGTTGGATCTGCAGGAATTCTCCTTTCGTGGAATACACCACATTTCCCAAACGGGAGAATTATATCCTACATAGTTAAATATAAAGAGGTTTGTCCGTGGATGCAAAATATTTACACCCAAGTTACAACAAAACCAGATAGTTTGGAAGTTCTACTAACCAACCTTAATCCTGGAACAACTTATGAAATTCAGGTAAATTTATATTTTACTATTTCTAAAATATAATTTATATATATGCCACATATTCAAATTATAATGAATGTAAATCTAACTGCAGGCACGTAATTTCACCTCAGTTTCACTTCAGTTGTGCTCTCTAATGGAAGGCTTTGCATTTAGTCATTTAATACAGTGAGAAAGTATGTTAATTTCCAGAACTGGTGGTGTTCTTATGGATTTTAATAAACTGCTCCTTCCCTTCCCTTCCCTCCCCTCCCCTCCCCTTCCTTTCTCTGTTTTTGTCCCAGTGCATTTTATTTGATAAGAATAATATATTTCTTATTCTACTGTACACATTTCTTATACATCTGTTCATTTTTTATATAATGCAAAAGTTTAAAAAGACAAGAGTAATAGCTTTCCTGAAAGTTCCAGTCTAACACAGTCTAACAAGATGCCAACTTTCAAAAGTCCGATAAGTTGTTCAAGACAAAGATAAAGATTAGTTTGAGAAGAATCTCATAATCAGGACAATTTCAGGATAGTTCGGGTGATATTTCAGTATATTCATATTGCAATTCTGCATCAAACGTCTCTATGTATAAAATGTACCAGATAAGTTATATTTAAGTGTAATTTGTTAAATACGTCATAACTGTTGAATATGTCATAACTGTTCAAGCAATATCTCAAATCGAGCAATTCCCATAATGACAATGTATGGATCCAGTGGTGCCTTTATCACACACATTTTAATTTCATTGAGAAAAAAAGGAATCATTCATACCATGCATATCACTTAGTAAAGAACATGTGGAGAACATTCAAATGATTTCCATCTTCTGTTTTTATTGGGTACTTTTTCCTCACAGAAGCATACATTAATTTGATAGTTTGCATGAAAATTGTTTGTTTGTTTCACTTAAAATGCAATCATAGTTCTCACTGATTTTGTCCTCTTGCAGGTTGCTGCTGAAAATAGTGCTGGCATTGGAATATTTAGTGAGCCATTTCTCTTTCAAACTGCAGAAAGTGGTAACTTGGTTTATGACATCTCTTAATAATTTTGTCAGGCTACATAATATGCTTGGACCTGAAGAGCCAAATTGTGCTGAATCACATGTTATTAGGAGAACATTATTTTTGTTTTCAAATTAAATGTTAAGTTTCTTACATATACAATATGTGGATAGAAACTTATGTTACATAAATTCAGTCAAATACACTTAAAGGTCAATCTTTTTCATTTATACACTGTTGAAAACTTAATACAATTTAATAATACAATGCTAAATTTATCTTCAGATTTAAGCTTATTCTGTAAACTTAGATTTTGTTATTTGTTGACATTCAGTATGACAGATTCACTGAAATGACAAACTTTCAACAAATATCCTGAAGAAATTGCATAAAATTTTGACAATTTAACAGCTGATTTAAAAAAACTCACAAATATTTTATTCATATTTAAGCAAATATATCCAAATATATACCATTGTTTACATTCAAATAGTTTTATATAGTCAATGATGTCCTTTGATATCTTTTCAATTCTAATTCTAAAATATATAATAATTATATATTTCATAGTTTGCTGTAGATAAAATTTTCGCAGAACCTGAAAATCTTGTTCTGTCCAGGGACTAAGGAAATCTGTCATTTATGTTTGGCATCCTAGAATACAACAGTGTATGAGCTCAATTTGCTCTTCCTGTAATGCAGCAGTAGTAACAGAATACTGTTTTTAATAGAGTCTATTTAAAATAAGTCAAATACATTCTTTCTTTTTTATTTTGCTGCTCCTTTCCAAGCACCTGGTAAAGTGGTAAATCTCACAGTTGAAGCTTTCAACCACTCAGCTGTAAATCTGATTTGGTTCTTGCCACAACAGCCAAATGGAAAAATAACTAGTTTCAAAATTAGTGTAAAGCACGCAAGAAGTGGAATAATAGTGAAGGATGTCTCTGTTAAAGTGGAAGATCTTTTGTCTGGCAGGTTACCAGAATGCAATGTGAGTATGTAAAACATGCTAGTTATAGATAAAAATAAAAGTTGATTCTTCAGGACTGCCCATGTTTCAGTTCAAAATTCACAGTAAAAAAAAATCAGAGTGATGGTTGCAAAGTATAAGAGATCCTAAGAGCAAAACTGATGGGAGATCTCTAAAGCATGAATGGAAGAATAAAATAACTTACTTTATTGTCCTTTTAATTACAGGCAAACATTTTATTTCTTTGGTATTTTAGATTGAATTTTAATGTTTTTTATTTGAATTGTTTTCTTTTTAAATTCTTCTTTTAGGTTTTTGGTTTGGATTTTCTTTCTTGTTTTGCTTTTAGCTTTTTTATCCTTTTTATGTTTACATTTTGATTGTTTTCTTGTAAACCATTTCAAAGTTATAAATAAATGAAAATATTGTCATCTTAGTCATCAATTAATATTGATTGCATTTGATAGAGTAAGTGAAATTATAGTATCCACCTATAAAGTCTGATCCAGATTTCAGATGATCTGGAATGCAGCATTTTTAAAAATTCGAATTTTCCTTGTAGCAAAAACATACTATTTCAAAGTGCCTCCTTGAATTTGTATACATCAATGGCAAAATCTTATGCTCATCAAATTTAGATGGTAAAATCCAAAAGGTCAGTTTCTCTATTTCAACAGTTATGAAAACAAAGGCATTTTAATTTGTCACATATGAATACCACTCTTGAAGGTGCATATGTCCTGTTTTGTTTAACTTTAAAGCATTCTACAGAAAAGCTTAATCCAATAATAATAATAATAATAATAATAATGATGATGATGATGATGATGATGATGATGATGATGATGTATTCAACACTGATGTATTTTGGTTCTCATAAGCATGTGCAATTCCAAATAGTAAATTAATATATAGATAAAGTACTTCACAATGTGAGCTGCATAATTTGACAGACATTTATATAACAACATATTTTTTGAAATAATCAAATAAGAAAATATGTGCATTGACCAATTGTTTGGCATTATCAAGTTAAGTTTATCCTATAGTTTTTGAATTTTTATCCATCTGCATCAGTGTCTAGTGCATTTTTACAATATGTATACATTGAAAAACTTTTTCAACATTGGCATACTAAAAACATGAAAACAGTTTTTACTCCTATGTTTCATTGGAATAAAATAAATCTGAAAAGCAATTTACAAATGCTTACAATTCTAAAATTTTAAAACAATTAAAATATCAAAACAATAAAAATAGCCACAAAAGTAATTGTTTTTATTTCAATGTTTGTCTTTACAGGATAACAGTGAATCATTTTTATGGAGTACTACCACTCCTTCAACTACGTCTAGTAAAACAACTACGTTTACCTCAAGTACAATTGCTCCCAAGGCAATGAGTTCAGTCTGGAATGAACCTGTCAGTTTTGTCGTGACTAATCTTAGGCCATACACAACTTATCTTTTTGAAGTTTCAGCAGTAACCACTGAAGCAGGTTATATCGACAGTGCAATTGTCAGGACACCAGAATCAGGTACATATTCTTCAGCTAACAAAGTTAAGAAGGGAAATCAATATGGACAGCATTTGCAACTGGCAAATCTTGAATGAATATATTTCAGAATTTATTGTAGGACAATTTATCTTCCAGAAATATATTTTTGGGTTTATTGCTTTCTGTCCTTATATAAGGAATGGATCAAGTTTTATTCTTCTGTTGTCCCTGGGATTTAAGAGAATAAAGGATCTGTCCTACAGACAAATGCAGGAAAGAGAAGGTATGGCTGTCAGTGAGAAATCTGAATGAAAATTGTAGTTGGTTCAGTGTAGGTATTTGCATTTTATTTAATCATATAAGACACATGTGGTGAATCATTTGAAGCACATTAAAATAAAAAAACCTTTTTTGCAATAAAAATTTAATTATATTGAAGTTTTTAAAACTGCATGATATACATTATTGTATAGACCAATGAGTAGATATCTTATCTCCCTCTGAGTCTTTACAGGCAATTTCTCAAGCTCATACATGAAAGGGAAAGGGACATATGAAGTACAAATTAGTATTTGAAATTATCAATGTCCAAAACTAATCAATTAAAGGGAGTTGTAGCAGCATATTTTTCCATGCTGCTTATTATACTTTGATTGAGACAAACAATGGAGAGAAAAGTAATTTGTAATGAGAAAAGTGTAACAGTATTCCATCTTAATTTCAGATCCAATTTCAAATCCAATCTGATTAGGATTTGAATTGTGGTACATTTCCCTAATCTCCACTGTCTTTTCAGTTCATATTGCCCATATTTTCAGAAAGATCCATTTCTTTAAAACAGACGGAAAGATATGCTTTACAATGCTACTAAAACACACATTTTTGTCTAGTTCAGGGGTGACAAACTGGTGGCCGCGTGTCAGATACATCATGTGCAGGCCAAGCCCACCCCAGCTCCACAAAGGCAAAACACATGATACATCACATGATGTCACCTGACACGATTGAGTTTGACACCTGTGCTCTAGTTTAAGCTTAATATTGGCTTAGTTTCCATAATTGAAAAAAGAAATAATGAAATCCTTCATAAATATGGGACAACTCAGCATACTTTTATAACGAGGTAACCAATTTTACTTTCCATCTATTCAAGTCAAAATGCTTGGTAACCCAATCACAAATAAAAATACAGCAACTGTATGTTAAATAAGTGAGTGCTTGCCATTTTTATATCCAGCTACTTCACTAAAGATAGCACTGGACTTGCAAATTAGTTGATAATGTTCCTTAGGTAAGTTCAGTGGTGGGTTTCAAATTTGTTTTACTTCCGGTGCTGTGGGTGTGGCTTGGTGGGTGGGACATGGCTTGGTGGGCATGGCTTGGTGGGCATGGCAGGGGAAGGATACTGTAAAATCTCTATTCCCTCCCCAATCCAGGGGAAAGATACTGCAAAATCCCCATTTCCTTCTGATCAGCTGGGACTTGGGAAGCAGAGAATAGATGGGGGTAGGGCCAGTCAGAATTTTTACTACCGGTTCTCCGAACTACTCAAAAGTTCCACTACCGGTTCTCCAGAACTGGTCAGAACCTCCTGAAACCCACCTCTGGGTAAGATGTATTTCTTGATAGAACTGCTGGACTTAATTCTCCATTTCAAGGGTAACTGTTTTTATAACAATATAGTTGATGCCCTTATATTTGGCAAGATTTATAAAGAATGATAAATAATCTTTAGAAAGCAGAGATCAGACTTTGCATGGACAAGATTTATTACTATCCACTAACAGCTGTTCTCATTTTGGCAGCTAGTAGAATACAAAATATTTCTCCTTTTTATGACCACCAGTGCCTTTGAATAATGTCATGTTTGACCTAATCTTCATTACAGTTCGAGCAGCTGAAGCATTTTGTCAGCTGTGTAGAAATAGCATTAGGTTAGGGATATCACTAACAAAGTTAAATGTTGAAGGAAATATTCAAGGCAGTTTAAATACATAACCAAGATTATTTTTAGAAAGTGATGTCTAAAGTTTGGCTTTCAGATTTTTTTGAGGCTTCTAATAATATATTTTATACTTAAACATATATTGGCCATTAAAAATAGGAAGATAATGTAATTTTGTCTGTCTTATTTCAACAGAGTGCCTAAAATTTGGCTTGAAGGCTTAAAGTTCATGAATTTGAGAAAAAATGTTAATATTAACAATGAAACATGGACATGCATACAAATTATGGACAAATCTACACAAGCTTTTTATTTAGAATGAAATAAAATTGTATGGCACTTGCCTCATTATTAAACATATTTGATTGATTTTTTTAAAAAAATCATGATGTGCTGTCAAGTCATTTTTGACTCTTAGTGACCACGTCGATAAATTTTTCTCCAAGACAAATAATAATTTATTAATTTGTATGCCGTCCAACTCCCAGCATCTCTAGGCAACTCACAACAAACAAATTACAATAAAATAAAAAAGACAGTGCAACAGATAGAAGGAAATGAATCCAAGAATGGGCACTCTGGGCAGATGGAAGAAGAATGCATGATCCAGCCCATTGCCTTTTTCAACTTACTGCCTCAGTAAAGTATTTTGCAAAAAAAAAAAAAGTCTCCTTTTCATACCCATAAAACCTCAGAAATTGCTTTCTTTATATCAATTCCTTAACTAGGTAAACAAAAACCTGCCATTTTATATGTTGGCATATTAGGAATGCTCCTTTTAATCTGAGTTCCACATATATTATCTCTCTTGATGTGGATTGGCCACTGCATTGATTTGCTAGTAGTTTTACTATCAGGATGATTTTAAAAAATAATTACGGTAGTGTAAAGAAAATTGGAGGGCACAATTCAGATTTTATGAAATAAACGCTCCAATATGTGTGGAATTTTGTTTTTTAAAAAAATTTAGTTCCAGAAGATCCTCCTCAGAATCTTGTCATGGGAAATGTTACAGGAAAATCCTTCTCAATTTCATGGGAGCCACCAAATATTGTTACTGGAAAGTTTACTTACAGAGTGGAATTATATGGGCAAACTGGTAAATCAGTTAATTTGATTTTGTATTATTGTATTCACATGTTTCATAATCTACTGTGTTTAGTCATTAATTGATTCATAAAACTAGTAGAGCTATACAGTTGTAACATTTCTTTATATAACATCATACTATTTCCTTTCGAAATAACTAACATTATCCAGAACTCAGACTAAGAAATAATGAGCAAAGGCAGAAAAGCAAACATACCTAAATTTACTTTATACCAACACCATTACCCCTTCATATCTTTCTAACCTTGCTAACCAGATTTATGTCCACCATATCATTTGTTCTTTAAACTTATGATTTTTTTCAGGATTTCATTAACTCCATCCAACCATTATCTTCTGCATTTTCATCTTCCTCTTGGTGTATTCCTTCCTTCCTTCCTTCCTTCCTTCCTTCCTTCCTTCCTTCCTTCCTTCCCCCTCCCTCCTCCCTCCCTCCCTCCCTCCCTTCTTTTCCTTCCTTCCTTCCTTCCTTCCTTCCTTCCTTCCTTCCTTCCTTCCTCATTTTTAACTCATAGTTTAAGGCAGGGCTGTCAAACTTCTGGCCCGCAGGCCAGATGCGTCACGCATTGGCCACACCCACACCCAGTTTAGTGAAGGGGAAAAAAGTCCTGATACATCATGTGATGCCACCGTGACGACGTGAATTTGACACCTCTGGTTTAAGGCAACAAAAATGGCTCCCTCAAAAATTTAACATCTGTAGATTCCATGTGATCCTCAGGTCTAGTCACATAACCAGGTTTTATGAGCCTTTTGGAATATCAAAAGGTGAGGAAGTGAGGAAAGATGATACCTCAAACAGCCTGGTCCCATGCCATGAAGGGCTTATTGTTTTAATCTTACAGGCCATGATAATCACCAGATGAGTCATAAGTATATGCTACCCATTGTTATTTTGATCAATCAATGTGCTCACCTAACATTTTTAATAAGGTAGAGAAACTGTAAATTTACTGTCTTTAATCTATTTGATTTAATATATGCAGCAATGCCCTGTTAACTGAAAGGGTAGTACTGATCCATTTTGCCAGTATACCAAAATTTCAGGTAAAACCCAGATTTACCCTAAACTTGCTTACTCTAGTCAGATCTTTAATCTAATAATTAACCTGCAAGCCAACATAGTATTGTCAGTTAAATTATATGCATAATTATATGTATACTGACATAATTAAGTATGTAGTAACATTTAATTGAGTATTAAATACCTGGAAGTATAGGCATTTTCCAAAACCTGGATTAAACCAGGGGTGAAATGTAAAATTTGTTACTACCGGTTCTGTGGGCGTGGTTTGATGGGTGGGTGGGGTAATGTGACTGGGTGGGCGTGGCCAACTTTTTTTTTTTAACTTTTCAAAGCATTTTTTCTAATGCTTTGAAAAGCATCTGCCTATCAGGCAACTCAGCTGGGATCATCAGAGGCTTTTTAACACATTTTTTTTACCACCTCTTCGACTAAGAGGTTGCAGAAAAAAATGCTTTGAAAAGCCTCTGACAATCCCAGCTGAGCCGCGCGATCATCAGAGGCTTTTTTTTTTACTTTTAAAAGCATTTTTTCGTCGGAAGAGGTTGTAGAAAAAATGCTTTTAAAAGTAAAAAAAAAAACCTCTAATGATCATGCGGCTCAGCTGGGCATGGTGGGAGGGGGGGCACAGGGATTTTTGCTACCGGTTCTCCGAATCACCCACCGCCATCGCTACGAGATCGGGCGATCTGGTCCGAACCGGGAGCATTTCACCCCTGGATTAAACTAATAGGATATACCTGTACTGTTATTGTCTTTTACCTTTTTACCAAGTGTCATAAAAATATTCATTAACATGAAGTTGACATACCTGATCAGTTTATAATACTTGCTTGTTTCAGTTTTCTTTAACATAATCAGGAACAAAATTCTTTTAAAATAATTTCAAAGAGCTTAACTGTCTGGTATTTTGTTTTAAATGATTATTTCAGTTCGTATTTTGGAGAACAACACAAAAGATCTCAAATTTACATTTAATAATCTGATACCATTTACATTATATGATGTGTTTGTTGCTGCTGAAACAAGTGCTGGAGTGGGCCCAAAGTCTAATATAACAGTTTTCACACCTGCAGGAGGTAAGCTGTATATGTCATAAATATATATATAATTTTAATATATTGTATTCATATTTTAATATGGACAGATAGTGTTGGCAAATGCAGCCCATGGAAGATGTGGGTGTGTATTTGTGTGCAGTTCTAAATGTTGAGTAACACTGAACTGATTGCTTGCTTCCAAGAACAATGGAATAAATGATAGCGGTATAAATAAAAATGAGTCTTCCATTAGTTTCATGGCATTCTTTAGCCATTAAATAGTGTGAAAAATTCAGCAGGTTCTCTGACAATATTGTGAAGAGTATATTATTGTTGTTATTGTTGTTGAAAGATGAATTAAACACTTAGTTTTATTCGCTCCCAATTGTTAGGACAGCACAACTATTTGGCCACTAGATGGCAGTAAGTGATTACAAGAAAAGTTTGTTTAGTAAAGAAGCTGATTATGTTACAGATTCTTTTAACTGAAATCAGTTCAATTTTCGCATGATGCATTAATGTGTGCAGTTTTCATTTCAAAAGCAAGATGTGTATTAATTGTTTCTAGGCTGTTCTTTCCATACACTTTCCCCAACTCCAGTTCTTTTACAATAAATGGAAAGTAATCATGAAGATAGTCTCTGCTACCCAACCTCCAGAGCAGGGGTCTCCAACCTTGGCAACTTTAAGACTTGTGGACTTTAACTCCCAGAGCTCCTCAGCGAGCAAAGCAAAGCTCCAGAGCATATATCTCAATTACAAAATTGTACCTACAGGTGCACAGCTAGAGTGCACTCAAGAGCAGTTCTCACTAGGGAGAGGGCTCTAGGGAGATGTGGCATTTCACTCAATATCCCTTGGGCAGAATGGGTTGTTATGGGAGAATGAATGAGGTCAACTGATTGGAAGTTCATCAGTCCTAACTAGATTTTTTTAAAAAAAAGAAAGAATAATGGGAACAGTAATCAGTATATTTGCAACACTGGAAGCTAAGCTTGGAGAATGTCAGCACTGTAGGCTAGAAGACAATAACTAATTCCTATAGTGTTCTTGACAACACTACAGACATTTGCCGTATCCATCAGAATTATGTAACTTCAAATAAATGTTACTTTTTTAGATAGAATTAATTTTAAGTTTAATCTTAAAATCCGGCCCTCTCAATTCCTGGCAAATAGATGGGGAAGAAATGGAGGTAGTGACAGTTTTTATTTTCCTGGGCTCCAAAATCACCACAGATGGGGACTGCAGCCAAGAAATTAAAAGACGCTTGTTCCTGAGGAGGAAAGCTACGGCAAATCTAGATAACTTACTAAAAAGCAAAGACATCACCCTCCCAACAAAAGTGCGTATAGTCAAGACTATGGTTTTCCCAGTTGCAATGTATGCAGTGGTGAAATGTAAAATTTGTTACTACCAGTTCTGTGGGCATGGCTTGATGGGGGAAGGGGGGGTAATGTGATTGAATGGGCGTGGCCAACTCTTTTTGAAAAAAACTTTTAAAACCATTTTTTCTACAAGCTCTTAGCTGAAGAGGTTGTTTAAAAATGCTTTTAAAAGCCTCTGATGATCAGGCAACTCAGCTGGGATTGTCAGACCCTTTTAAAAGCATTTTTTCTACAACCTCTTTGAGATTGTAAAAAAAATGCTTTTAAAAGCCTCTGACGATCCCAGCTGAATTGCCTCATGATCAGAGCCTTTGGTGCCGGAGAAGACTCCTGCGAGTCCCTTGGACTGCAAGGCGATCAAACCGATCAGTCCTAAAGGAGATCAACCCTGACTGCTCTTTAGAAGGCCAGATCCTGAAGATGAAACTCAAATACTTTGGCCACCTAATGAGGAGGAAGAACTCACTGGAGAAGAGCCTAATGCTGAGAAAGATTGAGGGCAAAAGTAGAAGAGGACGACAGAGAACCAGGTGGCTGGATGGAGTCACTGAAGCAGTAGGTGTGAGCTTAAATGGACTCCAGAGGATGCTAGAGGACAGGAAGGCCTGGAGGAATGTTGTCCATGGGGTCACAATGGGTCGGACATGATTTCATAACTAACAACAACAATTTTAAGATTAAACATTTTCTAATGCTTGCTGTTCTGTAATTTTACTATATACATTACATTTCAGTTCCAGGACCTGTATTTGATTTGCATGTAGTAGAGGAAGCAGCAAGCTTTATAAGAATTGCTTGGAAAAAACCACAGCAACCAAATGGAGTCATCACTCAGTACCGAGTAAAAGTTTTCCATGAGGAAACAGAGGAGATCTTTGAAGATACAATTCTGACAGAAAAAATCAAGGTACTTTAATCCCAATTCATGCTTACCTACATTTAATATTTTCACATTATTCCTTTGTCTACATTCCTATCGCTAAGGTTAAAAAAATGGAAAGTTAATTCTTTCTTCTCTTTCTATGTTAGCATTTTACTGAATCTGGGGATCCAGATATGATAGAAGAATATGCATTATCTTCCTCACTGAATAAAATAAAAACAGTGACCAGTTTATATGAAGGTTCAGCTGAAATGTTCCCAAGAGTACATGAATTTTCTTCAGTAAAATATACTAGTATTCCTGTTGATAATTTCCTAACTTTAAATTATGATGCAGAACTATATTTAAATTCTGGTAAGTAGGAAAAAGCTGTTTTCTGTAGCTACTTCATTGTTCAGATCATGGCTATTACACAAAGTATCTTTAGCAAAGAGTTAAACCGTATTGTTAGTGGGCATTTGCTGATGTCACATTCTGCAAATGGGGAAATGCCACACAAGCAGAGCTTAGTAGCCCCTTGTCACCCAGTTGACCTCTCTCCCAGAGAAAGAAGATGCCAGACCCATTGCACAAGCTGCATAGACAATCAGTTATTACAGTTGCCAAAGCAGGTGTGATTGGAAGAGATTAACATATCTCCATGTCCCATGCAGACCTTTAATTTTTTTCCCCAACAGTTTTTGACTAATAGGCTTCTAAATGTCACTGAAGGTAAATAGGTCAAAAAGTTACAGCTCAGCAACGTGGGGCAACCAACAGGTGGAGATGACCCTTTGACACAGTGATGCCATTAGTATATTCACTTACACAGCATTATCAAATGAGCATTTTTGTGACTAAACACAGATATTTATGACCCATTAAATAAAGTTTGGCTGACAGATACAGGTTTAAAAATGTTCTGAAAATTTGAAAGGGAGCCATTAAATGTAACAGAAAGATAATGCTGGTGTTATTTTTATTACTTTGAATGTCAGTTGTAAATAAAATAGTAGTGGAAAGTTATTTCCACGATTCTTAGCTATTATTTTTGTCTTTCAGTGACTGTTCAAAAACATATTTTTCATTTCCAATATGCCAAGATTTCTTTTCTTTTTTGCACTGATGCAAACATGCTTCAGAAATCAAAGCAATCTATGTTTGTAAATCTAGTATGCAAGTTTATTTTTGAATAGCATCCATTGAATCCAGTACAATTTCTTCTTCATTAAACATGCATAGAAACAGCATTCCTGTTTCTTATTCTTTGCTGTGCAATGAATATCTTCGTGATGATCAATTTTGCAATTGTTTTGATAGTGACCATTTAATATAAACACACAAAAACTGCAATCTTATACCATTTTTGTAGAAATAATATCCTCCGGACTAGTCCTGAGTTAGAAATGCGTATGACTGATTTTAGTTTTTTAAAAATATAAAACATTTGATACCATCCATCTTTCAGTTGAGCAGCTGTCATATCGTGTAAATGCACTCCAGCCTTTCACTAAATATGCAATTGCTGTGTCTGCTTTTACCATCATTGGAGAAGGACCACCAGCTATTCTCATTTCTAAGACAAGTGAACAAGGTAATTTTTTTTATAACAGAAATATTATCATGTTGGCAGTATTTAATTTCTTTCAATTTTTTCTAAATTTAAATTTCTAAATGAATTATTCTTTTTTGTAGTTCCAAGTTCTGTGGAAAATATAGATTATAAAAATATTAGTTCATCTTCAATTTTGCTCTTTTGGGATAAACCATTAAATCCCAATGGAAAAATCACACATTACACAATTTATGCAATGGAGGTGGATACAAGCAAAGCGTTTCAACTGACTACATCAGAAAAAACACATACTGATTACAGGTGGGATGGTTTTTTTATATATAGATAAAGAGAGACAGAGAGAAGGAAGGAAGAAGGGAAGAAGGGAGAGTGTGTGAGTGAGTGAATATAGAGAAATATAAGTTTAAAATAGAATTCTGTAGAAGTTACTTATGTCAAGTTGTGCCATGATTGTTGTACTTTATTCTTAAAAACAGATTATGTTTCTCTCTATTTGCATCTTTCTCCACATTTATTCTTGTTTTTCAATTAAAATAGATGGCTAAAAAGAATTTAATGAAATAAAATCATAGTGAATACATTCATTATTATCATTATATTATTATTGTTCTCCTTAACATTACAAATTAAGTAAAAAAAGCATGAATGCAATTCAAAGTATGAAATTTTTTTAAAAAGCTAATATGAATAGGGAGAAAGAAGAAAAAGAAATGATACAATGCTTTGTACATACTACATTATTACAATGATTACATAATAAAAGAAGTGCCACTTCAAAGTTGACAATTTTTGTTAAGCCACACTTTGCATCTGGTAGTTCAGATATTGACATGGCCAAATTTAGGTAAGGTAAAGGTTCCCCTTGCACATATGTGCTAGTCGTTCCCGACTTTAGGGGGCGGTGCTCATCTCCATTTCAAATCTGAAGAGCCAGCACTGTCCGAATACATCTCCATGGTCATGTGGCCAGCATGACTAAATGCCATGACTAAAGGCACACAGAGCGCTGTTATCTTCCCACCAAAGGTGGTCCCTATTTTACTACTTGCATTTTTTACGTGCTTCCGAACTGCTAGGTTGGCAGAAGCTGGGACAAGTAATGGGAGCTCACCCCGTTACGCGGCACTAGGGATTCGAACACTGAACTGCCAACCTTTCGATCGACAAGCTCAGCATCTTAGCCACTGAGCCACCGTGTCCCTTCCAAATTTAGATAAATGGAGCCAAATATATAAATTTCAAACATATATAATATCATTTAATAGCATATCACTGAATCTTACTTCAATGAAATAAGAATGTACAACAAAGAAGGAGCTATCAATGGAAATGACCATGGTTCTTGTTCCTCCAAGAGTGGTTCTGGTCAGCATTGATGGCAGGAGAGGAGAACAGCTAAGGGCTCATTACTCTTTCCATTCTTTTAAACATCTACATGAAACTGCTGGGTGTAACAATTCAGTGGCAATGGAGTCGACCATCATGGTGCTGATTGGCCCTAATTTGGCCAATGTATGCTGTCAAGGTTGTGCCTTGATATCTGAAGGCTATGGGGCCTTGGATAGGGAAGAACAGGCTTCAGTTCAACTTGAGCAAGAGAGAGTGGCTCTTGGATGTGGTGATTTTCCACCTTTACCAGAATGCAATTTGTGGATCCTCATGGCTTTTGTTCAAAGAGCAGGTGATAGCCATGGCTAGGAGGGCTTTTGCCCAAATCTTTGTTGGATAACAATTGGGCCCTTTCCTGGACCAGACATTTTTCAGTCACTTATGCTTTTTTATTCTTTTGGGTTTTAAAATATATTTTATTTATTACGTCTATGTTAATATTTTTTTTTATTATGTTAGGGTCACTTATATGAGATGGGTAGCTATATAAATCTAATAAATATATTATACATTCAAAATAAAGACAATAACCAACCTTTTAAAAATTTATTGAGAAGTCCAATAAATTAAAAAAAAACATTTGAAGTATAAAATATTTTTTTTCCAATTTTTATTTATAAGTATAAACTAAACAGAACAATGAAACGTACAAAACATAAAAACATATAAACATCCATTTCAATACATGTCTAGTTTGTCGCAACTATAATATACATTTCTCTTTGTATTTTGACTCTTCCTTATTTGGTCATTCCCTTTTATCTATCTAATATTGATCTTTGTTTACCTATGTCTGTTCTTTGTTTCCATCATATTATATTTGGTCATTTTATTTACTTCCTATTGCTTCATCTCTTTCCGATCTTTCAACCAACTATACCACTTTTCCCATACTAAGTAAAAGTCATGTTCTTCCCTATTTTGTAATTCCGTTGTGAGTCTATCTAATTCCGCACATTCCTAATTTTATTGATTACTTTATCTGGTGTTGGTATATCACTACTCTTCCAGTGTTGCGCGTATAGTATGAAGTATAAAATATTTTTAAAAAACAAATTTTGTACATATTTCAATATAATATTACAAACTAGAAAATATTTCCATGTATTTCAGCTTACCGTATATTTGGACTAGTCAATATAGATATTGTTATACTGACAATATCCTTGATAATTTCACAGCATCGTTATCTTATAACTCCCTGCCACTGAATATCCTGACTATCATTATTTATTGTTTATTTATTTATTGGTTTGATTTATATGCCGCCCTTCTCCAGAGACTCAGGGCGGCTTACAATGTGTTAAGCAATAGCCTTCATCCTTTTTTATATACCTGCTTAGTAGGACTTTCAGTTTCCCCTAAGCGGTGTTCTTTTTTATACAAAGTCAGTTTATTGCCCCCACAATCCGGGTCCTCATTTTACCTATCTCGAAAGGATGGAAGGCTGAGTCAACCTTGAGCCTGGTGAGATTTGAACTTGCAGTAATTGCAGGCAGCTGGTGCTACTTAACAGCACTTTAGTCTGCTGCGCCACCAAGGCTCTTCAATTAGATTGTTATATTAAATAGGACAAAGTTCCTAACATCAAAATAAAGTACAGCTTAATTGCAGGTGAAATAAACCTGTTATAAATAAATTTATAATAGCATAATTAGAACAGCAATATTTTAATCATAAAATAAGTTTAATCCATTTTAATTAACTCATTACAAAGCTTAATTTGCACATATGAAAGATAAGAAATAAAAAAGGAAAATGTTAAAATACTAAAATAGCCTTTTTAAAAATTTCAGACCATTAAAAATTAAAATTAAATCTAAAATGTAAAATTAAGAAAACATTTTAAAGGAAGTTTTATCAATCAAGATCACATGCTAAATGTTTGTCCATATAGCACTTTTATATAATAGTTAATAATTTTTCTAAAGTCCTTATATTTGCAATGTGCTAGAATTGAAAACAGCTTCTCAGTATCTATGAGAGTAAACAAGTTATCTGTAAAAGTGCCCAAATGAATGCACAGTAAATTTCATTTACAGATTTTGTTCATCTTTGTTTTAGACTTAAAAAAGTACACAGATTATAAAATGAGGGTAACAGCTTCTACAACTGTTGGAGAAAGTGCAGTTTCTGAAGACAATGATATTTTTATAAGAACACTTGAAGATGGTAAGTACATTATTTTCATATTAATTTTATAATTTCAATTTGATCAATTATAATGGATTTATCTACAATGCCCATTAAGCAATAAATTTGCAATAAATAATAAAAACCATGTAAGCCGTGTGTGTGTTTGTGTGTGTGTGTGTGAGAGAGAGAGAGAGAGAGAGAGAGAGAGAGAAAGTGGGGGAGGGAGGGAGGGAGAGAGAGAGATTTTTTTTCTGGGCATATTCCCACCTTTCCTGATGTTTAGTATGACTAATTGAGGCTTAATGTGACAATTTTAAAAGGTGTTTTGCAAACCACAGTGTAAGCAATTTCTACTTCTTGAAGTTCTTTGGAAACCTTTAGAAACCCACTAAGATGAGAGACAGCACTAATACTATTAATAAATAAATAAATAAATAAATAATTTTATTTCTATACCGCCCTTCTCCCAAAGGGCTCAGGGCGGTGTACAGCCCTAATTAAAAACACAAAGACAAATATCAGTTAAAAATAATTAAAATTATTACATAATTTCGGCTCAGATTTAAAACCCCAAAAATTTAAAACACCCAATTTAAAAATCATTACATTGATAGCCCGGCTTGGCGGAACAGCAGGGTCTTGAGGGCACAGCAAAATACACGGAGGTCGGAGATCTTACGCATTTCCGGGGGCAGTTCATTCCACAGGGCAGGGGCTCCCACAGAGAAGGCCCTCCCCCTGGGTGTCACCAGCCGACATAACTTGGCTGATGGCACCCTGAGGAGACCCTCTCTGTGGGAGTGAAATGGCTGGTGGGAGGCTGTTGGTGGCAGAAGTTGGTCTCGAAGGTACCCAGGTCCTATGCCATGGAGCGCTTTAAAGGTGGTAACCAACACCTTGAATCGCACCCGGAAGACCACTGGGAGCCAGTGCAGCTCGTGCAGGAGGGGTGTCACGTGGGCACAACGGGTTGTGCCCATAACCACCCAGGCGGCCGCATTCTGGACCAGCTGGAGCCTCCGAGTGCTCTTCAAGGGGAGCCCCATGTAGAGAGCATTACAATAGTCCAGCCGGGAGGTGACAAGGGCGTGAGTGACCATGCGCAAGGCATCCCGGTCCAGAAAGGGCTGCAACTGGCGAATCAGGCCATAGCCATGATATGCTCTTCTAAAGACAGCCATGCGTCCAGGAGGACGCCCAGATTGCGAGCCCTCTCTGTGGGGGGCAGAGATTCACCCCCAATAGTCAGCAATGGCACCAGCTGACTATATCGGGACGCCGGAAGGCACAGCCACTCGGTCTTGGAAGGGTTGAGTCTGAGCCTATTTCTCCCCATACAGACCCGCACGGCCTCCAGGCAGCGAGACATCACATCAAGGGCATCGTTGGAGTGTTCTGTCGTGGAGATGTACAGCTGAGTGTCATCAGCGTACTGATGGACTCTCACCCCAAAACCATGGATGATCTCACCCAGCGGCTTCACATAAATGTTGAACAGAAGGGGCGAGAGAACCGACCCTTGCGGCACTCCCCATGCGAAGCGCCTCGAGGTTGACCTCTGCCCCCCTGCCAACACAAACTGCAAACGGTCGGAGAGGAAGGAGGAGAACCACCGCAGTACGATGCCCCCTATTCCTAACCCTCTCAACCACTGCAGCATGATACCATGGTTGTGGTATCAAAAGCCGCTGAGAGATCTAATAGGACCAGGACAGAGCAACCCCTGTCCCGAGCCCTCCAGAGATCATCCACCAACGCGACCAATGCCGTTTCCATGCTGTACCCCTGCCTGAAGCCCGACTGGTACGGGTCCAGATAGATAGCTTCATCCAGGTGCCACCACACTCTCAACAACCTTCGCCACAAAACAAAGGTTGGAGACCGGACGGTAGTTAGCTAATTCAGCTGGGTCCAGGGACGGTTTCTTGAGGAGGGGACTCACCACCGCCTCTTTCAAGGCGGCAGGAAAGGCACCCTCACTCAAGGAAGCACTTATAATCCCCTGGAGCCAGCCTCGTGTAACCTCCCGGGAGGCCAGTACCAACCAGGAGGGACACGGGTCCAATAAACACGTGGCGGCACTAATCTTACCCAGAACCCTGTCCACATCATACCATATTTAATACTGTTACCATATTAAAATATATTAACTAGCTTCAGGCTGAATGAGTTAGTTGCTGCCATTAACTTGGGAAATTTTAATTCTTAACTTAATTTATAAATGTAGCTGCAGAGTAACCAACTAAATAGCACAGTTTTATCTGTGCGAGAACAGGTAGAAAGTTACCACTGAAGGCAAGTATGGTATTAGAGGAGGTATCAGCATGAGCAGTGATATGAAGGACTTTGTGATGATGAAGTAAGTAAAGGAAATTGATAATGAGGATGAGAATCACTGAGTTTCTGATACTTTTAACAATTCTGAATTATGGCTTGCAATTTCCACTTATGCAAAATTTTTGCATTTTGCTGCCAATAATGGTAAAAACTAGAGTGTTTTGCATGAGAAAGAATGTGATGTGTTTATAGGACACAGTTATATACTGTGTAGGAGCATATGGGTGTGTATGAATGTATGTATATTAGTTTGTTTGAGAAAAATATGTACATGCATATGCTGAGATTGGATATACTTCCACATGTCTAGAGGAGAGGTTGTTTAAAGACAACCTCTCCTCTAGACATGTGCATTTCCAGACATTTGCATGTCCAAAAATTGTTTTACATTTGCTCAAATATACACTGGCAAATTTGTCCCCAAAGGTCTCATCTGGCAACTAATATGTCTTTAGCAGTGGTGGGTTTCAAAATTTTTTACTACCGGTTCTGTGGTTGTGGCTTGGTGGGTGTGGCATGGCTTGATGGGCATGGCTTGGTGGGCTTGGCAGGGGAAGGATACTGTAAAATCTCCATTCCCTCCCCAATTCAGGGGAAGGTTACTAGAAAATCCTCATTTCCTCCTGATCAGCTGGGACTTGGGAGGCAGAGAATAGATGGAGACGGGGCTAGTCAGCATTTTTACTATCGGTTCTCTGAACTACTCAAAATTTCTGCTACCGGTTCTCCAGAACTGGTCAGAACCTCCTGAAACCAACCTCTGGTCTTTAGTTCATAAAAGGTTACCTAATCTTGTCTATATATTATAAAAATACAAAGAAAAAAATTTGGTGTAATTGATAAATTCTGTATTCTAAAATAATTATGAACGAATACACCCTAATACTCAATCACTTTTTTCTGTTTTCTGAATGAAAGAACCCAGTTCACCACCTCAGAATGTTGAGGCATTAGAAGTGACTGCCTCAGAAGTCAACTTACGGTGGTTACCACCTGAAATGCCTAATGGGATCATAACTCATTATGAAATCATGTCTGATAATGGCAGTATTTTAATAACTAAAAATGCTACAACAACACATCTTATTTTAAATGAGTTGAAACCATACACTTTGTATAACATTTCTGTAAGAGCATTCACTCGCCTTGGTTATGGGAATCAGTCATCTGACCCATTATCTGTAAGAACAGCTGAAACTGGTAAGTGGAAATACTAGAATATTCTTTTGTCTCTGTGGATTCAATTTTAAATATATTGAAAAGGACATTTGAAAGAATGCAAATGCAAAGAGATTAATAGGTACCACTTCGGTGGGAAGGTTTCGTCCACCTTTGGAGTATAGCCATGCTAGTCACATGACCATGGAAAATGTCTTCAAAAAATGCTGGCTCCCTTGGCCAAGAAACGGAGATGAGCATCGTGCCCTAGAGTCGGACATGACTGGCAAGAAACCTTTGCTTTTTAAAACATGATTAGGTTACAAATTACATATATCTATATTTGAATGAGACAAATGATGCCATGAAGCATTTATCAAAATATCTGATGACCATAGCAAAGTATCTTGCTTGATGATCAGAGGTGAGTCTCTTTCAATTAATATTTTGATTGCATCAGTATCAAACATCAGAATATCAAAAAAGTTCAATGCATGCTATTTTTTGTTCTTAGTTGTTTTACCATTTGGTATTATTAACAATTATAACATATATATAATCCCATGTTATCATGTTTAGTTTTATATTTGGAATCATGAAACCAAGGGCCCAAATGAATAACAAGGCAATAACATTAAACAATAGCGGCCACAATAGAGAAATGAAATTCCTAAATAAAAAATTCCTGATTGTACATTAAATTAATATGTAATTTAATATGTAAATTACCTGGGGGGAGGTGGATAGGTAACTAGGGTAGGGTTGGGATTATTGTACAAGCATTTTGTTCTCCTTTTTTGTATTTTTACCACTTTTTGCTGAAAAGCACTTTATGTGTTTTTTCTTTCTTTTTGACAAAGTATGTATTTTTCTGATAATTATGTACTTTTTATCTTTTTTGTCACTATTTTAAAAGCAGTAAAATAAAGAAATCAGGATTTTATACAAGCGATAAATGTAGGTTAGCTGAATTTGAAATTAAAGAAAATATCTATCAGAACAAAGGAAAATTGTACCTTTGTTTTTATTTACTAAAGGCAAATCAAATCTTTGATAGTTTACTGCTTGCTAATTCATTGTTGGATCGTAGACTTCAGACTATATATTAGTAATATGTATTGGTAATATGTATTGTTGCTTTGTGTTTAATTAGCTTCTGTATGTAATAGCATTTGATGAAAACTCAAAATAGCATTTGAGTTATCAGTTATAACTCAAATTATTATCAGTTATCATAATATTTTTAAAAAAATTTGTATGTAGTATACCTGTAGTACACTATTATTTAAAATTTGGATGTAATATTTTTCTCTGAATTTTTTCATTTCAGTACCTGACTTTCCACCCCAAAATATAACTTACAGGAACATGTCTTCTTCAGCAATAGAGTTATCATACTTTCCTCCATCTGTCCCCAATGGCATTATAAAGACATACACCATATATCTCAGAGAGATTAATGGAAGTGAAGTAAGAGTCATCAACACAACATATCTGTTACTAATTATTACAGGTAATAATTATTTTGCCATATTATTTTACATGGCAGTAATCTAGCTGTGTTATGATGGGTTTCTATCAAATGCTATGTATGTATTTTTCATTATCAAATTAACAAATACAATCATATACCTTGCATTAAACATACATAGGTGAATAATGCAAAGTAATCATATGTAATTATATTTTCTTCTGTTTTTAAGTAGAATTAAGAAATTAAGCAAATGTGCACTGATATGATCAGTGCTATATTTTATGTGCCAGATTTAATTACTATATTAAATAGAAGACTTTCAAACCAAATTGTGACATGAAATCTGAATTTCATGTCTATTTCTGATCATTTTGAATACTTAAGAGAGTTAGTTATAGCTGTGGCTTAAAAAAATAACAGTGATATATATAAAATAAATACTGTATATCAAATGCTTTAACTATCCTTTGATTTGAGGGATTTTTATCTTGTTTATTAGTATACCTTAAAAAAGATATCTCTGAAAAGTGAAAGAATAAAAGTCAGGACAATATTACAAATATATGTTTTCATTTTTTTGTAGTCAATTTATACTGTAAAACACTTAATTTAATTTAATTTAAAATTTAAAATATTATAGGACTTTCATATATGTGTATATATTTATATAAATATAAAATTAACTTGGAGGATAAAGATATAAACATTAGTGCCCAATCTAAATATTAATATTATTAATATTTTAAATATTAAATTATTCTAAAACATTACTAACACCTAAATACCATTTAGATAAACTTAGCATTTGTGTCAATAATGTGATTTCCATGTCTGTAAATTAAAGTCTTTATGTTGTGTTTTTATAATTCAAGTCTTTTCTCTACATAGATTAATATGAAATTATCAAAATAGCATAAATAGCACCACACAAAAGGCATATAAGTCTCACTATATACATGTAACATGTATATTCTTTATTTAGACTTAAAGAAATATACAAAATATCTGGCTGAAGTATCTTCAAGCACTGTAAAAGGTGAAGGACCTCGGAGTGCACCATTGGATATAATAACTGATGAAGATGGTAAGGTCTACCTTGCTGACTATTGTGTTCTTTTCATATCAGTTGGTTAAGCTGGAGTGATAGAAGGATATTAGTTACAAATTCCCATCTGTAAGCTTAAGGAAGCTCAAAATGGTCTTAGTATTACAGGTGGAAAACTTTTTGAACATGGGAGCTTCACTTAATATTTTTTTGGGAGCAGGGTGAAACTAATAGGATAAGATTTTTTTCTGCTTCAAAATAATAGAAAATTGCAATACAACTGTTCAATAGATAGGGAATAAGGTGCTTATGCTCATCATTTTATTACAAGCAGACTTTTCATAAGGTATAAGCCCTTCTAAATAACAAGATCTACTTGTAGTAAAAATTTAAGAGGCAATGCAATGCAAGCAAAAAAAAAAAAAAAAAGGTTTAGAACGTAATTTCTTGGAAGTACATACTGTTCTGACTGTTAGTCAAAATATTTTACAAATTCCTTCATAGCTGAGCACTTGTTTTCATTTCACACATAACTTAAGTGATGATCTGCTTTAGGAATATGATGATAATTCATGTGATTTAAAATAAACTTGAATGGCATGATAAAATGCCTACATTTATCAAGAAAATGCTAAAACATCTGATCATCTGATGCAAATGGTTATATTTGTTATTATTTATAACAATAGACATAATGAATATCCAATAATATGAATCCTAATAACATTTTTACCTATTCTAATAATTAAAGTACTAATAAAATTAAAATATTCTATAGTTTATAACTTTGATCAATTGAATCTAATTGGTTTTTTTTAAAAAAAATCTGGAATTAAAGCCCCAGCAGGTATTTTATAGAACTGCACAGTGACTTATTATTAACACTTGTATGTGTCATATAATGAATATGTATTGTATCATAACAGGACACATAAAAGTAAAATGGTGCATACAGGATTGCAATAAGTAAATAAACATTTCTGACAATGTGTTAGATTCTCCTTATTTTTTTAATGCAGTTCATTGATTTTGGACCAATCCAGGTTCTCAGGTTAGACTTGATTGTGGGAATTTATAGTCTTGGGCTTTCTGTGGGCATCAGCCTATATGAATTTCTCTTTCAGGAACTCAAAGGAGGTAAGAAAGGTATAGCAGAAATATTGAATTACAGAATAACAGAGTTGGAAGAGACCTTGGAGGTCTTCTAGTCCAACCCCCTGCTGAAGCAGGAGACCCTATACCATTTTGGACAAATAGTTATCCAATCTCTTTTCAAAAACCTCCAGTGAGGTTTCTGAAGGCAAGCCATTCCACTGATTAATTGTTCTCGCTATCAGGAAATTTCTCCTTAGTTTTAGGTTGATTATCTCTTTGATTAGTTTCCATTCATTGCTTTTTGTTCTACCTTGAACAAAATGAGCCACAGAGGCACAGTGATTAGAGTGCAGTACTGTAGGCTACTTCTGCTGCCTGCCAGCTGCCTGCAATTTGACAGTTCAAATCTCACCAGGCTCAAGGTTGACTCAGCCTTCCATCCTTCCGAGGTGGATAAAATGAGGATCCAATTATTGGGGGCAATATGCTGACTTTGTAAACATCTTAGAGAGGGCTGTAAAGCACTATAAAGCAGTATATGTCTAAGTGCTATTGCTATCTTTGGGTGCTTTGGACAACAGGTTAACCTCCCTCTTCTTTGTGGCAATCCCTTAGGTATTGGAACACGGTTATCATGTCACCCGTAGTCCTTCTTTTCATTAAATTAGATATACTAATTCTCGCACCCATTTTTATTTATTTTAATCTATAGTCTCCTAATCATCTTTGTTGCTCTTCTAGAGTTTGCTCTTCATTTTTGCACTCTTTCTAGAGTTTCAACATCTTTTTATATCGTGGCAACTAAAACTGGATGCAATATTCCAACAGTGGCCTTACCAAGGCATTATAAAGTAGTACTAACACTTCACGTGATCTTGATTCTATCCCTCTGTTAATGCAGCCTAGGACTATGTTGACTTTTTTGGCAGTTGCAGTACACTGATGGCTTATATTTAAGTATCCACTAGGACTCCAAGATCCTTCTCACAGTTACTATTATTGAGCAAGGTACCACCTACTCTATACCTCTGCATTTAGTTTTTCTTGCCTAAATATGGAACACTACTTTTCTTATCAAAGAATTTTCATTTTGCTAGATAGGACCATTGTTCAAGTCTGTCAAGAATCTTCTGTATCATCTGCAAATTTGATGAGTTACCCTTCTATCCCCTTATCTAAATCATTTACGAAGATATTGAAGAGTACTAGGCTTAAGACAGAGGTGTGAGGTACCCCACTACAGCACCCCATTGAGAAAGAAATATACTTCCTTTGACTGACTTATTTTAATCAATATAAGAAAACGGGGAATATTTGATTGAAATTTATATTTAGACATAATCTTTATGGCATTTTTTATCAACTTCCATTGTAATGCTAATTGGTTCCCACCCTTATCAGGGGAATTTATTTATTTAATGTATATTGATTTGTATCAATTAAATTCATATTTTATTACTAGGAAACAAATTACAGTAACCTTGGACTGAAGGTAAATTACTATGATATTTCTGTTGCTCTATTTTCTCATAAAATATTATTTCTTCTCAGAATCAAAGAAACAGATGGTTTACACCACCATGTAAAATTATTCTTTCTTAAGTGCCATTTTAAAACAAACAGCTTCAAATATAATAACTGTAACTAGTGATACTGTAAACATTCAAATTTAATGTAGCAATAATTAATCAACAATATATTGTATATTTACTTTGCAGCTCCTAGTTCCCCTCCAAGATTGCTCACAGTAAAACAGTTATATGATGCCATTGTGATATTGTCATGGCAACCACCACTTGAGCCAAATGGAATTATCCTTTATTATACAGTTTATATTTGGTAAGATTTTCCTAAATGTTGAAGAAATGTTTTCCTTTAACCTTGTAATTCATGTTTTATTCCACATACAGGAATATTAGTGAATAATTAGAAACAATTTATTCTTAACTGAGCTTAAATATAGACAACTAACGTTTTTAGAAATTAATGCTTGCTGGATTCTTCAAACATTTTGAAACCATCATTTCAAAACCAAAATGTTGCTGCACCAAATAGAATTTTAGTGGTTCTCTAGCAGACTACCATCTACTGTTATTGATTGTCACTGAAAGGAGTGGATCCTGTTTTACACTAGTAGCAAATGGCCAATTCATTTCTACTTAATAACGTGAGGGTGAACAAATTGTAGCATTTGGTATCTGTAATTAGTTTGTATCCATATTCTGGTCCTTGATTCATATACCATGATGTTCTATATACTAAACAGCTATGCATTGTTGAGATGCTGAACTAGTAATGTAATATAAGAAGCTTTACCAGTCCTTTATGTTGCTTTCTAAGAAGAGTTCCAATCTTATAATTCAAATTAAATGTTATGCTAATTTCATGCATGATCACCACTCCTTCTAACCTTCCAAGTCCTACTGTTCTGCGTCATTGTGATGGTGGTGGGGATGTCCTTGGAATAGATGTTGCAACGAAAAAGCTATTTCTCACGAGAGCAAAAAACATTTTTTTTACCCAGTATGATACAAATATGTCTGAATGCCTTTAGTAGTGGAAAGACTACTAATTGTTACTGCAGGTGGAGTGAAGAACTAACAAAAACACAATGGTGTTAAATTGAAACACTATAGTTTAGCACACGTAGTAACATATAGAACTATTTAGTTTTTGTTTTGTTAATCAGCTGTTTAATTCTCTTTTATATGTTTGCTTAGGGATATTATGTCAAGAAATATTAATGCATCTGAACTATCACTAGAATTAACAGATTTAGAATATAACAAGAAATATAGTGTTTATGTAACAGCAAGTACCAGATTTGGTGATGGAAATATAAAAAGTGACACAACAAGTTTCAGAACCTCTGAAGGAGGTAAATGATTAATGATTAAATGATTAATAGAATAAATAATATGATATATACTATTGAGAATGTTCTTAGTAGTGATTTAAAAGTATTTATTATATTATAATATTATATATGTATATATGTACCGGTATATATGTATAAATATATTATGTATAAAATAGGATGGGTTACCTTTTAGTATTCAGAGATTAAGTTTTATGTATTTGTAGAAGTCAAAAGCTTTTGTAGTTGGGGATGTTGCCAGCACAAACTTTTTGTGTCCTTTATCCTTGGACTACTATGAGCATTAGTAACAAGTGAGGAACCTTCTGTTTTAGCCCCTCTGAATTTCCGCTCTAAGGCTTTTTCCTCCGGATTGTTTTTTAATAGAAAGAATAGAATGTTATTGTCCCTTGGTTTCTTCTCCAGAATAAGGATATGGAGCTCACATGCTGCAAGATACGTTCCTTATCCTTTTTGAATGTTGAGCTGATCTCTTAAATATTCTTAATGGTCCTGATTCTATTCATATACATACATTCTGCTACGTTTGGTACTCCAGTGATAAACTGGATAATTCTGGCATAATTTATAAGTATTTTCCTATATTTGATGTAGAATTGGCAATTTCTTTTCTTAATAATATCTACTTTACACTAAACAGTACAGTTTTTGTGCTTCCTAATTCAAAATAATAGGAAACTACATGTTGTCACTGATTAGTCATATGATCAGAGGAAACTCTAGAGCAGGGGTGTCAAATTCAAAGATCTGGCCTGTGGGTTGCTTAAATCTGGCCCACAGGACTGGCCCGCGATACCTCTAGCAGCCAAAGCAGGGTGAGGCAGCAGCCCATGTGTGGGCCCCATGTCCCAGTGTGCTGCAGGAGGCATCCATCCTGTCTTCTGCCCTCCCCCAGGCCAGCACACAGAGAAGTACAATGCTGATCCAGCCCTCGAAGAAATCCAGTTTGACACCCCTGCTCTAGAGGCTACAAGAAAAGGGATTGGGAGCCACATGGAATCTTGTGGTTGTAAATTTCTATAAAGCATGTTACTTCAAAAAAATGACCTTTGTACACTCAGGTCAAAGGATAGTTATTTTAATATATTACTTTTTTCATATGAATTTTGAAACTTACCCTTTCATAAAAGGTAGATACTCTGCATACTGAATGAACAATATTTTTATATTCTTTAAGTCTTGCAATTGACAGGGTGTGTGTGTATGCACCATTTGCTACTCTTATTTCATTCATATTTTGGGTTTCTTTTGAAAAGCTGCTACTTAAGAAGCTTAAAATGAATGTGGATACACAGGACTGACATACAACATTATTGATGGTAGTCAAGCTGCTTTTGAAACTACAGAAAAGTTAAACACTGCTGACCCAAGACTACTGTAATGAAATGCCAAAACTCAAAATTGACAGCTATGACTTCCTTCCCACTTCCAGATTTTCCTTTTCTGGAGAGCTCATAAGACTCATGGCGGTTTCATTCATTTGCTGTGGGACAATACACTTCATTCTGGTATTTGGCTGAATGCCTTGTAAGCAGCTCATGTCAATTTGGACTTGTGCTTTGTCTAGTGTAATGCAAACAAAGAACTATGCAATTATTTATTGCATATTAATATACGTCTTTGTAAATAAATGATAAATTATTGAACAGTTTCTTTTCATTAATTTTTACCAGAATTATGGTAAAATTATGGTAAAATAATGTTGGCTTGGTTTGTTCTTTAATGATACATTATTGTGCTCCTTTCTATATCATATCAGATTCCATATTAGAATGGAAAGCAAAGAGTGTCAGGACCAGGGGTGAAATGCTCCAGTAGTGATGGAGGCGGGTGGTTTGGAGAACCAGTAGCAAAAATTCCTGCCCCACCCCCATGCCCAGCTGAGCCACGCAATCATCAGAGGCTTTTTAAAAATTATTTTTAAGAGCATTTTTTCTACATCCTCTTCGGCCGAAAAAATGCTTTTAAAAGTTAAAAAAAAGCCTCTGATGATCGCACGGCTCAGCTGGGATTGTCAGAGGCTTTTAAAAGCATTTTTTCTACATCCTCTTCGACTGAAGAAGTTGTAGAAAAAAATGCTTTTAAAAGCCTCTGACGATCCCAACTGAGTTGCCTGATCGTCAAAGGTTTTTTTTTTTTACTTTTAAAAGCATTTTTTCGGCCGAAGAGGATGTAGAAAAAATGTTTTTAAAAGAAAAAAAAGCCTCTGACGATCAGGCAGCTCAGCTAGGTTCGTCAGAGGCTTTTAAAAGCATTTTTTTTACAACCTCTTCGGCCGAAGAGGTTGTAGAAAAAATGGTTTTAAAAGTTAAAAAAAAAAAGTTGGCCACACCCACCCAGTCACATTACCACCACCCCACCAAGCCACACCCACAGAACCGGTAGTAACAAATTTTACATTTCACCACTGGTCAGGACATATATTATTATAGCAGCCTTTTGTATTTTCAAGAGCTAAGACTAAGTTCCATTAAGGTTCAGCAGAAAGAAAGGATTTTAGCTATAAAATCCCTTCCTGAAACATTTGTAGAGCAGAAACAAAATAGCCTCTCTTTTTTTTTGTACAATTGGTAAATGTTTACATTTTTCAGCTCCAGGTGATCCACCTAAAAACTTGTGGTATAAAAATCTCACTTCATCATCAGTAAGAGTATTCTGGAATCCTCCTCAAAAACCTAATGGTGTCATTCAGTTTTATTCAATTTACTACAAAAATGGTTCTGACACTTATGTACAGGTATATCCGCTTTTTAATGTTTTCTGAAAGTGTTTGACAATGTTAAAATCTCTCTCTCTCTCTCTCTCTCTCTTTACATTAGTAATAAGTGAAAGAAATAATTTTATGTGCTCAAACATAGAAAGTTAGAGTAATGCATGTTCTGAAGATAATTCATAAGATGTGGCTAGAAGTTACACAAATGTAGTCTCTTGTGGCTATTCCTTATTGTGACCTGTTTTTTTCTCACTTCTTGCACAAGCATGGAAAAAATGGTTTTGTTGCATGCTGTTATTTGTCAAGGGTGTCCTTAGCCTTATTAGTTTGGTTATCACTTGTACTTTTATTATATTTAATTGTTAACAATCTTTAGCATATTTTTAATCAAGTAAGAATAAAGAGCCATTTTGATGTGGCGGTTAAGACAGCAGACTAGAAACCAGGAGTCATAAATTCTAGTTACACCAGCTCAGGCACAAAGGCAGTGTGTTAAACTTGGGCCAGTCACTATCTCTCAGCCCTAGAAAGAAGCCAGTGGCAAACTACTTCTGAAAATCCTTGTCGAGAAAACAGCAGAGGCTTATCCAGGTAATCTCTATGAATTGGACTTGACTGAAAAAAAGGAAAACATATATATATATATATATATATACACATACATACAAAAAACAAAAGTAAATAAGGAATAATATGAATTTAATGTTATATTTGAAGCTAAAAGTGTTCACAGCTTGCATGACCAAAGTCAGACTCTCTCCACTTTCAAACAGAACGTATATAAATCAAGCAATTCAAGCTTTGCAAAAAATAAATAAATAAGTGAAATAACTTAAGTCAGATAAAGCGAATATAATTATTTCTTCTTCACCAACATCCACATGACTGGTTGCCTAATAATAATAATACTGTTGCATCTAAAAGTTAATTTTCTCTTTATTCTATCATGATTTACTTTTTGTTTAGGTATCATAAATGTTTGCAATACATAATGTTCATTTAGTTATAGGAGAGAGGACATAAGTTATAGAGAAATACTAATTTTAATTCAATAAATTTTCCTAACATCTTCTGTCTAGAATTTTACCACTCCCACAATTGACAGCAGTGCTGATAATTCAACTTTATCAATAGTATTGAACAATTTAGCAAAATGGAGATACTACACACTTTGGTTAACTGCAAACACAGCTCTTGGGAATGGAAACCAAACCAGTGAAATAATGCAACTATATACAGACCAAGACTGTATGTAAAAAAAGTTTATATTGTTTGTAGAAACTCTATATGTAATTCTTTACAGACTCATTTATAAGGCTTTTTGTGTGAACTTTAAGTTCACTTAAGGTTCATTATGATCTAAGCCATCTGATTATCATAATCATATAGTATATATTTTTTTTACTTTTTGCCACTATGCATTTTATGTGAGAGATTAGATATAATTTGTATAAATCATGTTTTTTTTTTACAAACCATGGCTTGAGATTCTAAACATGCTATTAAATGCAGGTGGGTGATTTTGGGCCAGTCACTGTTTCTCTGCCCAGCTTACCTCACAGGATTGTTATTGTGGAGAAAATAGGAGAAAGAACTATTGTGCATGTTTACTATCTTGAATAAAGGATAAAAATCTAAAAATTTAAACAAATAAAAATAAATTATGTGAATGCCCCATGAACATGGATTTATTTTTATTAATGCTTCTCATCAGTTGCATATATTGATATCAGGGATAAAGATATTGGACACACAGATAACATTTTTTAAATTTCCTTCAGTACCGGATGGACCTGTTAATCAGCTGGCCTATCAGAACATTTCTTCCACAGTAATAAACGTAAGCTGGATCCCACCAATGCAGCCCAATGGACTCATCTTCTATAATATTTCACTAACAATGAAGGATACTCAAACAAATCATGGGATTTTGTCGCTTCTTCTATATGAAACAAATATAATTTTTAATAAGTTGGAAAAATATGCAAACTATCTTCTAAACATTACTCCAGCAACAGAAAAAGGATCATCAGAAATGTATACTTTAAGTTTATACATCAGAACTGAAGAAGATGGTATGTTATCTATGTTGCTAAATACAGGTTTCTTAAGACATAAGCTTGTATATGACTTATATAACTTAGACTATATTTGTGTAGTTTATGGCATGAGCTAATTCATTTCTTTTTCTAATACAGTATATCCATGTGTATCAGTATTTTTGAAAAAATTGGATTGAAGTCATAGACAAACATCCTTTTTACTCTTCATCATAATAACTGTACTAGCCAAAAGATCATACTGTGAAATAATACTATATTATTCCAGAAAAATATAGTGTTATACTACAATAATATAGTAGTATTATACTACTATAATATAGTAGTATAATATAGTATTATGTATTATAATATAATAATACTATATTATTCCTGAATAATAATATAATCCTATATTATTCCTGAAGTTGATATGTATTTCAAAAACATAATTACATTTAACTCATATTACTCTTCCGAAAACTATAATAAGAAGCTCATGGGTATTAGATGTGTGTGCCTGTTTGTGTATAGATAGGTAATTTGCTATAAATGTTACACAAAGACACACTTATATTGAGCTTCCTGTATATTTCAGATTAATGTTTGCTTCTCCCCTTTTATGTTTCCTCTCTGATTAATTGGCAGTTCCAGACTCTGCACCTATTTTGAAAACTTACAGAAACCTTTCATCTACCTCAGTGATGTTATCTTGGGATCCTCCATATCGGCCAAATGGCATTATAAGAGGCTATGATTTAAAGCTACAAGGATCAGAAAAAAATATTTCTTTCACTACCTCCAATAATTCAATTATTTTAGAAGACCTTTTGCCATTTACCCTATACAGCTTTTTTGCATCAGCTCGAACTGTAAAAGGGCCTGGTCCATATTCTGTTCTTATGTTCTCTACAGATGAGTCCGGTGAGTAATTTGCAAGATGCAGATTTCTCAATGAATCCAATGTTTACAAGGCTTCAAGATAATACCTTGGTCATGTTTTAGTATCTTATTTGTCATTAGTTGAACTAGAGTTATGTGGAATAATTGGGATCAAACTTGTTTTCATTGTTATTTGCAATTGCTCTCCTTGCCTCTGTTATTTTTATTTTGTGAATTGATAGGATGGAACCTTTGACCATCTTTGGGGGGGAGAACGGTGGAGGGGGTGGGTGGGATGGGGGGCCCCGGGGCCCTAAGGGAAAGGGTGGAAGGTCATATTCCGGTTGTGATTGGGAATGGAGGCAGGTGGATGAACGGAGGGCCGTATCAAAACTTGGGAGCTCGCCCCTGCTGTCTTCGAGCGGTGGTGTGCTCAGACCCACCTGGTTCTATCTGACTTCCTGGGGGTTTGAGAGATGGGGACATTGGGCTACGGTTGGTCTATTTTAATGCCAGGTCTGTGGTTCACAAAGCTCCCCTCATTCGGGATTTGATTGAGGAGGAAAACGCAGACCTGGCTTGCATTATGGAAACCTGGTTGGGCTCAGAGGGAGGTGTCCCTCTGATTGAACTTTGCCCACCAGGTTTCCGGATGTTGCACCAACCGAGGGCCCAGGGAAAGGGAGGTGGAGTGGCGGTTGTTATAAGGAAAGCCCTTAGTCCGGGGGAGGTCACTATTCCGCAGATAGACGGATGTGAAACCCTCCTCATGAGACGGGGTCCATAGGGTCAGTTGGGCCTGCTGATCACATACCTGTCTCCCAGCTGCGTGGCAGTGGCCCTGCCTGGCCTACTCGACGCCCTGTCGGGGTTAGTGGTGGAGCTCCTCAGACTTATGGTGCTGGGTGATTTCAACCTGCCTTCCCTGGGTGGGGGGGGGGGGGGGGGGGGGGCGAGGGGGTGGCTTGCGTGGGGGGCGGGGGGGGGGGCGCCGGGGGGGGGGGGGGGGGGGGGGGGGGGGGCTCAGGAGTTCATGGCATCCATGGCGGCCATGGACCTGACTCAGATTCAGGGACCGGCTCATGAGGGGAGGCACACACCCAATCTTGTTTTTATCTAGGAGCAGTGGCGTGTTATGCTCTGTGGGGGGGTATCTGTTATTTCACCCCTGTCATGGACCGACCATAATCTCCTCTGGTTGGACTTTCAGAATGCCATCCCACCTTGCTGGGATGCAGAACCGACTATCTGGTTCTGCCCCAGGCACCTGATGGACCCGGAGAGGTTCCAGATGGAGCTTGGGATGATCCCTCTCTCTCCCATGTCCCGGTCGAGACCCTGATGGAGGCCTGGGATAGGCCCACTGGGGCACTCAACCGTGTCGTGCCTTTGAGGCCTCTGACCCGGTGCAGACCCCGGCTTGCCCCTTGGTACACTGAGGAGCTGCGGGGGATGAAGCACAGGAGAAGAGGCCTAGAGAGCTGTTGGAGGACTAATCGTTCCAAATCTGACCGAGCCCAGCTAAGATCGTTCACACGGTCTTACCTGGAGGTGATGGCGGCGGCGAAGTGTACATACTTCTCCGCCCTCATCGCATCCACAGATAAGCGCCCGGCTGCCCTGTTTAGGGTATCCCGCTCCCTCCTATATCAGAGGGTGGGGGAGGACCCTTTGCGGGGGCGAGCCGAGGAATTTAGCCATCATTTGCGAGACAAGATCACTCAGATTCAGGACGGCTTGGACTCTGACTGGGCAGGGTCGGACGGGGAGGAGGAGGCGGGTCTTGTTGTCTGGGAAGAGTTGGATCCTGTTACCCTGGAGGAAGTGGACAGGATCATGAGGAAGCTGAGTGTGACCACTTGCATACTGGACCCATGTCCCTCCTGGCTGGTTTATGCAGCTCGGGAGGTGACATGCAGTTGGATCCAGGCAGTGATAATGGCATCCTTGGATGGAGGGAGTTTTCCTGCCGCCTTGAAGGAAGCGGTGGTTAGGCCCCTCCTTAAGAAACCTGCCTTGGATCCAACCATTTTGGGCAACTTTCGTCCAGTCTCCCACCTTCGTTTTTTGGTGAAGGTTGTTGAGAGCGTGGTGGCATGTAAGTTTCCGGTGGCCCTGGATGAAGCAGATTACCTAGATCCGTGCCAATCGGGTTACAAGCCCGGTTACAGCACGGAGATGGCGTTGGTCGCACTGGTGGATGCTCTCTGGAGGGCTGGGGACAGGGGTCATTCCTTGGCCCTGGTGCTATTAGATCTCTCGGCAGCTTTTGATAGTATCTTGCTGCGATGCCTCGAGGGGTTGGGAATGGAGGCACTGTTTTACAGTGATTCGCCTCCTACCTCTTGGGTCGTACGCAAGTGGTGTTGGCAGGGGGCAGAGGTTGGCCATGAGGCCCCTCACTTGTCGAGTGCCCCAGGGGTCGGTCCTCTCGCCCCTTCTGTTCAACATTTACATGAAGCCGCTGGGAGAGATCATCTGTGGTTTTGGGGTGGGGTATCATCAGTACGCTGATGATACTCAGCTTTTTATATCCACCCCGAACCAGCCCAGTGATGTCCTCGATGTGATGTCCCGGTGCCTGGAAGCGGTACGGATCTGGATGGGGAGTAACAGGCTTCGACTCAACCTGTCCAAAACCGAGTGGCTGTGCATACCGGCATCTCGGGCTGAGCAAGAAGTTCCAACGCTGTCTATTGGGGGCAAGGTGTTGTCCCCCGTAGACAGGGCGCACAACTTGGGTGTCCTCCTGGATTCACGGCTGAGTTTGGAGGGTCATATCAGTTTGCCCAGGTTCACCTGGTGTGCCAGTTGCGCCCATACTTGGACCGAGATGCCCTACACACAGTCACTCATGCGCTAGTCACCTCTCAGATCGACTACTGCAATGCTCCCTACCTGGGGCTGCTCTTGAAGACCACCCGGAGGCTTCAGCTGGTACAGAATGCGGCCGTGCGGATTGTTGCGGGAGGGTCCCGATACTCCCATATTACACCTCTCCTGCACGGCTTGCATTGGTTGCCGGTTGCCCTCCGGGTGAGATTCAAGGTGCTGGTGTTAACCTATAAAGCCCTTCATGGCTTAGGCCCAGGCTATTTGTCGGACCACCTGCAACCAGCGTCAACTTCCCATCTCCCGGTGCGCTCTCACAGAGAGGGCCTACTCAGGGTGCCGTCAGCTAGACAATGTCAGCTGGCGACCCCTAGGAGTAGAGCTTTCTCTGTGAGCGCCCCCACCCTTTGGAATCAACTTCCCTTGGGGCTCCGGTTGGCCCCTGACCTTCGCACCTTCCGCCGTAAATTGAAAACCTGGCTATTTATGTCCCTCACCTGGACTGATGGGGTAGTATATTTTAAAAAAATTTTTAAAAAAAAATTAAATCTTTTTATATATATTTTTGTGCATATTTGTTGATTTTAACAGTTGTTGGTCGATTGTTGTGTGAGCCACCCTGAGTCCTTGGAGATAGGGTGGCATACAAATTTTATAAATAAAATAAATAAATAAATCTTATTTATTTATTTATAAATCTTTCTTTATAACTGCCCAGTTATTCAGCCATAGCCAGAGAACATTGAAAAATGCAGTTACAATGAATGTGAATTTGTAATCTGTCATTCACTTTAGTTTCTCTGTATTTACTAGCTGCTGCTCATCTAGGGACTTATATTGCTACCAAGGCATGTATAGCTCATCTGGCTTTATACAGACTAGCAGAATAGATGTTTAGATCTCTGAAAAATGTGGCTTCATATGATTTAAAATAAAAAATATATATTTATAAGGAGAATATGTCAAAATGTTAATGTATAACAAGTACTGGGTTTTTGTTGTGTGTAAAAGTACTGCCATATTGCCTTAATCTGAGTAATGTTTTTTTCACAGTCCCATTGGCACCTCCAGAGAATCTGACAGTTATTAATTACACATACAACTCTGCATGGCTGAAGTGGGATCCAAGTCCTAGGCCAAATGGTGTCATTAGAAGATACGTTTTAAATATTTCTGAAAACAATAGTCAAGCTACTTTTTACCAGGTACAATGAACACAATTAATATTATACGTAAACATTAAACTTATAAATATATATATTTAAAAACCATCAGTTCTGTAGAGGGTAATAATCAGAAGATAATTTGTTTGTCCAGGGAAAAATCAAAGAACGTTTTTCTCGTCCTGAATGAAGCAACTCTGAAATAGGTAGAACAGGAGAGGCACTACATTAGCTGAATCCAATTAGGATTTTTGAGAGACAAACTTAAACTGTTTTTCATGAAGAACATTTTTCTTGGCATAAAGTATGAATAATAGAAATATTATGAATAAAAAAAATGTACAAAAAATATATACTTGTGGATAAGCTAATATTTTTAGGTGTCAAAATGCACCCCAAAAATTGTGATTTGCTTATCCATGGATGGGCTTATCCAAACATATGTACAGTAATAGTGTTTTTTTTAAGTACTCATATATCCCATATATACTTATGAATATAGCTATCCATAGAAATGCTGATCCTCATTTTTTAAAACCAAAATACCTTAAAAAATAAGCCACTCACAAATAAGCTAATTTTGAAAATTAAAACACAACATTTCAAAAGTCAGCTTATCCATGGGTAGTACAGTTTTCATGGCATTTTGGTTACATATTTTTGTGGGTTGACTTATCTATGAGTTTATACATGTTTATACCACAAGTACCTATGCCACCCAAACCTCAGGCCATGTACTTCTAACTCAAAGAACATTCTATTTCTTAACAACACTCATTTTTGAATCCAAACATCTTTCTTTTTTTTACAAGTCTTTGATCCATTACTTCACTTTAATATCCAATTATTTAATCAATGTAATCAAGTGATTTGGCTAACCTATTGCCCAATTCCTCAGATATTTTTGTTAAGTAAATCTGATGTAATTCCTTTCTGTGCATATTGCTCTAGCAATCTCTCTTCCCTACTATTTTTGCCCCTTTTTTCTGATTGCTATTGTAATCCAAAACTGAAAGTGTCACAATTGCAAGGGAAAGCGTGAAAGACAAGCTGTTCCTTTTATTTATTTTTTCCTATTTTGTCTTCCTGTGCCCTTAATACTTTTGTCTAAAATGCTCCCTGTACTGTAGTTACAATCAGCATCAGAGTCTGGCTTACATTACCTTTATCTTTGGTTTCATAAAATCCAAAGATAAAAGTACAAATCCTGTACTTTTTAACAACAGACAAAAAACATTTCCACAAAGGTCCAGTTAGATCATCTGTTTTAATTCCCCGCCTTTATAGTCTAAAAGGAACATTGACTCAAGAGGTGGAATTGTCTTATCCTGCTACGCAGAAAATATATCTTTAGCTGTAAACTAATTCCATCCAAAAGTGTTTTAAAAAGTGAGACTTTTCACTTGGAACCCCCCCCCCCACTATTTTACTCATGAGTCAACTGCCAAAACTTCTGTTCTGGACAATTACTCACAAGGAGCAGCTATCCAGAGTACAAGCGGGTGATCTTGTGATCTTTCCTATATCCAGAAAGACAAAGCTAACCAGAATTTGCTCTGTGGTCACTGATCTCCAACATAATGCTCCAACTCTTTCAAGGACATCTAGTCTGCCATAAATACTCACCTGGAAGCTTTAGTAGTCCTGGATGCATGTATTTTTTCCTCTCTAAAGTCATATAACTATTTTATATGAGCTGTATATAACACTGGAAATGCAGTCTAATATCAGAAAATTATATATTTCACAATAGATTGATTTCCTATTAATTGATTATTGTATGATTCTGAAGAATTTATTACAGCAATAAAATATTATTGTAATTAACTATTTTCTTAACCTAAGAACATTTCAGGCTCACACAATGAAGCTAATATATTTGGACTAGAACCATTCTCCGTGTATTCCATCAGTGTTTCTGCATTTACAAAAGTTGGAAATGGCAATCAATTTAGTAACCTTGTACAATTCACAACAATGGAATCAGGTTAGATTCTTTAAGATCAAGTATTTTAATATGTACTGGTTTTACAGAAGAAGCATTTTAGCTATTCCAAATTTAATCCAAATAACCCTATGGATTTCTCATCTCGTTTGGTCAAAAGTTTATCTTAATTCCAGGATCTGGATAATTATTATAAACCCAATTGGACAGTTATTAAGATTATTAATATTACATCAATGCTGATTTTCTTCTCCCAATTCCATCCATCTTTCTATTGCCAAAATGCTACTTTAGTTAGCTCAAGAAGCATGATATATTATCTCCTGTAAAGAGAAATTATAAAAATCATAATTAATGAAGTAGAGGTACATCAAAATATAGTTCATTCTATTGTATTTTTACCGTTGTGGAAAAAGCCAATAACTTCCTTTGGTGGATCCACTAAAGTGCTTTTATTATGATATAATATGAAATGCTGAAATGCTTTCTTGCATTTGCATATTGAAGTTGCAACTGCCTTTCAGTTTTATCTGAATATAATCTGTACTTTTCTTTGAAGCACCTGGTATTGTCCAGAATACCCAGTGTATTGCAACCAGTTGGCAGTCAATCCGGCTCCAATGGGACCCTCCTTTGAAAACAAATGGAATCATTACAAATTACATCATAACATTTAGAGAGAATTCAACCATCTCATCATCTCATAATGAAACAGTGTGTATTTTGAGAAACTTACTATCCAATACAACTTACCAATTTAAAATAAAAGCTGCAACAGCTGCAGGAGAAGGGAAAGAACAGTTATGCAATTCTAGCACATTTCCTGAAACAGGTACCAATTCCCTACATGTCAAGCTATAATTAATAATTTCAGAAATTTCTTTCATAATGTCTTTTCAACTAAGTTTTCAGAGCTGGGTGGAACAGCATACTATTGAGATATATTAAAACTTACGTTGTGTTAATTTTGTAAAATATATTAGAAGAGCAACGGTTCCAAGTAATTGTGCTTAGGAATTCATGCAAGCAACTATAACAACAATAAAGTTTTTATTATTGGGTTAACATTCTCTTAGCTGTGTGTTCTCATGCATTTTTTTGTGTTGAGTAGCAGCCACTTGAAATTGGAGACGTGTAATTAGGAATGGAAACAGTTTTAAAGTTATTCTCAGCTTCTTATTTATGGTGGACAGAGTTAGTCACAGACACATAGCCAACTCAGAGTCACTGCCAAGGCATTTATTTCTGACGCTAAGTGAAATCAAATTAGGTTCACCATCTCATCCCAAAATCTCTGAACAAGAGCCTTCAAAGTATAACTTGATTGTTTATTGTTAGGTTTATTAGAACTGGGTGTAACTATAGATTATCATAAAAAGAATTACATATAATAACCTATGATACAGTGACATTCTCAAGTGGATGTTACATCTTTTATCATAGTCTATACTGTAGGATAATTTGCTTCGATTTATAGAATCAAAATATACAAAGTTGTGAGAATAAATGCTACCAGTGTGTAGAAACTGAATGGAACTGTAACTTCTTCTGAGAACTGTAAAAAAAAAAGAATGTGATGGTTGAATTTTTATTTTTAAAAAATGTTTAATATTTAGATTCTGTTGTTTAAAAAAATCTGCAATGGCAGCTTATAAAAATAGTGGTAAAGGGATCACAATAATAAAACACAAGTAATCTGATCCGATTATCAAATTCTCAACAATGCTCCAATTTTTATATATGTTTTGCATTTCTGGACCATGTATCTCCCTCAAAAAAGCCTCTGGGTAGTGTACAATAGAATACCAAAATATAAAGCATTATATGAGAATTAAAATGTTAAAGTTAAAATTTAAATTTAAAAAGATTATAAAATTATAATAATAAAATTATATTATTCAAAGAGACAAGAAAATATTCGAGGAAGCAATTTAACCCTGTTAAAAATTGGTTGTTGAAGACCAAAGGACAGCTCTTATGACACCAACCAGCCCCATGATTGCATATTCCTTTCAAAGAAAAGTATTTTTTAAAATAAATAAATAATTAGGTAATCAGGCTACATAAGGGATTTAAACTGTGAGAATTCAAGAGGTGATTCTGAATTCCAGGGGATCTGTTATTTCCTAGACATCAAGTTCTGATCTTAATATAAGTTGCATAGATGAAACATTTCTAGGATAGATTGATATGAATATTCCCAATGACCTGAAACCATTTATAAATCTTCATAGGGAAATGTTCTATATTATGATAGCATCAAGATGGGCTAGATAGTGCCATTTGAAAAAAATCAAGGTATTAAATATGTAGAATTTCCTTTACATTTAAAACTCTTTACCAAAAGTTTTTCAAATGAATCATTCTCAGTTATGAAGTTATTTATTTCTGTGTATTCTCAATGTATATTAGCATACTTCATGTTTGTGTGAAATAATAGTTTAGAAGTATAGTGTCTAAATTAGAATTTGTAGCTTGCATAGAATAGTATGTATGTATGTATAAATGTGGCTTTAGTTACATGTGTGACTTACTTGCTATACTAAAATATGATAAAGCACACATGATAATAAATCAACAATGAGAACTAAAACAAAGAGATATAAGATGTGAATATTTGCGGAAGAATATATGAAGGTTGCTTGAAAATGTAATTTATGTATTCTTTTATATGCAGATGATGTCCTGTTGAACAGTTGAAAACCCAAATGATTTGCCATACATATAAAATAGATTTTATGATGCAACAAGGAGTATGAGTCTTAAAATAAATATATCAAGGAGCAAGGTTGTTGTGTTTAACAGGGAAAACTGAGTGAATGAACCTCCATAGATTGTTAGTCAAAGATGGGGAAATGAGTGGAGAAACACTAGTAGAAGGGTCTGTAGTAAGTCGTATACAGTCTGTTGTAATAATGAAAATTTATCAAAAGAAACAAAAAATGGTTGTGCATAAGTGTGTGCTACAGTCTACTTTGTTATATGGAAATAAGAATTTGTAAAGGATAGAAATACATTGAATGCAGTGCTTGTGACTTACTTAAGAAACATGTTTAAAGCGAGAGGTAGAATCAAGAACAAGCTCTGGATTAATGAGAATAATAATGCTAAATTGGTTTTGTCAGGAATGAGAAAAATGAACAAATAAAGGATTTCATTAGTATTACTTTATTTTAGAAAAAATAAATGGCTATCTGTTTCTTTCTGTTAATGTAAATTTTCAACCTTGGAATCTGTAATCTAATAGTAACTTTTTTATATAAAGGAAACATTGAGAGATGCTGGAAGCAGTCATTAGAGATAAAAAAAGCAGAGAACTGCCAAATAGCCAAAAGAATGGAATTTATTTAAGAATTTGACTCATTTAAGAACACATAATTAAGCTAAGAAATACTTTTCAGTTCTTTTCAGCTTTTCACCTTTTATAATGTTATGTATTCTTTGACATTTGTATTTGACAAGCTAAATGTTCAAAACATTTTTAAAATAGTGTAATATCTCAGATATAAATATAGATCTTTACTTTAGCAGATGCAGGAGAAGAAAAGAATTCTAATACACAGAGGAATATAGGAGTAGATATGCTTTTTCATTGGAACTAATGAGAAAAGTTCTTAAATTACAAATAAATCTTCATGCACATTATAGTCCCTTCATCCATAATAAATCTTGCTGTGTGTGTATTTGTGCCAAATTTCTCAATTTTAAAGAGGTACCAAAATAATTCTATATAGCAATGGTATCAAAAGATGATGTAGCCAAAGTAACAATAACTGTCCTAGCATTCCTTCTTCAAACTGAAGTCTAAACCAGATTGTAATAACAATGAATATGTGTTTCCAATGGTTTATCCTAAAACTCTAAGGGTATACAACATTTGCATAAAGTATGTAGACTTCATAAAGTATACTTGTATTCTCAGTTGTCTATATTTTCAATGTTATGCCTGTGACGATGGGAAATATCCATGCTTTAATCTAGTGCATGGAATAAAGACTTTCAGACCAAGAAAGAATGTATGTATAAATGTATCTGGATAAACAATATGAAGTGTATCTTAGCTTTAATGCAAAATAATATAGTGATATTATAATTATAATTTTATTATTACTATTTTTAGCTCCAAGCGCTCCAAGAGATATAATATTTTCAAAGGTACAATCAACAAATGTGACCTTGAGATGGATAATACCAATTACTATTTTGGGCTACTTTCAAAACTACAAGATTACTACACAGTTACAATCCATCCATTGCAATAGTTGGGATTCTTCTGAATGTATTGAATATGAGAAGGATCAATACTCATATCTTGTTGATAATGTTGTAGAAGAAACAGTATATGACCTGAAAAAATTTAGATGGTATCGATTTAGAGTTTCTGCTTGTACAAATGCTGGTTATGGCAATTCCACACCTTGGATTGTCGCACAAACTCTTCCTGGCTGTAAGTAAAACTATAATAATCCTTAATTTTATACAGAACTCAACTTTATAAAACTTATGAAAAATTAACAATAGGCACAATTAATTACAAAGTTATTACTATGTGTTTCTCCAGGCATATTCATTTAGTTTAAAACTCTCTCCCTCCCTCCCTCCCTCCCTCCCTCCCTCTCTCTCATATATATTAGGAATTGAATGTATAACATATCTGGTCATGAAATTGGAGACTGACAGCAATTAAATAGGTTTGCATTTAACCATTCATTTCCATAATTACTTCTTATATTTTTATATTACATTTTTTGCACAACATAAATATATAATAGAGACTCACACTGAATATATAAATATAACATAGAGTTTGGATTAATATTTTCTTCATTCACCAATAGCTGTATTTTAACTAAGGTTTTCAAAGGCTAAACATTTAAAACAACAATTTTTAATAAAATTAAAACAACTTATTTGCTTAGAATAAATTTGGCATTACTGGAAAATTTGTTCTTTTAAAATAAATTTACCATTTCTAATGGTGCAAAGAAAGCATAGCAAAACATATTGATGGTTGCACTTTTTAGATAGATTTTTTTACTAGTACAGTTGAGCAGCTGTTAAACACCTGCTAAATTTAATAAAATTTCAAATTATAAAAAATATTTAAAGTAGGGTAAAAATATTTTCTCATTCCCCCTCCAAAGAGCATCAATGCTTAAGTTCAACCTTATCTTTTGTCTTTTTGAGTCAAGCATCAAGTCACCACTTCCTCTAATAACAGTTTTGTTTGAACATTTTGTGTGAAACACAGTGACATGAAATGATTAGGGTACTGAAGTTTGTTCATGTCCTTAGATTATGAAGAGGAAGTAAAGGTTCATGTCCTTCAGTTCAATCAACTCACAGGATTGCTGAAAAGGAAAAATAATTGAATGATAAGTATATCACCAAATCTTCTTGTGAGAGAGTCTAGCATGTAAATTTAACAAACAAGTCAATAAATAAGAGAAAGATATCATTGACATACACAAATACTAGAATATTTTCTCTTTACAAGCTCACACTAAATTTATGGATATAAGATATTTTAAAGAATAATTGATGGCATTTTTTAACTTGCGAAATTATATTTTGAATTCATTGTGTAATAAGGAAACAAACACCAGGAAATCATCTCATGTATTATGTAGCCATGACAGTTTTCATAATCATGCATTTAAATTTATTATATTTTAAGACTTTCATCAACATTTTTCCATATTGATAATTATAAGAATAAAAACCTTAACTTCGTATATTCGTACTATTTCTTGTTCCATAATTTAGATAGAATACTCTGACTTCTGTTTTACAAATTGTTCTCTTAGGAGCTGTCTTTCTGTCTCATAAAATAGGCCAATGGGACTATTATTGCACTGATGATAAATTATATAATTCTGCTTTACAATATTTTCTAAAGTATCTGAATTAAACCATATGCTTCTGTCATAATAAAAGAATTATTGACAATTGTTTTTATAAAGTAGTGAAAAAGCTATATATCCAAATTTCCTCTTTCTGACACATATGTAGAAGGTAAAAGGCCTGTCCTTCTTCTCATAAAATTTCTATGCTGCTCAGACATTTGGCTAAGATCAAGTATTCGATCCTCTTTTCTAGATGGATATTCAAAGTACTATGACCCAGGTTAGAGTAGGAAAAAGAAATTCAGTAAGAAAATAATTTCCTGGTCTGTAGTTTCTGTATGTGCAAAATTTTTGTTTTACTGTATTTTGGATCACTGAGGTCTATCCAGTCCTTGAAAAGTTAATAATAACAGAAACAATGGCAGCCTTTTGCAATTTCCATTGAGCCTATACTGAACTTAATCTTGGTTTTGTTCCTGCTTGCCCACATGAGAATCAGTAGTTTAATAGAATATAATGAATCCATCTGAAAAGATAAATTTAATTTGCTGTTCCTGTTTTCCTACCAATTTTATGTGGGCTTCTAAATCTGCACATTGTGTCTAGGCATGTTGAAGTTGGTTCCTTTGTTATGGGAATATCAGAGTGCTGTTTCCATCTATTCCCGATGATAATCACTGTGGTATATTTCCTCATTTGGTATAATAAATATACAGTAGTAAGATAAGGATAATGACCAGCAAAACACAACAACAAAGAATCGCAGCAGTGGCATGTCCGGATACCAATCTGATTCCTACTGTACTTGCTCTTTCCTCATCATATGGTTATATATAAGATTATATTCCAGAATATTGAAATACAGAGTAAGAACATTGGTATAATCCATAGAGCTCCTGTGGAAGTTTGCTCTAAGAAAAAAAAGATCTTGTTCAACTTACCCTTTTTTTAACCATCAGATTTCCAAGGAATCTAGAGGGAGCATTATGTGTTTTTTTTTTCTATACCCCTAATTCTTTACTGATTGTGCAATAGTGGAAGAGAAATTAGGCTTTCCTTGCATTGCAATTGTTTCAAATAAAATTCAGACCAGAAGACATTTATAAAAATAATAAATTTAAATTTATTTGATTAAATATGCTTATCTTATTTAAGGATTCCATATTGGTAAAAAAATCAGGTAGAAGTTGAGAGTTAAAAGAATATTTCCTAAACTACTCTTTTAAAGCTACTTTGCTAGTACAGGCCTTGCTAAAACGAATAGAGCTTGAATCAAAAGATTCTTTTGAGTATCAGAAGATCAGTTTGTAAAATGATAAGCTATCCAAATGTACCATCCAGCTAACAAACTTAACTGCTGCCTTTGCATCAGGACACAGATGGATGGGAAAAAATGACCCTGACCTCCATAAGACCTACATTCCTGTGGAAGCATAGAAGCATGATAATCAGGAAATGATGGGTATTAGTTACAGAAAATGCATTATTGTGAAGACCAGGAGAAAAGTGCTCATGAGAGGAAGTGATTGGATTATATGGGAATGAGTGAATAAGACTGGGTCGTTCCTACTGAGTAAATTGCTGTGATTTATAAGAGAAAGGCTATAGTGATATCGTACCCATTTCTGGCTAGACTTGTTTCACAAACAGTCTTAAATCAATATGTGACAGTTGCCATTGGCACAAAGTTTGTTTATGTAAGATGTTTGTTGTAAAGGTTCTAGACAGAAGCTAATAGATTTCCAATTTCCAGTCATATTTTACTTTATTTATCTGACGTGTAATTCTCCTTTTGGGTGAAAATTCTTCAACTATGACAAAAGCCAATAAAGAGATAAATTGGTGCTTTAGACTAAGAATTTGAAAGGCATTGACATCCTGATCCTAAATACATTTATATGGAAGTGTCTAAATGTTCATCCTTTTGAGTTTTTTGCAGCTGTGGTTTTCAGTCATGATGTGTTATTTCCCAGACATGTTGCCATTGGGAGAGGTGGCCACATATACAGTTAGTTGATTGCCACTTTCAGAATTATCCAATTCTTTGATACTTGCAATCCCTCAAAACTAAGAGGTTGATTCAGTGCAAAGTATAATTCTGTATAGAGGCCAGCTCAGCCTATGTCAGCATAGCTAACAGCAGAACTAAATAAAAAGGCTGTCAGAGCTTAAATGTTCATGTGAACAATCTCTAATTTCATTGGTATCAGAGGAATTTGCTTTCAAATAAATGCTTGGGGCAGAAGCTGCATTACAGAAAGGGATTTACTTTCTGTAGAGCAAGCATCAAATTCAGACATAGGGACAATATTTTTGGTTGGAGAGTTTTACATAATCATGTATATGAATCATCTTTCTGTTTTTGAAAATCCATTAAATTATTAGTAAATGATTAAATTTATCCATTAAATAATTAAGATTTAATTTACCTCAACTAAATCAACTATTATTTCATTTCCCTCTCTTTCTTACCCCAAGGAGTAGTACAATCATCCCAATTTTCATTTTGGTGACATCATTATAAACAAGATACAAGCCTTTCCCAGTATCTGATTAACACAATCAGTGCTTCATTGAGAAGGCTTCAACACCCCTTGTCTGCAGACCTTGTTGTCCACATATCTCAAAAGGAGATTTGGCTCTGTCCTTGTAGTGTTGGTCAAGTGGAGGACATTATCCATTATGTCCCTCACTGCCCCATTTACAATGAGATCAAGGCCAAATTATTAATGGCAGATAAACTCAAAGAGTCTAATCTTGAAAAATTGAATTTCCATAGCTGAGGATGGCCATCTTGGTGCTAATGCAAAATTAGCAAAATTTAATCATATAGCCCCCCTTCCCATAGTATTGATCTCTGGAAGACAAATAATAGTGTTTTCCCCCGAACAGGTGCTCTTGCAATCAGAGAACTTGCCTAGTACCCTTTAGTAAAAGCAATGACTGGTAAAGAAAGTTTTGGGAGGAAAATTGTATTTTAGCATTATAAATAAATATTTTCATGTCCACCTATAATCTGCTCTTTTAGGCAGTTGGCACTTAATTGTATTAATTAATATTATTGCATAATAATAAAGACTTCACCGTTCAGAATGACAGTTTCAATATAAATCTTTTTTAATATAATCTTTTGATGTACTTTTCTTCATGTAGCTCCAGATGCTCCTCCAGCAAATGTAACTGCAGTAGCTACATCTCCTTACAGTATTAATATTAGTTGGAATGAACCTACCATAATTAGTGGACCAACATTCTACCTCATTGGTATTTCCTCAGTAAGTCATTTCAAGTCTTCTATTCTTTGATTCTTATTATTCATATAATAAGTAAAAACAGAGTTTTACTTAGGAATCAGATATTAAATAATATTTTATTGATTGTTAGTATGCAATAGGAACACAGAATCTGCAGCTTCTGCATCTCTTTCTACACCTTTAGTATTCCCCTGGCAACACAGCAGAAAATCAATAGTGGTGTATCTTGATATTTGGGAATAAATAGAAAATATGCAGAATCTCACCAACTAGAGCCATTCGTTTCCCCAAAACTGTTAAAGGCAGCCTTTGGCAAGTCTTCTGAATACAAGATACTGTTTGCTGGACCAAAGAAGCTGCATCTGATAAGCCAATAATCTAATCAGCTGTACCAGGATTGGGCAACCTTTTATCTTTTTAAAACTATTTTCTCTCAGGAATATCTGTTTGGAAGATTCCTAGCAGGCAAGGTTAAAAGCAAAGAGTGGATTGCACCATAATAAAAAGTTAGTGGTGATACCATTTTGCTTCTAATAGCATTCTTTTTATCTTTTCTAATTCACTTCTCTCCCAAAATACAAGGTAGGCAGTCCTCATTTAGTGACCACAAATTGGGTCTGGCAAAAGTGAAATGGTCACTAGGTGACAGCAAACTGTCCTTACTTCAGCTTTCCTTTGCTTTACAGACCTGTGAAGGTCAGAAATGTGAGAATTGGTTGCTAAACTACAAGTGGTCACAGTTACTTTTTCATTACTGTCATTTACAATCACTCTATGAGCTAAAAGAGGACTACTTGTCAATTGTATGAACAATCTGAACATCTGAAAACTTGATAAACCAAAAAGAACTAGCACAGAAAATAAAAATGGCCAAACAGAATTACTTTGAGTTTGCAAACAAAACTGGTAGATGGCTGGCCTACAGACTGAAAAAAGATAAAGATAAAAGGATGATACACCAACTTAGAGATGCAAATGGAGAGATCCATTACAGCAGGAAAGCGAAAAAAGAAATTATCCAGACATTTTATGCAAATTTATATAAACAAGAAGAAGTAGAAGATGAAAAGATAAAACAATATATAAAAAGATCAGATATTCCAGTAATTACAGACAAAAAAAGAGAAATGTTAAATAGGCCAATAACTAAGATGGAATTGGATGCTGCACTGAAAAAACAAAAAAATAATAAAACTCCGGGACCAGACGGCTTACCGGTGAAATTATATAAACTTGTACAAGAAACAATAGGAGAGATTATGCTGGAGCTATATAATGAGGCTTTAGAGAAGACAAAAATCCCGCTAACCTGGACGGAAGCAATAATTACAATCATACCCAAAGATGATACTGATCACCAATTAATTCAAAATTATAGACCAATATCTCTATTGAATACAGATTATAAAGTATTTGCAATAATTATAGCGGAAAGAATAAAAAAAGTACTGAATAATTATATTCATATGGACCAAAATGGATTTCTGATGGGCCACCAAATTAAGAACAATATGAGAGTAATAATAAATGCACTTGAATACTACGAAGCACATCCGGAAAAACAAGCTTCACTGATTTTCCTTGATGCCCAAAAAGCATTCAACAACTTAAATTGGAAATTTTTAAAAGGGCAATTAGAGAGTATGCAATTCGGAACAAACTTCGAAAAAATTATAGGAGAAATATACACTAAACAAACAGCAAAAGTAATTTTGAAGGATGACATGACTGATCAAGTTGATATAACAAAAGGGGTTAGACCACTGTCCACTTTCTCCACTATTGTATATTTTAACATTGGAGATTTTGCTAAAAAAAATTAGAGAAGACCAAGAAATCAAAGGGTTAAAAATAAGACGAGAGGAGTACAAGGCTCAGGCTTTTGCTGATGACCTTGTATTTATAGCAGAAGAGCCATTAGAAGTAGTACCAAAACTGTTTAAGAAAATAGAAGAATTTGGAGACGTGGCTGGCCTAAAAATAAATCGAAATTAATCGAAATTAATACTAAAAAATCTTACGAAGATCCAAGAGACAGAACTGGAAAACAGGATACAAATCCAAGCAACGAAGAAAATAAAATATTTAGGGATCTGGCTGTCACCAAGAACCTCATCAATAAGAGAAAACAATTATGATAAATTAATGATACAGATAAAAAAAGATTTGGATAATTGGAAAAACCTACAGATCTCATTAATGGGAAGAATTTCCAGTATTAAAATGATCAAAGCTGCTATACCTGTTCCAGGTTGTGCCAATAAAATTAGAGAAAAAATTCTTTGAAATTTTAAATAAGGTGATTTCTAAATTCATATGGCAGGGGAAACGACCATGAATAAAATTGAAGTTACTCCAGGATACCAAGGACAGGGGAGGAACAGCACTCCCGGATTGGGAACTCTACTATCAAGCGGCAGTGTTATCATGGGTTAAAGATTGGATGGAACTGAAAAATAGCAGAACATTAACAATCGAAGGTCATGATTACAAGTGGGCTGGCACTCCTTTCTATGGGATGAAAAATATAAAACACATACTTACTTTAAAAGACACACAATTAGAAATGCATTACTATTAATTTGGCTCAAAATTAAAAAACAACAGTATACAAAAATCCCAATTTGGCTTTCACCATCAGAAGCATTAAGGCATCCAAACTTAACAGAACCTAAAAGTATAATTAGACACAAAGACTTAACTGATTATCAAGGGAAATTGAAAACTAAACAACAATTGGAAACAGATTTAAATAGAGAAATCGATCGGTGGACCTTCTCACAGATTCAATCAAAACATAAGGAATATATAAAAACATACGAAATTTACAAAAAAAACCCCAAGAATTAGATAAAATTATACTAGACTCAGAAGAGAAATTAATTAGTAAAATTTATAAATTCCTGTTGCGATATAAGATGCAGGAGGAAACAGTTAAGAATATGATGATTAAATGGATGCAAAACTTCAAATATACAAGAGATCTGGAGAAATGGGAAGAACTTTGGCAATTGAATACAAAAGCAACATTAGCGGTGGCATACAAGGAAAACCAGTTGAAGATGTTTTATAGGTGGCATATGTCACCCACAAGATTGGCTAAAATTCATCCGAAAAACAGCTCACTATGTTGGAAATGTAAAAACTCACAAGGTACCTTTTACTATCTATGGTGGACGTGCCCGGTAGCAAAGAAATTTTGGTCCAATATTAAGAAATGGCTGGAACAAATTACTAAACTACAAACAGAGAAGAAACCAGAAACTTTCCTGTTAGGAATCTTCACCAAAACATATCCTAAAGAAATAAAATATTTGTTGATACATATTCTAACGGCAGCGCAGATAACATATGCCAAAAACTGGAAACAGGAAAAAATCCCAACGAAAGAAGTAGTAATGGACAAAATTATACAGTGCGCCGAAATGGATATGTTAACAAAAGAGCTAAAGGAAAAGGAAGAGACAGACTACTACAAAATATGGAATAAGTGGTACCAATGGTATAACGCCACTATCAAAGAAATACAATTAGAAGAAGGATAGAATAAAAATGTAAATATGTATTTAAATAACTTCCTACAGGCAGATAAATCTGTAGAGGGAAATTTAAAAAGAAAGGGATAATCCAAATATATAGTATATAGATTACTAAGGGGGGAATTCTTAGGGGAGGAAAATAGTGGGGAGCGGGAAATGGAAAAAGGAAATTATTAGGTTAAGATTAAGAAGAATAAGTATAACTGTACTAATTGAAGGACCAATACGAAACAAATGCTTCAAAAGATTAATTTATTTATATGTTGTTTGTTGTGTAAATGTTTTTATATGTTTTTATATGTGTTTTAATAAAGTTTATAAATTTAAAAAAAAAGAAAAGAAAAATCTGAACAAATTCTCCCAGACTGCATGGCCTTGGAATCCTATGAAGGAACACACAGAATGAGTGTGAAGACTCTGGGTTCCTAAGGTCTTAGATAGTATCACCATTCTAAGATACCTCTAAATATAATCACAGATAGTCCTTAACTTATCATCATTCATTTAACAACAATTGAAAGTTGCAATGACCTCAGAAAAAAAATGACTTGTGACCTGTACTTACACTTACAGGTAAGTATACCGTAGATAAGAATTCTGTCATATCGTCACCACTACCAGCTTGGCAGAACCGGGCGGAACCGGGCAGAACCCACCACTGCATTGCCGCCTCCGCCTATCGCCGCCTCCGCGCCTCCCATTTTCAGCCTCCCCATGTCCCATTTTCGGCCCATTCCAGGCAGCAGGGATAGGCAGCAGCGATCCCCGCCACCTGGAACAGCTGATCGGTGGTATTCTGGGAGGCTGATCCAACCACCAATCATCTGCTTATGCTAAATCAGGCTGTGCTGAAGCTGACCAGGCTGTTTGCTGTTTGCTGCAAGGAGGCAAATTGCTAGGAGGCAGAAGCTGAAGGGTGGAGGCTGGTGGGTGGGTGGGGCTTTGGCAACATTTGCTCTATAAGACGCACAGACTTTTCCACCCACTTTTTTGGGGGGAGAGTGCATCTTATAGTTCGAATAATACAGTACTTTCTTTGAGGAAGTTTCCAATTACTTTCCATTTAAGCTTCTGAAGATGTGATTCAAATAGGGTCAGTGCTCTAAGCACTATTTGTACAGCTGGTCACTGTCATAAGTATTATACAAAAAATTAGATCTAATTTAATTTAATTATCTAATTTAATGTTATTTACTGCATATACTGATTTCTCCTTTTTTTAAAAAAAAACTATTAAGAAATATTTCTTTTTAATGGAATTTGCTATGGCATATATCAATTTTGCAAAGCAGAGATATTTGATGGTTTCCTCTATTGTAATATTATTCTGAATTTTTATCTTTGGTCATAATAATTGATTAAACTATAAAATCAATGTTTGTATAATGATCTACTGAGTGAACTCCAATATATTATAAATAGTCTTTCATTCCCATAATAAGAATATCTCCTCTTCTCCCTTCAGGCCTTTACATACACTAAAACCTTGAGCAATCCTCTAGCAATTATTTTTGTTTATTGTTAGTTTTAGCTGTTTCAGTTATATATATTGTCTTTTCTTTCTTTCTTTCTTTCTTTCTTTCTCTCTTTCTCTCTCTCTCTCTCTCCACCTCCCTTCCTTCCTTTCTTCCTTTCGCTTACTTCTTTTCATTTTCTTGTTTGTTTAAGGATCAAGTATTTCTTGCTTTTCAGTGATAACCAACCCTATATCATTTTTATTGCATTTTTCAGCCCCCTTTAACACATATGATTTACTTCAACTTTTTTGAGGCTAGCCTTTGGCCACCCAGTGTGGTATTTTACTAAGTAAGGATTTAAAACCAAGCTTTTTATTCACTGCATCATATTGTCCCCAGTATTATTCTTAAGCTGAATATATGCGTGTAAACACATACATGCTAAGAAAAAGTTAATGATAATGAAATGAGCTTAGCTAATCTTCCGTGGGAAATAGTCTGTGGACCAGACAAACAGAACACAAAGCTTAGCATTGTGAAAATGGAAGAAGTCTTATTATGTTCCTATGTTGTTATAATGAGCAATGATATATGAAGAAATACTTTGTCCCTTGATAGTCATCCCAGGAAATCACTATCTGTTTAGTACATCAGAATCTTTATTTAAGGTTAACTCTCAGTGGGGACACTAAAGCACATCTGTCAAATAAAATATATGCTTAAACTATCTTAGTCTCTTAGCAGCTGCATCTTCAGTAGAGATGACCCTATGGCACTGCTACTGTAGACATTTGTTTTCTTTTTTTCCTGTTTCATAATAGAAAAAAAAACTGGAATACGGAAAACGTGAAAATGTTTTGGTGTTCGTTTCTATTAAATGTTTTTCTTTGTTCTATTTCTGGGACCTTTTCTAATTCCGTCATTGATTGATCCACTTGAAATGGAGATCCTGTGTGGATTCTTCTGAAACAGGATCCCATCTTATAAAAATAATCATGCCTCTGGTGAACGTTTTGACTTTATGCATGTACAACTGGATTCCAATATTAAGATAAGCAAAGCCTTCTACTTCAGATGTCCAAAAACCAGGCTTGCTCAATATCTCAGATGCCGCATTGAAAATCTATTATGTGTACACAGATCCTTTATCAATTCCATAGGTTTATCTGACTACATTTTATCATTTAGTCTTTAAACTATTATATTTCATCTACTTATACTTTAGGAATCAGTCCTGCAATATTATCAGTTTTTATCTTCAGACATTACATACATCACATATAAATAGAGGAGCCTGAGTGGCGTAGGAGGCTAATGTCTCCTACTAAGGCAGCATTTAACATCCAGCTGCCTGCAATTACTGCGAGTTCAATTCTCACCAGGCTCAAGGTCGACTCAGCCTTCCATCCTTTCTAAGGTGGGTAAAATGAGGACCCGGTTTGTGGGGGCAATAAGCTGACTTTGTATAAAATATACAAAAGTATGAAGACTATTGCTTAACGCATTGTAAGCCGCCCTGAGTCTCCAGAGAAGGGCGGCATATAAAAATAAATTTAAAAAAAATATCTGCAGGTGTATTTAAATATTCAGTTGAGGCCTGATGATCTATAGGGTTGTGGTCCTTTAGAAGAAATCAAGTATAGCAATTGTGTATAGTCTGTACTTATTCTATTTACTGTTTAATGGAACAATGATGAAATAGAGTATTTTCTGATTTTGGGTCCTAAGACTGTTAGATGTAAAAATCGAGAGAGCAAAAAGCATGATCAATCTCCAATTTTATGCATTACCAAAAAAATATCTGGAAAATTATGCCAGTGATTTCTGGATTAAAGGTTCCCCAAAGGTTCCCCGCTATATAGTCATACACAAGATCTAAAGAAAATTTATTGCATTAGTACTGGGATAAAAAAGCGTGACAAAGTCATTATGCATGCTGTGTCTGTTTGTGTTATTCCTTAAATTTACCCACCCCCCACATGCTCTGCACTTTTTTTTTCTTGCACAGGTAGATGACAATTCAGTCCTGTTAACTCAGTTTTCTCTTGATGATATATCACCCATAGTTTCTTACGAATAATCTAATAAACATTATGCTTTTGTACCTGCTTGTTAAAGGTGGATACAGATTACTATCAAGCTTCATTTGTCAAAGCAAACTATGAAGATAAAACCCTCAGTATTTCAGGATTGAGAGCATTTACAAGGTATTCCATAATTGTCACTGCTTTTGTAGAAGATGTTCAGACTGCACATACAGAAGGCAAGTCTAGCTCTTCCATTATTGTTTCCACTTTTGAAGCAGGTAAGTCGCTAATTCTGTTTGTACATTTTATTAACTACCTGAGTACATAAATATTACAAAGTAAATTACAACCAAAGTCATAAAAAAAATTTAAAAGCATAAATAATTCTTAAATGTTTCTCTAAAACAGCAAAGTATCCCATGCAGTGTCATATCATATAGAGAGAAAAAAATCTAAATACAACTCCCTCACTGCCACTAAAACTTTCAGCTTCTCTGTTTTTGTTTTGAAAAGAAAGGTGAACCATGTAATTTTTATCTGATTTACCTGGAACTTAATATCACAGGGGAGCTTAAATTATCAGCTATTATCTTCAACTTTAATCCGTGGTCAATCTGTTGAATATAAAAAACCCAGTATATTTATATTTTCCCCCAAATGCAATACAGTACAGGCAAATTCACTATAGATTTTGCTTCTTAAGGTCTTTTTAAAAACCTATGGCATAATTTTTTTTTCACTAAGAAATTAGGATACTATTTAATTGCTTTTTCAAAGAAAGAAAAAAGAAAAAAATCAAAGAAAAAGCAAGATGTAAAAAAAGAAAAAAGTTAAGAAAAGTAGAAAAATAAGAAAAAAGTATAAATGGCTTCTGATGCTTCATAGCATTTATATTTTATATTTTATAATTTATAATATATATTTAACCTCTCTCTCTAAAGTTACATCATGATTCTCTTCTTTCTGTAATCTATCCTGTTGCATTGCCAAAACCATGTCACATTTTTAAAATAATTTTTATGCAAAAAGTCCATAAGACCTAATCTTTTAGACTCTAGATGTGCTTAGTAATTTTTAATTAACTGTTTCATCAGCTATTAATTTTTTTCAGTGCCTAGGGACCCACTTAACAATGTAACTTTTCAGAAGATACAAGATGAAGTAACAAAATTTCAAGTGATGTTTGTACCGCCCTCTGAACTCAATGGGAATATTCAAGTATATCAAGCTATGGTATATAAAGATGATGACATAGACATCTTTCAGGTTTATAATTTAAGCATTATAGACAGAACAAACAAGTCAATCACTGCCGTGCTAGAGGGATTAAAAGGAGGACACACATATAATATCAGTGTGAGTTGAACTCTTTTTCTCCAAAATCAATACGTCTAAATTAAATATAAAAAACTGAATAGGCTTTATTTATTTATTCATTTTAATTTATATATTTAAATTTATTGGATGTTCAGTCAATTAGTATGTCATTAATGACAATAGACCCTTGTTGTTTAGAGATCTATAAAACGAATGAATGCAGTTGGATTTCCTGTTTTAATTTTATTTCAATAATCTTGAAGTTGTCAAAATATATAATAAAAAATGATTAGCAAAAAGAAAAATCACTGTTCCATACATAGAAATAAGACCCACTAGCTTCAATAAAGTTATTGATATGTTCAGAATAAAATATTATTTTTCCATGTACTTTTTATGTTATATATGTATCCCTTTAGATATATGTAGTGAAATATAATTAATTAATGAATTAATTAGTGTTAGACTAAACATGTTGAAAACTGTTTTATTTGTTTAGGTATATGCAATCAATAGTGCTGGTGCAGGACCAAAGATTCAGCTTAAAATAACAACAGATATTAAAGGTAAACTATTATAAATAGTAAAGCCAGTAACTGCAGAAATATAACATCAGCTTGCTTTCATTTGGGTTTTTATACACTAGTTACTAGAATTTAATAAGCATATAACTTGTTTCATTCTCTATCTGGTCATAATCAAAATAAAGTTAGATCTTTCATAAATGGCATAATACTGAATTGAGTAATTTGTTAAAGTGTACAAAGACCGAAATCCTGAACAAATTTATTAAAACACATGTTCCATTAATCCAGTATAAATTGAATTCAAATAATAATGGGGATTAAAATAACTTGAAACCTGTTTTGGCAATAACACTATGGGTAGCCCTATAAATTTTGTACATAAATAGTGTTGTGAATGAGATTCATATTTTCCAGTTACTTGTGAAACATAACTCAGTTTTATTTGCACAATCTCTATCATAGTAATATAATTCAATAATAATTTCAGTTATTCAAAGATAAATAAGCACAATTCCCTATCTTAAAAAAGAAAGGACTAAAAGTGCTTGGATAGCAAAACAGAGACCTACTGATTTACAATTTGAGAATTATCTCTGTGGTAGGATCATAAAATGGCTATGATTCAATTCAATAGTACTTATTTGTTTGTTTGTTAAATTTATTTGCCACTTATCTCACTGTGGGGCTACCGTAGGCAGCTTACAACAATAAAAATGGAGAAATGAAAAGAACTGTAAACATAACAGTACTAAAGTAATGGAATAGAATAAACAATTAAAAAAAAAAGAGAATACAGCATTGTGAGAATCTAAGATCGGAGGGTGTGAAGGGGAAGTGAGGTGGGGAGATGGGATTTGCTATAAATCTAAAAGCTTCCTCTAGTGGGATAGTTATCTGAATAGTAAATTTAAAATATTTGTTGTGTGCACATTTAACTGTAAAGCATTGTAGCATTTATTGTCTCAAAACAGAACCACCAAGACCTAGTAAAAAGCCAGCGCCAGTTTATGATACTAGTGGAACATTACTTGTCACAGCCACTACAATTACTATTCACATGCCAGTTTGCTACTATAATGATAATCATGGGCCTATTAAGAAAATACAAATTCTTGTTGCAGAAGCAGGAGGTACGGATTGTTCTCCTCTTAAAAGGCATTTATGAATCTTCTTTCTATTTCTACCTTTTCTTAACCTCTATTTGTCTTACTTGCTCATGGAAATTTCTGAATTTTGGAGTTCTTCATGAGCTACATATGAATTATGAATGGCAATTATGAATGAAAATGAATGGTAAAAAGAATGTGATTCACAGAAGATATCCTACTTGAAGGAGGAGAAGAATTGAGTGGAAAAACTAGCAACAGAGAAAACAGAAATCTTCCTGCCATTGGTTTTACTCCATTTTAAAAAACTCAATATATAAATATATAAATTTTACAGCACTTTGTGATATTAGGTTCTCTGAAACATGGGATCTTATATTTAATCAAATAGTATCCCTGTCCTCATTTACTAATGAATAATCTTTTCAAATTAATTGTCTGAGTAGATAAATTTAGTATTGCATTATAAATAAATGAAATGAGGACACCGTGGTTTGAGAATCATATCAAGTTATTCAAACTTTTGATAAGCGCTTTCAATATTTGGGTTTTTTAAAATCACAATTCTTGGTGTTATTTGGAGTCATATGCTATCCTTTTTATTTAAGAATGGAGATAAAGTATTTAAAGGTAGTTATACGTACATAAAATTACAATTCTTTTTGATGCTTTAACAGAATATTGTATACCTTAAAGCAGGGCTGTCAAATTCCTGGCCCACGGGCCGGATGCATCATGCGTTGGCCACGGCCATGCCCGTTTTAGCAGAAGGGGGGGGAATCCCAATACATCATGTGACAATGCCATGACAATGTGAGTTTGACACCCCTGCCTTAAAGACTAATATATTTATAACTCTGTATGCTTTTGAATGCTGCACTTAATTTATCAGAAGCATTACCTTAAAAAAGAAATATAGTAAATGCACAAATAGAGCTGATAAATAATAAAAAAAGAAAATAAACAAGAATTATTATCTATATATCACTATATCACTTCTCTTTTTTGGGAATTCAGTTCAGAATGATGGCAATATCACCAAGTGGTATGATGCATATTTTAATAAAGCAAGACCTTACTTGGTAAATGAAGGCTTTCCAAATCCTCCATGTATAAAAGGGAATGGAGGAGTGAGCACCAAAGAAGATATTTATGTAATAGGGGCTGATAGCACATGTATGATACCAGGAAGTGAAGAAAAAATTTGCAATGGACCACTGAAACCCAAAAACCAATATGTGTAAGTATTATTTATTTTATACCATCCATCCCACCTGAGTGACTCTGGGCAATTTACAATAAAATATGATTTGCATTTTTGGAAGAATTTGCAGAGGTAAGAAAATTGACTTGTTTAATTAAGGAAAAGTCCATATCTATATTTATTAGGAATTGGAAACTCTTTAGAACTTTTTGCTGAAAATGCAAAAAACTCCAAAACAAATTAAGTAGTGATATGGATATGATTAAAAAGGTAGAATACGGAAAGATGTCAGCCCAAATGTGACCTTTGAGAGAGAATATAAATTATAAATGTATTTAGAACTGCTGTAAATATCGGAAACCACTTCTTTATATCATTCTCTTTCTCTTTTTTGTATTTTTTCTTCCATTTCATTTCTTTTCTATTTACTTATCACTTTACTTTTTTATTTATTTAAATTTGTGCTGTTTTTACTTTGTAAAATATTATTTAAAGAAAATTAATTTGAAAATATACAGGATTTTGCAGCAGCTTTGAATGGTTTGGAGCATGTGCGGCAGAGGTGGGTTTCAACAGGTTCTGACCAGGGGTGGGTTCTAATTTCTAATCTGTGGGCGTGGCTTATTTTGTGGGTGTGGCTTGATGGTCATGTGACTGGGTAGGCATGGCCAACTCAATGTCACGTCAAGAAGTGCCTCGCCTGGCCACTCCCCTCCCAGCCATTCCTTGTCACACCCAGCCTCAACATAGCTATAGTTCTGTAAAAATGTTGTTCACCTTTTTTCAACTTTATATCTACATACTATAGATGCACTTTCATGGACCACTGAAAGGAGGAAATGGCTCACATGCTTTGCCCAAGAGTGTGATAGGCAACAGGATTTTAAGGGGCTGCCAGAAAGAAGGGGGGGCAATGTAGTTTCCAAAGCACCAGAAGGCAAAACAAGAAGCAATGGATGGAAACTGAACAAAGAGAGAAGCAACCTAAAACTAAGGAAAAACTTCCTGACAGTGTGAACCAATATAGGTGCAGAAATATTTCAGTCATAATTTCACATACATATAAAATAGCCATTCATGTATTACAACCTGCATATTGTTCAAAACAGTCATTAGTATTATGGCTGATGTTTGACAGCAAGCCTAAAAGTCAAAGATTACAAGAGTGCTTCTTTCTCTGTATGCATACAAAACATCATATACCAGGAATAGCATATTAAGATGGATTTATGCAGTGGTGGGTTTCAAATTTTTTTACTACTGGTTCTGTGGGTGTGGCTTGGTGGGCGTGGTATGGGTGACAGGGGAAGGATACTGCAAAATTCCCATTCCCTCCTCACTCCAGGGGAAGGTTACTTCAAAATCCCCATTCCCTCCCCACACCACTAACTTGCTCTGGGAAGGAATCAAACTCCCCCCTCTTCATTTCCCCAAATAAAATATTACTCATAAGAAAAGCAAGGAAAAATCAAGCTATTAACAAGGAACCTGCCTGATACTCATTCCACATTCCTGCCAGCTGCATAAAGGAAACTTTGTAAGAAGAAAACAGCTACCGGTGCTTAGAGTTAATAGAAAGTGGAAGCCGGAAGTTCGGCTCCATTTACAAGCAGGCAGAAAACTCATTCAAGACAGGATATTTTACAATGGAAATCAGCCAAACCTTTTTAGAAACACAAAGCCCATGTTGCACAAACCCCAAAACTTCAAAAACATAGAACCATATAAGAATTCCTCCTCTTATCCAGTTTGTTGTTCAGCTGACCCAGAAATGAACTGCTGAATGTCACTTTGCTTCTGCAAGCAAAAACCTCCTTCGAGCAGCTGCTTCTTGGCTTGTCAATTTAAAGCGATGGCGTCTGGTTTTTTTTTTCCCCTGGCTGAGAAGGAGTCCTGATTTTTTCCTTCTAGTCGATCAGTTGGGAGGCTTCTTGGCTTTTCCATTTAAAGCAACGGTGTCTTATTTATTTTTTTCCTCTTCTTTGTCAAGTGAGCCTGATCTTTTCCTTCTAAGCGATCAGCTGGGAGGCAGCGAATAGATTGTGGGCAGGGCCAGGCAGAGGTGGTATTTACCGGTTCTCTGAACTACTCAAAATTTCCACTACCGGTTCACAAGAGCTGGGGAGAATCTGTAGCAACCCACCACTGGTTTTGACCAGTTCTGGAGAACCGGCAGCAGAAATTTTGAGTAGTTCAGAGAACTGGTAGTAAAAATTCTGGCTGGCCCCGCCCACATCCATTCTCTGCCTCCCGAGTCCCAGCTGATCGGGAGGAAATGGGGATTTTGCAGTAACCTTCCCCTGGATTGGGGTGGGAATGGATATTTTACAGTATCCTTCCCCTGCCACGCCCACCAAGCCATGCCCACCAAGCCATGCCATGCCACGCCCACCAAGCCACGCCCACAGAACGGGTAGTAAAAAAATTAAAACCCACCATTGATGTGTGGATATTCATACAGGAATGGTTGGTATCTTCTTAAAGCAGACATACATTTTCCTGGAATTTCATACTTGCCCTTTATAGCTGCAATGCAATTTGAGAAAAAGACACACATGAATTGCCAGCAATTGCCAGTATGGATCTACAATGTCCAATCATGCTCCAAAGCACCATTTTCCTTTGAATCCAAAGAGCTGCAAAGCGTGTCACAAGCTACAAGGCTGGTGTCTTTAATTTATATATACAATTTATATGCTGTATACTTATAAAGTAAGCTTGTGTGTGTATGTGTGTAAAATGTTGTGTGTTTGCTGTTTATAGATTTAAGTTCAGAGCAACAAATATCAGAGGTCAATATACGGATTCAGACTATTCAGATCCCATCAAAACTTTAGGTAATGAATGTTTCATCACAAATGTCTATTTATTAGAAATGTACAAATCATTTTTAAAACTTCCTAGTGAACCTGTATCCCTGTTGTTATAAAGATAACTCCTTTGCATCAAAGGTACAAGGCTGCATTGACCATTGACTTTCACATCTCCTGTTTCTCTTGATCACTGCCTACTGTATATATGTAATCTCATTTAAGTTCCTCTAGGGCAGGGGTGTCAAATTCAAGGCCCGGGGGCCAGATCTGGCCTGTGGGGTGCTAAGATCTGGACCACTGGGCCACCCTAGAAACAGCAAAGGACCAGCCAGCGGTGCCTCTGCCAGTGAAAACAGAGCTCAGGAGGGCTGCTCTGTTTTTGGCTGTGATGGCCTCCTGCTGCCCTCTGCCAGTGAAAATGGAGCTTGGGGGAGCCCCCGACATGAGTGAATCAGGCTGGCCATGCCCACCCTGGCCCCCAAGGTCAAACATAACTGTGGTGCAGCCCTCAATGAAATCAAGTTTGACACCCCTGCTCTAGGGTGATGACCCCCAACTTTTTGGGCACAAGGGACCGGTTCCATGGAGAAAGGTTTTTCCATGGACCGGAGGGGACATCTCATGGATGAAGCTTCATTTGTTTGTGTGGCAATTGCTGCCATGCTATGGACCAGTGCCAGTCAACAGATCAGGGATTGGGGGCCCTGCTCTAGGGGTCACTTGCATTTTTTTGGAAATGTTCATACCATTTAATAAATTACTCCATTTTTAGGCTGTAAAAATTATTGGTTAGTATTTCTCGGAAAGGCTAGCAAATTTACTGGTGCACTTATTAGTACTGATCATTGCCGTAAGACCATGTGCAGCAATGGTCAGGAAGCAATTGTAATAACTAGTGTATGATTTCTAATAATAGTTCAGAGTTTAAATCCTAATATACCACTAACTTTACATTACAGGGAATGGGCTGTCTGAAAGAGCTGTAGAAATAATACTTGCAGTTACTTTATGTATACTCTCTATTGTTCTCCTTGTGGCTGTAATTTATGCATTTGCAAGGTAAGTACTTATCTAGGTACAATAGATATTTTTTAAGTTTTAGAGGTAGAATTTCTTATTAATTGAAATGAATTATATTTTTAAATTCATTGACAAATAAACATGTATTGTTATAACTTTCTATCCAGCAAGGAATACATTATAACCAGGGATCATAAACTTTATTCAACAATTTATAAGCATTGTATAACTACCTAATCAGCAAACAGAATGAGATCTAATTTATGAGCTTTCAAAGACAGAAGACAAGAAGGTTAATGCCACTTCTCCTGCAAAAATGTCTTCCCTTGCAGGTCTTGCTACACTCTGTTATTCTTTCTAACACACATTCTTTAGGGAAAGAAGTGAAGTGACGATCTCTTAGTTCTCTGTCCTAATTCAACCCAAACCAATTTTTGGTGGTGTCAAGAGTAGATCTTGGGGGTGGGGGAATGAAAGAAAACAAGAGTGAAAGCATATTGATTGCTGGAAGAAACAGTAAAAATCTTGTATGAAAAAAATGCAAAAATTACTTTGAATTGAATAGTTTGCAAAGAATATTAAATAGTGTAGGATGCAACAAGGAGCATGTGTCTGGAACTTAATCAAAATTAAGTTGTCTTTGACAGGAAAACCACAAATACATAAATGACTAAAAATTAGAGCAACAAGGTGAATTTTTGAAATTTGGTAGTTTACTAAAGAGAAAATGGATGGAGAAATTTAAAGATATGAATATGCTGGTAGAAAGGCTGTGGGTTGTACTGTCTGGGGTCTATTGATAGAAATATATATTGCTGAAGGACAGTAAAATGTGATGCATAACAGCACATTTATGTATGTGTTATTGTATAAAAGTAAGAATGGTGTTTGTCAAGAGGAACATAAAACAAATGGAATGCACTGGAAATAGGGTACTTTTAATAAGTGTTTATGGAAAAATAAGAGACAAACTTAAGAATAAATAGATGCTAGTGGATGTGGACTGAACACAAAAGTGAGTAACCAGTAAAAAAACAAGTACGTTGAAGTACTTTGGTCATATAGAAGAAACAAAATACCGTACACATTGAACTGCAAACAACTGAAGAAGAGTGAATTAGTGGAGTGGAAGGATAAAATAAAGTTGTATTAGTTTAGAAAGTTAGGTCCAATTGATGCAATTCTTTAAAAAAGGAGATTTTTAAAGAAGTCAGATAATGAACAAAGCAATATACAGATATGGCATAATCAAGGATAATTTGCATCATTTGCAAGAACAGCAGTCAGTGGACAACTGCAGTAAATTATATAGGTGAAAAGCAGTTTTATCCTTTCCTTTTTAAAATTCCTTATTCCTTTTCTGTGCTCTGTATAATGATGCCCATGTCAAAAAGTGTATGCAATGCATGTACATGTATACACTTGTATACATGTAAATCTATGTGTATACATGTAAATACGTGTATACATGTAAATCTACGTGGTCGCTAAGAGTCAGCACCAACTTTATGGTGCATAATCAATTGTGTATCTATATATCATATAGGTTTATTTAAAAATCCTAGTGTAGAGATCACTGTTTTCTTTATGTTACTGGAAAACTGAAAATTCTTTCTAATTAAAGTGCAACCAATTTTGGACAGCTAGAAGGCAACTTTGAACATTACAATTGATTACAACTCAGTTCTAATCAAAGACCAATAAGATAGTACTGACAGGAGAAATCAGTATGACTATTGCCAGGTGTATACACAGCTGATGTAACAGCAGAAAATGAGGGTAGGAGTTATTTCTTATAGTATCATCGATAATTTTTTTTTTATTTCTTGCTATACTGCTAAAATTGAAACATTAATGTTTATTATATACAAATAAATGAAAAACTGCTATTTATTTGGAGTGCAAATCTTTATAATGATATCACATCTCCAAAATTTAAAACATAAAAAACAACAAGCATTTTTATATTTTTATTTTTCCTTTTATTAAATAGCTATAGCATAGTTTCCATATTTCAAGGACCTTGTAAATTGAAGTGTGATACTCTGCTAAATCACCTGGAATGAGTTACATTAAAATCCATTCTTTATAGTTATGCATTGGAGAACATGTTTCAGAAATGCTCCAGTGAGGTTGAGGTTTATGAATAATATTAAATATTGTATCTTATTCAATATCCTTTGTCTTTGGTTTAGAATTCGTCAAAAGCAAAAAGAAGGGGGTACATATTCTCCACGGGATGCAGAAATTATTGACACTAAATTTAAACTGGACCAGTTGATCACAGTGGCAGACCTGGATATGAAGGATGAAAGATTTACACGGTAAGCAAACTCTTTAGGCAAAACAGTAGTTCTGGAGGTCTGAAGCCATGACCCTATTGTGACCTTTTACTTGTTTAGAAGTATTTGCGGTATTCTTATTTGCACAGGTCACAAAGATCCTCTTTCAAAGAGTGACCTCCAGACACTTCTCTCAGGAATTTAGATAATCATTTGGTCTTCCCCATGTTGGGATAAGAGAGAAGGGTGCCTTTATGTATCATGCCCTGCTATTACACATTATATTCCTAAAATGAAGTGTTTTTGATATAGAAATGTGAAGGCACTAATAATGCTCTGTTATAGTGTTGGTCTCAAAGTAATGCAATAACATATTGCTCTCTGCTATTGATAGTATCTCTGAAATCGGTCAGCAATCAAGTTCAAACTATAGCATGATACACATATTCTGGATTTGTTTCAGGAGATCAGAATTCGTGAATAATTTTGACCGTATGGATTATTTCAATCTAACCTTCTTTACCAGATTGTTCTGAGATTTAAGTAAAAGAATGAAGGAAGAAAGAAAATTAAAAGGCTAGATTATAACAAAATATTTTATATTACTCTTCAAAAGTGTTTCTGCAGCATCTTCTACTGAAGATTTTTTTGCCACTAATTCTAATGAATCTACTTAGAAGTAAAATATATGTTAATCTATTTTTACTTAACTTAGCAAGATATTGCTGCTATCATTTGCAAGATCTGTGACAGAACACAAAAGACCTCATATGATTAGGTGATCCACCAAGATTTTGGCAACTTAAACTTTATGAATTTACTCTTATATAATTTGGGAGTTTTATATATATCTGAGAAAGAAGACACAGGAAGTTATGCCAGGATGACTAGTGATGCTACATTGCCATGCTTTATGTGATGGCTCCCAAAACCTTTCCTACTGGTATAGTTCTCCATGTAAAGAGATTGAGAACTACTAATTGCAAATTACATTGTAGGTCAGCAAATATTTTGACTATGTTTTTAATATGACCATGTTATATGTTGCAGTATTAAAGAAGATTAATGTGGAAATTTCATTAAATATATTTATTGATTTATTTCAGAAATTTACATGGGTGCCCATTCTGGGCAAAATGGTGATACCCGTCTTTCCCTGAAAATAAGACCCGGTCGTGTTTTCTTTTGGGCTACAAAATAAGCACTAGGGCTTATTTTCAGGGGATATTTTTTCCCCTTTGTTCTTTAAGAGTACATGGGAGGTCCATTTCTTCTGTTTGGTTGTTGCGGGACAGGAGGCCACATGGCACACCAGTGCCACTGCTGTGAGTCAGGGAGTAGAGCTGCCCCATAAACCCCATACTGGCTTACCTCAGGGCCCCCGCAGCCAGGCCATCCATGCCCCAACACCTGCTTCACCTCACAGCCATGACACCAACACATCGCTTAGCCTCCTACGTTGTGGTCGTGTGAGCCGGCGCCCACATATGGGGCTGATGGATGGGGCTGATGGAGCTGCTGCGAGGCAAGGCAGGTGTCGGGTTGTGGATGGTCTGACTGCGGGGGCCCTGAGGTAAGCCGGTGTGGGACAGGCGGGCAGTTCCACCCACAAGCCTCACGTCATGGCCCTAGCACCACAACCACCCAGGCCGAATGGGAGGCCAGCCAGTTCTGCAGGCATTTAATTAGGGCTTATTTTGGGGGGTAGGGCTTATATTACGTGCACGGACAAAAACGTGGTACAGCTTTTTTGAATAGGTCTTATTTTTGGGAAAACACAGTAACTCCTATTAAAATGAAGGAATCTAAATTCACAACTCTAACTTGTAAATTAGCAGTCTTCATGTTACCATTCCTGAAAAAATACATCAATTTAGCAGTTGAATTAGCAGGAAAAACTGATGATTTAGCTATCCTTCCTCAATAAATGTCATTACTTCAAATAATAGAACAGAGACCTCAGTATTGAATTGAACTTAATACTACTGACAGGTTATTTTAAGTGAAGGAGCAACATTTTGGAATTTGAAAATGAAGAAATATTTTTTTGGAATACATGAATGTGCCCCATCATGCAAAGGAATCAGTAAAATGCTTGACATTTTAACTAATGCATTAATGACCAGGATCTTCCCCCAGGTCAGGGGTCGGCAACCTTAAACACTCAAAGAGCCACAAAAGTCCTAACCAGAAGTCCGGTTCCCCCATCATAGTCTCCTCCTAGCACAGCATCCTTTTTCCTCTGCTGACTGGAAGTCCGGTTTCCCCATCATAGTCTCCTCCTAGCATGGCATTCTTTTTCCTCTGCCAACTGGACGTTGATTCCTCACCAAAGAGTCTCCTCCTAGCGCGGTATCCTTTTTCCTCTACCTGTCCTAACCGAAAGCCCTATCAATTGTGGAGCTGACCAGCAACAGGGAGCTGCAGCAGAGGGATGAAAGAGCCACATACGGCTCCAGAGCCACGGGTTGCTGACCCCTGCCCCAGGTAATAGGAACAGGAAATTAAATCAGACCTGTTGCTGGATTGTTATTTAATCTGTATAGATTAATATCATATTTTTAGACATGAACATATGTTAAGTTACATATTATCATTTTTGCATCATACTTTGATGATTTTAATCCTTTGTGCACTGCCCAGTCACCCATTGTAAAATCGATGGATATAAATAAACCAATAGATGGCTTGTTTATAAACAAATAGTCAACAACAGAAAACTTTCATTTTGGTAGGCAGTCAGAAAACCCTTTTAGCCCTGTCAGTTTTACACTTAATTTCTATCTCAATGGTGCATATTATCATGAACAACTGTTCATTTGAATAAAAAAGCTGATTTCTATCTGAGTACTTAATTACAAGTGGCTTTTGTTTCCAGATATTCCTCTTTTTTCTTCAGACGCAAGGAGATATTTATCATCCAGTAAGTTACTGCATGGCTGAAGATTCAATGTGTGGTTTCCAGTGTGATGTGTTCGCTTGCGTGATCCTGGGTTATGCTGATTTTTATTTGAAATAATACTTTTTTTAGCACTTCAGATGAACTTTGTATCAGTTCACTAGTGATGACATTGGTTTTGGTATCTTGCAGAGACAATGCAGGGTTTTTCCTGATGACATAAAAAATCAATTTAATCATTATTAGTGCTATAATAGTACATGCATGATTCAGCATAATATTCTATATCTAACCTGACCACCCTCCCCTCCCCCAAGATATGGTGTTTGGTACCCTGGCTTGGATAAATCAATTTGCTGTTTTATAATTACAACAACAATTGAAAGCATATAATGCAACAAAAAGAGCCCTCAGGAAATAAATAATATATAAGTCAAAGGCTCACACTATGACCAAAAATAAGTATGAGAGAAAAGGAAGCATTGTTTGTATGTATTTTTGTTATTGTTGTTGTTGTTGTTAAAGCACTATAAACAAAATTACATTGTGGAGACCCAGGCAAATCCTGAAGCAATAATTAATTTGTTGTGATATGTGAAAATATCATCTAAAAAGGCCTTCTAGGTAGAACCCAAATACTTTATTTCTATTGAAGTTATAGAAAAGTTGGATTCAAATTTCATATATAGTATATTTCAAGTTTAGCAAGCTTGGATTGACCATTGACCAAAACATCTTTTAGTTTAATTCTCATTTACTCCAATTTTCCTACTAGAAATAAAAGACAAATTCTAGATGATATTGTGAATAATGATAATCAAGATTCAGAATTTCATAGTGCAATTTTCCTAATTTGCAATTTTAGATTTCCCAGAATCTAAAATTCTAATCTTCTTTACAGAAATACTTACAGGAGTATCCAGGAGAATCCTGGCTAACCAGATAACCACAAATCCATAGGGTTGGAAAACAAATATCATACAGACTTATGCTCAAATGTCATTTAGAATATGTTAGAAGAAAAGAGACAGGGACTGCCATTTTCATGTAGACATAATTTAATTCATAATGGAGAAATTTTTAGGAGCTTTTAGGAGACAAATAATTTATTTAATATAATGTATAACATTACAGAATTTCATGACTTGATTTCAAGACAGAGACAGGCAATCCAGAGTGAAAGATTAGGCTAAATGTTTATATTTTTGTTTGCTTTGGTCTTTTCTTGTTTTGAATTTGACAGCAACTAATGACAGTAATAAATTGAAGTTACAAAATTACAAACGAACAAATTCAGGATTATTCTAAAAGCATTACTTTACATTATTAACACACGTGTTTTCAAAATTATTCTTTTGAATTGTAAAAAGCTTGTAAAGTGCTGAGATCATTCACAAATGATCTATGGAACCTATTCATTTAAATATCATAGATTGCTATGAAATAGTTTAAAGTCTAAACGGTGGGAATGAAAAAAAATTATAAAGACTTTCAGTAAGGAACAATTATTCTATATTGTTCTTAAAGAGACAGACCAATGAAGATCTTAATTAACTTGTTAATAACATTTCCATTGCTATTCCTAGCAAATACTCATGTTGCTTATGAGTTAAGCCTTTAGTCTACATATTCATTTCTGTGGGGTCTTTTGAACAAGATATAATTCCCAACAGTTTTTAAGTGATTGACCCAGAGCGTAGTGCCGGTCACCATTGCCAACATAAATAAATGGCTTCTGTTGATTCTATATCTAGACAAATAACTTGAATCTGGGCAGGGAAGAAAATCATACTAGAAGTGAAACTGAGCCTAGGCTCCAAGGCTCCATCTATCTTTCAAGATGTGATTAATATTGCAAGCTCTGATAAACTGTTGTTGTATATAGAATAGATTTGATGATCCAAATGTTTTCCCAAAATTTGATGGGAGGCTTGTGGGCTAAAGTAGTTTGATTTCCTGCACAAAGCTGAAACATCTTGCAGTTTTGTTGTTTGCAGTTATGTTACAATATCAGCATTGGGTGAATTGGATAGTTGAAAATAAATCATCTACACAATATTTTCCTTGATTCTGTAACTCAAGCTTTTCTAAGATAAAGTATACCAGATAAGTCCTAACCATTAAAGCCAGAAGAATCAGGTTGAACAAAGCTTCTGTAAATCTTATTACTGAGTGCTTAGCAAATTAGCATTTCTTTTAGTCAGTGTGTCTGTAATCATTACATAATATATTTACTCAATATAACTTAATCCCATTCTAACCTCCTATAGAACCTGATAATCTTAATCATATATCATTTATTGATATATATTAAAGTTTTTAGTGTTTGGGTGCCAATCCAGCTCTGTTTAAGCAAGAGCTTCCTCTTTTAGTAGTTGGTAGGCACTGATTGTCTATTGAAAAGCAGAATGAGAAATCAGTGATTAGTATTTTTAAAGTAAATTGCTTTTATGCAAAGGTTCATGCTCTTATCCTTGATGAAACTTGATCCAGAAATGAAATGGAAGCTTATTCCCATGCAAGTGGTTCATGGTTATATTAAATTTCATTTGTCATAATTTGATATTTTATTATACCATGGTGAAATTGTACATACATTTCCAAGGAATGAAACCCCATCTTAATACAGTGGCACATATTGTCCAGATCAGGTGGCTAGTAAAGCAGGGTGATATAGGAATAAATCCAAGTCTCCTTCGTAAGACTGTCTAATAGAAAGAAATGTTCTTTATATATCAAAAATCTTAGTCTACAAATCTTTCAGTAATTCAAACTGTAATCCTATACATACTTGCCTGTGAATAAGCTCTACTTAATACAATTCAAGTGAAACCCCCATATAATGCAATTCTTGAAACATTTAATTTTCATAACCCAGAATACCTATATTTATAATGCCTAAGCATTGTATTGCATCAAACAAGAATAAAAGATCTAGGTTTACATAAGATGCAACTGTGTATCTGACTCATCAATAAGTAGTAAATAGGCTCACATTCATGCCCTCAGCAGTTCCTGGTTGGATTACTGCTCTACTGCTCTATGCAGGGCAGTCCTTGAATACTATCCAGAAACTACATCCAATCCAGAACATAGCAGCATGTATAGTTCTGGCCAGAGATGGTTTCTACTTACCTTTACTACTGGTTTGCAATGGGGCCGCGCACACACTCTCGCTTCGGGTCAGTGGGCAGAGTCTCCTGCCGGTTTTACTACCGGTTCTTGCGAACTGGTACGAACCGGGGCAACCCACCACTGGTTCTGGCCCACCACACTAGTACTGGACAAGCTGCACTGGGCTTCCAATTTATTTCTAGGTGCAATTTAAAACGCTCATTATCACCTTCAAATTTCCTAAGTGACATGGAACTTGCAGGAATGACTGTCCCTGAGGGTATCAGTGGCTCATTATGCTCCATTCTAAGTCCTGTGCCATTCATCCTCTGATCACATGATCCAAAGTGAAATATATGCAGCTCACTTTATACTTTAGAGCAGGGGTGTCAAACTCAATTTCATTGAGGGCCGTATCAGGGTTGTGTTTGATCGGGGGGGGCGGGTGTGTGGCCAGGATTGGCATGGCCACCTCAACATCACTCATCGAGGTTCTGTTTTTGACTGCAACGGCTTTCTGCAGCCCTCTGCCAGTGAAAACGGAGCGTGCGGCTTCCCCGGGCCTCCATTTTTGCTGGCAGAGAGCTGCAGGAGGCCATCGCAGCTGAAAACAGAGCCTGGGTGGGCCTTGCATGGCCTCCCTGAGCTCCATTTTTGCGGGCCAGTCCTTCACTGTTTCCAGGGCGGCCCTGTAGGCCATATCTAAGCACTCAAACCTTGAGTTTGACACCCCTGCTTTAGAGAAACAACCTAAGAGAAAAACAGAAAAAAATAGCATGCATGATACACATTCATGCATAATACTTTAGTCATTCCATGTGCACACTTAGGAAAAAAATACAGGCCCCCTCCTGAAATTCTTAAAATCATCTACTGAAATCAGGTTATGTCATTAGAAAATTCTCAAGCATTACCATTTGTGAATATAATTTTTAGCAAAATGGCCACTATTACATTGCTACTATGTTTTTTATGCTTTCCCTTTTCAATCTACATGCTGTTTACACTGGTACCTTGGTACTCTTCATTAATTGGTTCCCAATTAACGAGTGCCAAACATAGTTTTCCCATACGGAATAATGTAGTGAGTCACAAGGCAGCTGACACCGACAAGTTCTAGCATGTGCATTGAGCACTAAATTTTATAAGTTTCAAAGCAGTTGAAATACCATTGTATTTGTTTAAAATGTTAACAAACATCAATGTAACTGACACCAAGCTAGTGCTCTCAAGATGTGTTGGAATCTGTGAGTTGCAATCCCACACATCAGGAGATCACCAAATCAGGAAAGGTCTACCAACATATTATCACATACCTAAATAGTACAAGAAAGTACCTTAACCTAGTTTAAATATAGTAAACATTGACCCTTTAAAAACTGAGACATCATACTGAAGCATAGAGATTAAGAAAGTATAAAACTTAGAAACTCTCTCTGAATGACATATAACTTAGTTAGAGAGGAGTAACTAAATTGTGAAAAATTTACCCCACCTGCAATAGGGATAGTGTTAGTTTGGGGCTGATTGAGGCTAAATAACCTCACATACCACACTATATCATTCACAAAAGCCAAGACAGTTAACATTAACTGCGTCTTCCACCTATAGTGGTCTTGCTATATTTCTTAAGGCAGTCTATCCTTTTTGTCTTGCAAAAAGAATTTAAAATAATTTATATTGGCACCGTTCTCATAAAAATGAAATTTAAAGAACTTCTAAAAAGTGAACCATTCAAAAATATTTAATGTTGTTTGACTCCTTACTTCCAACTTTGGTGAGTCCACAATCAATTTAGACTGCAAAAAGTTGCCTAACTCACAATTTGCAGCTTCTTATTTAACACAATCTCTGTTACAGGTTACTTAGTTATAGAAAATCCATCAGGTAAGTTGAGTTTTATACTGTGTCTAGTCTGATGAATTGAAATGTGTGATATATATTGGTATACTTATTAGAAAAAGTTCCAAGCTGTGTATAAATCATAAAAGCATGACCAATTGCATGGTAACTGGAGAAATGCTTTTTCTCTCTCTGGGGTGAAGCCTGCATGTCTGTGTTTTAGCTTGGCAAGTAATATAGGGATATTTAACTCCTAGGGGTTTAAAAACCATGTCATTATGGGAATGAAGTCACTGCTATATTTTATGTATCTAAAGCCCTGCATTGTATAAAATGGTTTCTGTGTGACAAAAGAAGCATTATCTGCTGGATTTGAACTGAAGGGTGATTTTACAAATGTGCATAAATATCAAAAGATTGCCTTTGGGAATAATCACATTTGTAAAACAGTTTGTAGACAACAGTTGCAGGCTGTCAAATAATATAAAATTTAAGATGGAATTCTGTTATTTCAAAAATGTTCCAGATGTAAACTAAGTCTTTTCTTTTTAATTGTTTTATGTGCATAAAAATGATAGGTTAACTTTCCAATAGAAATGTCTTTATTTTAAGCCCCAAATGATCAATTTCCCCCTTTTATTTCAAGGCCAATAGGCAAGAAATGTTTTCTGCAACATGTTGAAGATCTGTGCACAAATAACAACATCAAGTTTCAGGAAGAATTTTTGGTATGTTACCAACAGTTATCATAACATGCAAAGTCTCCACTTGTTTCATGTGTCACATTTGATGTATTTTGATCATTAGTATTCAATAAATAATTTGGTCACATTTAATATTTTCATATGGAAAGCAGGGTTATATACATATTACTTCTCATTCCATTTGATCAGAAGAGTTTATACACTCATCCTCCTTATTCCTACTAGAGAAAACTTTCCCTCATTGTTACTTGCATTCAAACAAAAAAATTAAAGCTATTCATTTTATATTCGCATAGGAAATACAATCTACTCATTCTATATTCTTTTAATATTTTCCATTTTAGCTGACTTCCTAACTTCTCTGAATATATTCACAGTATGCAGCATAAATGATTCAAGTAAAAACTTTAGTATATTGTACTCCAGTATAAGCATAAATGAAGTCTTGTGGATCAAAGTCTGTTGTCTTTGAAAGCAGTGGGATTCTTTGTAAAAATCTGTTGGGAGACTAAAGCCTTGTAGCAATTGGTTGACCACTGCTGAGCTAGATTGGCAGGACATTGATTATATTGCAAGAAGTGTTGTGCTGAAAATTTCTTCCAAATCCCATTCAGTTTATTAAAAAAAAATCCATCCATCCTTACTTACTTACTTACTTACTTATTTACTTACTTACTTACTTACTTAAGTTTTATGGTTCTTAACACATATTTTATGAGGCTGTTCCATCACCCGCATCTATCCATAATTTTCCCTCGAACAGCCTACAGATTCCTTGACTTTGTGCTTCAATTAAATATCAGAGGAACTGAAATTTGAAAATTGATTTAGATCAAGAAATGTGTGCAGCTTGAAAACTGCAGAGGGAAATATAATAAGAAACTACAACTACCTCCTCCACTATCACTTAATAAAGGAATTGCTAATTCTAAGGCAACCTAAAAATAAGGTGAAAGGTCAGGAGTCTCTTGATACAAATGAAAATCATTGTGAAAAAGGAAAACATATTTTGGTACAGTATTAATTAGAAGTGGTGATGCTACTATACTTCTTGCGGAGTGGTGGGTTTCAACTGGTGTTACCACTGGTTTGCTTCATGCACGCGCTTCACGCATGCATGCTAAACTTGAATTCCACGCAAGTGCAGTGTATTAAGGAACAGCTGAGACGCGGCAATCTGCTCTGCTGCGCCTTTCAGCTGGGCTAAAAACGACCGAATATAAGGTATGTATAATGCAGGGGCGGGCAGAGGGCCAAGTTAACCATCAGAACTAGTTCGCTCTCACCTCACCATCTCTGCTACCGGCTTGCCCGAACCGGGGAGAACCGGTAGCAACTCACCACTGTTCCTGTGTGCTTTTTTTTGCTGAAAACATGAGTAACCTAAAAGTCATAGCAACATATATATTATTTTATAGGAACTCCCCAAGTTTCTTCCAGATCTTGCGTTAACTGATGCTGATCTTCCTTGGAACAAATCTAAAAATCGTTTTCCAAACATCAAACCATGTACGTAATTGTTTTACTGATTATATTTTTCTGAAATTAATTTTTAAATACTGCCAGGTCAAAATTGCTTGTATCTTTTTTGATTATACAATCTGATGGATAAAGCCATTTCTTTACTTATTTCCTAAAGAAAAATATTTCATGTGGAAATTCCAGAATTTTAATTTTGTTATGAAGTAGATGAGAGATGTGTAAATATATTGTGTCTTCCATTGTACTATCATCTCTGCAACAGTCTATTATATCTCAAGTAAAGGGAGGATATCATAAAAGAAGTCCTCCCTTGGGACTTTCTCAGATTAGGCAGGCAGAGAGTCGGTGGATTAGTAGAGAGATCTGAAGCAGCAGATTGTACACTGCAGTTGCAGGACAGGAAATAATACAGCCTCATGGTTTCTTGGCTTTGTAATATAATCTATCCTAATTATTCTTCTTGGGCTGTGTACTCTGGAGTAAAATAAAGTTATCTAAAAGTGCTGGATCCATCTCTGGGTATGTTCACTTTTTCTTTGGAACATGATGATGCTTTCTTAAGATACTTGTAAATGTGGTATGTAGCTGATCGAGGAAAGATCAGAGTAAATATATAGCAATTTAGAAATCGAGGATAGATTTTATCACAGGAGTCAGGAGTCTGTCTCCCTCTGTAGTCAACACTGCTTCATTTTTCACTTATTAAGAAAAAAAATGCTATTATTATTTTAAGCATTAGCTGTGATGTGAGATGGGGACAATGCATTCTTTGGTTAATGTAGCCACATTCTGTGCTATTAAGTGTTGAGAACAGCTGCTCCTACTATCTGCTACTAGTTCAGGAAATATTCTGTGCTCAAGTTGACCTGAGCTAATATGCCTAAAGCAGTATCAGAATGCATACTCAGAATTTATCTCTTTTTGGACATATACTCAAAATTCTGTGCTTCTATTGCATTATTTATTAACATATGCATTCAGCCAAGATTCAGTTTGATTTTGCAATTTAGTTTATTCAAAATCAGTTTGAATTAATTTTGTTCAATGATTACATTAAATAAAAGTATCTGTATCCAAGCAGATCAGCTCAATGAATCATGAGTTAGATACCTGCTTTAATCCAATAATTGAATAGATTCAAATAGGTTATTTGATTGAATCTTCTTCTAATTGAAGCTTTGTATAATTCTATTTTTTCTGCCATTCCAGGATGCTTCATAGTAATATTCGTTAATATTCAGTTGGAAACAAATAACATACTCAATTTTGAATGTGTTCAGGAGAACCACATAGAAACAGAGAAATATATAGATTTAACTTTAGATGGGAAAACCAGCACAGAATTCAATTTTCCTTCCCACAGGCCCATGTCTGCGTGCGGAGGGAGAGAGAGAGATAGAGGGAGGGAAAGGGTGAGAAAGAGAGATCTTTTTCTTTCAGTGTGTGAAGAGGCAAAAGTTGTAAATTAAAATGTTTATCTAAAAGTCTTCTTTGTTAATGGGTATTTGCTTGATTCTGTTAAACCCAACAATGGTTTTAATGGTTAAAAATAAAACTGAAAGAAAAAAATAAAATTTAATATATATTATATATGCATGTATGTAAAGAGATGGCAAGTTGTTTCAAGTATGATGTTAGCATATCATTAAATGTCATATTTCCTAAAATTGTTTATCTGTATGTGCGTGTACATATATGTACATAGATACACTGACTATTATCTGCCTATCTACCCATATATTCATCCATTGAAACTTTGGAAAGATGCTTTGATTTAATTTCTTTTGCACAGATAATAATAATCGAGTGAAGTTAATGCCTGATGCTTGTGTACCAGGATCTGATTATATTAATGCCAGCTATGTATCTGTAAGTTTATAACCATTATAAATTGTAACTACATTCTTTTCCATGCCACTTGGTGATTTAGAAAGAAACATATTTTTATGGGGAAAATGCATGAATTTTCTTTTACTCCAATACAGTTACAGACTAACTTCAATCATCATCATCAGATTTTTATTTTATTCATTCGATTCATATGGAAAACAAAATAGATTATTGAATATCTTGAATTATACTATAATTGTATATTTCAGTTTTCAAGAAAATGTTCCATGATTGCCTGTTCCATCCGTTCATAGAATATTTTACTTTCTTCAGCTTTTAAGCTCTAGTATGATTATCATATTTCAGCTAATCACCTAGACTAGTTTTGGGCTTTTGAGTACATGGCAATAAGACCAAGCGCTTATTTCAGGGTTCAAAAAAATATAAGACAGCGTCTTATTTTCGGGAAATACAGTATATTTCATTTTTTACCCAAAGTTCAGTTACCCCATTGATTTTTCCCCATTGTTATAAAATTTCAAGAAGTGTTACATCTCTAATATTTTATCATGGTGATTTTATATGCAAGCTTTGTAGAAATGTAGTTTTGAAAAATCCCATTAAGGAAAGAAGGCAAATCTATAATAGAACATAACATTTGAAAAGAGACAGATGTTTTGCAATATGTTACAGATTTCAGGGGGCGGGGTTGTGTTGGAAGCATCAATGTGCTTCTGTGGAAAAGGATTTGCCAGTGTCATCATCGTTGCCTGAGGAATGCCCAGTTAGAGATGTGAAGTTGCCCACTGAAATGGCAGATGGAGATGAAACATGTGATGAGACCTTACCCCACCCCACGCAGCAACAGGTTTTGAACATAAGCCTGCTGATTGGCAGTGCAGCATTCTAATCTCATGAGCCACTGCGGTCCTTAGATTTTAGATGTTTAATGTCTAATCATCACCATTTTCTAAACTACATATATAGAAATCCAAGGAATGTAGACCAGTTAATTAATAGCTATTAGAAATATGTATTGTATTCAGGGAATATTCAGGAAGGGTAACGTTGAATTACATGCAAGAAGACATGTTAAATATTTTACTAAATATATAGTTGAATATGATCTTTCCTCTTTTTTTTCTTTAGTAATATGTACTAAGTTTCATTTTTACCTTAGGGCTATTTATGTCCAAATGAATTTATTGCTACTCAAGGACCATTACCAGGCACAGTGGGAGATTTCTGGAGAATGGTATGGGAAACAAGAGCAAAAACTGTTGTTATGCTAACTCAGTGTTATGAAAAAGGGCGGGTAAGTTACCAATATATAGATTATGAATGTATTTGAAGACTCACTATTATTATACATTCATTAAAATAATGGTATGATTTTATAAAACATCATATTGCACCTTGACTGCAGATAAGATGCCATCAATATTGGCCTGAAGATAACATTCCAGTTACCGTCTTTGGAGATATAGTGATTACTAAATTAGTGGAAGATACTCAAATAGACTGGACTATTAGGAATCTAAAAATTGAAAAGGTAAGAATAGATTTTATTTAAACTTCCATATATTCTGTGAAAATTGTAATCTGTCTACAGCTGTAAAGTCTGACAACACATCTTACTCTTGGGATAATTGTTTAAATTTCTTGATTAATATATCATGGCTTTTATGATTCCCAATATTGTGATGTAATCAGATTATTTTCTGTAAAGTTAGAAAATAATATTTAGCTATTCTTTTGCCTTTCCTGCTGTTGTACTATTTTATTTATTTATTTATTTATTTATTTATTTATTTATTTATTTATTTATTTATTTATTAATTATTGCGATTTATATGCCGCCTTTCTCCCTAGGGACTCAAGGCGGCTTACAAAATGACAAATTCCAATACAAATCACAATGAAATAAATTAAAATCAACAACCCTATTAAAAACAGTATAGTATAAAAATGATAATTACAGAAAAAATATTATGAGAGTTTATTTTCTGGGAAATTGAAATCCAAAGAGCAAGTTATGAAAGTATATTCATCACTATAATATTTTAATTTGTTGGCATGAAAGAGTTATAAATCAAAAACAGATAAATGTTCACTACCATTACCCAGACATAGAGGGTCATAATGAAGAGAAAAAATGTCCATTAAATTAAAATATCACTTAGTTAATATGATGCAAATTATGCTGAATTATATTGGCTGTGGCTTTTACAGATGCTTTGCAATGCGCAAAATGTCAGTTTGGTTGACAATAACTTATGAAAAATATTCAGAAATTTTATATTTAAGAATCAGTAAACTAGGTGGTTTCATTTCTGTAATATTCCCAGTGATTCTATGATGTCATTGATTCTTGAATTCTGTATCAAGAGTCAACTGTAGTATGTCCTATTAACAAAATCAAAACAATGAGTACAAAATGAGGAACTTTCTGACAGTGAGAACAATCAACCAATGGAACAGCTTGCCTTTGGAAGTTGTGGGAGCTTCATCACTTGAGACTTTCAAGAAGAGATTGGATTGCCATTTGTCAGAAATGGTGTAGGGCAGGGGTGAAATGTAAAATGTGTTACTACCGGTTCTGTGGGCATGGCTTGGGGATGGGGGTGGTAATGTGACTGGGTGGGCGTGGCCAACTTTTTTTTTTAACTTTTCAAAGCATTTTTTCTAATGCTTTGAAAAGCCTCTGGCGATCAGGCAACTCAGCTGGGATCGTCAGAAAGGCTTTTTTAAAAATGCTTTGAAAAGTCTCTCTGCCGATTAGGCAACTCAGCTGGGATCGTTAGAGAGGCATTTTAAAAAATGCCTCTCTGCCGATCAGGCAACTTCGGCCAAGAGGTTGCAGAAAAAAATGCTTTGAAAAGCCTCTGAGGATCCCAGCTGAGCCGCGCAATCATCAGAGGCTTTTTTTTTTACTTTTAAAAGCATTTTTTCATCAGAAGAGGTTGTAGAAAAAATGCTTTTAAAAGTAATAAAAAAAAAGCCTCTGATGATCGTGTGACTCAGCTGAGTATGGTGGGGGGTGCAGGGATTTTTGCTACCGGTTCTCTGAACCACCCACCGCCATCGCTACCGGATCGGGTGATCCGGTCCGAACCGGGAGCATTTCACCCCTGGTGTAGGGTTTCCAGTGGTGAAATGTAAAATTTGTTACTACTGGTTCTGTGGGTGTGGCTTGGTGGGAGGTAATGTGACTGGGTGGGTGTGGCCAACTTTTTTTTTACTTTTTTAAAGCATTTTTTTACAACCTATTCAGCCAAATAGGTTGTTAAAAATGCTTTTAAAAATAAAAAACAAGGCTCTGAAATCACAGCTGTGCCTCGCGATCGTCAGAACCTTTTTTTACCTTTTAAAAGCATTTTTTTACAACCTATTCGGCTGAATAGATTGTAAAAAATGCTTTTAAAAGGTAAAAAAAGAGGCTCTAACAATCACAGCTGATTGTTCATGATCATCAGAGCCTTTTTTTACCTTTAAAAGCAGGAAGTAATGACACCCGGGCAGGTGGGTGGAGCCTCGCGCCATCATTGCTACCGCTTCTCTGAACCACCTGCCACAATCGCTACCGGATCGCCCGATCAGGTCCGAACCGGGAGTATTTCATCCCTGAGGGTCTCCTGCTTGAGCCGGGGGGGGTTGGACTAGATGACCTATAAGGTCCCTTCCAACTCTGTTAATCTGTTAAATTCCTGTTAAAATTAATGTTCCATTCCAAGGAATAATTACTGGTTGAACTGCTTATCAGGCTGCTGTAAACAATTTAGGCATTTAAGTGTACAAGACTTAGACGCCTATCTTTTTAGATTAAAAAATATCTTAATTGAGTGCCACTAAAAAAATCCAATTGTAGTTTATCCCAGTATGAATGGCCTCTCAAAGGGTAACTAAATACTCCTCTAACTCTAAAAAAAAGTACGTTTCTTTACGTATCTTAACAGCATGGGGATTGTATGATGGTACGTCAGTGTAATTTTACTGCCTGGCCTGAACATGGAGTACCTGAAACAAGTGCATCATTAGTCCACTTTGCAAAGCTGGTCCGAGGCAGCCGATCACATGACAACACACCCATAATTGTTCACTGCAGGTAAGCAGATTTTTAATAGATCTCATCATGTTAAATCATGGGATTAGTTTATTAGAACAGAAGCCAGAAGTAGTATTCAGCAGGTTCTAACCAGTTCTGGAGAACTAGTAGCAGAAATTTTGAGTAGTTCAGAGAACCGATAAATGCCACCTCTGACTGGCCCCGCCCTCATCTGTTCTCTGCCTCCTGAGTACCAGATGATCAGGAAGAAATAGGGATTTTGCAATATCTTTCCCTGGCACACCCACCAAGCCATGCCACGCCCACCAAGACACACTCACAGAACCGGTAGTAAAAAAATTTGAATCCCACCACTGACAGAAGCAATGGATTGGATTCCAGTATGAAGCACAAAATCTATGTATAGATTAAGAACATTGAAATTTGTGGTGAAACCTATTTAATATACAGCAGACATATTCAAGAGTTCAAAGTTTCAAGGTTTATATAAATCACAGATTGGTAATAGGTATATAATGAATTAGGTATAATACTGTAGCTACCATTATAGTAAAAATCTTAATCTAGAATATAACATTTACCATAAATCTAGAATTGTAGTTAGGTTTAAAAAAAAAGTCCCTTCTGCTTTGACTATATATTATAGATAATACAAAGAATTTACATGATGAAAAGTGATGTATCTTCAATATTATACTTACCTAAGAATAACCTGTTTCCCCAAAAATAAGACATCCCCCGATAATAAGCCCAATTGGGCTTTTGAGCGCATGCGCTAAAATAAGCCTCCCCCCGAAAATAAGCCCTCCTTGAAAATATTTAAACGCAGAACTGGAAATCAGATAAGATGGCAAGAGGAGCCCCATCTTGCTTCACGCACCCCAAAATAATAAGACCTTTCCAGTGATGAAATCCAATTTTTTTTACTACCGGTTCTGTGGGCGTGGCTTGGTGGGTGTGGTGTGGCTTGGTGGGCATGGCAGGGGAAGGATACTACAAAATCCCCATTCCATCCTCACTCCTGGGGGAAGGATATTGCAAAATCTCCATTCCCACCCCACTCTCGGGCCAGCCAGAGGTGGTATTTGCCAGTTCTCCGAACTACTCAAAATGTCTGCTACCGGTTCTCCAGAACCTGTCAGAACCTGCTGGATTTCACCCCGGGACCTTCCCAAAAATAAGGTCAAGTGCTTATTTCAGGGTTCAAAAAAATATAAAACAGGATCTTATTTTTGGGAAAACATGGTGATCATTTTGCAGTAATATTTAGTCAAACTGTAATCTGATTGATTGTCATTATAATTTTTCCATTAAAAGTGCCAGATGTTTCCATGTGTGTTTCACCTCTATTTCTTATAGTGCTGGAGTTGGAAGAACAGGAGTTTACATTGCCCTTGACCATTTAATACAGCATATAAATGACCATGATTTTGTGGACGTCTATGGACTTGTAGCTGAACTAAGAAGTGAAAGGATGTGCATGGTACAGAATCTGGTAAGATGTTTAAGATACATGTAGTGGCTCAGTTCTTAGATTGCAGTGATTTCTCAGAGTATAAGTAACTGTTGTTTTTCTCCTCCTTCTCTCTCTCCCTTACTCCTTTAGCATGGGGGAGAAATATTATGAGGTTGTTGTATCAATTTTATTTGGAATCCACAATGTCACTGAGGTATGAAATAGAAATTTGTTTCTATTTGTATCCATCTTTGATACAAAGAAAGTTGTTATGGTAGGGGAAGGAGCACAGTAGCTCATATGGTTAGAACACTGGATTGACAATTAGCAAGTTTGTATTCAAGACCCAAGTGCTGTTGTGGGACGGGGTGAGCTTCTGTCAGTCTCTCCAGCTCCTGCCTACCTGGCAGTTTTAAAGTGTGCAAACATGAATAGATGAAATAGGTGCCATTTTGGTGGGCACATTAACAGGGACATGAAAGGAAACCCCAATTGGGCATCCCCTGGGTAACGGTGATGTAATCAGCTAATCCTTTCAATCTGGAAGCACCTTAGGGGCTTCCGACACAAATGTGTGCAATGGTAGGAGAGCACTGAAAATAAAAGGAACCATTTATTGTTAAAACCAGCACTTAATATACCCTGTTTCCCCTAAAATAAGACATCCCCTGATAATAATCAGGCTTTTGAGCGCCTGCGCTAAAATAAGACACACACCCCAAAAATAAGCCCTCCTGAAAATATTTAAACGAATGCACAGCTGGTCCCTGCCATTTCGTCTGGTTAGGGTTAGGGAGACAGAGCTGGAAATCAGGTAAGACAGCAAGAGGTCTTGCTCCACATGCCCCAAATTAATAAGACATCTCTGAAAATAAGGCCAAGCATTTATTTCGGGGTTCAAAAAAATATAAGACAGGGTCTTATTTTCGGGGAAGCATGGTAGATAGAGGCAGGAATGATTGACTGAAATATATATAAACTTTCCTCCCAACTTGCTAATGTCAGAAACAGCACTCAAAATAATCCTTTGTCAAAGTTGTATGTTCTTTGCATTCAGCATATCATAGAAGTAATGAATATGTTGCCTGAGGATTGTTCCTCATGTAAAGTGCATTACCTTTAGAAAATATATCTCTGGAGCAAACATATATTAACTAGAAAGATGAGAAACTTTGCTTCAGCCCTAAAATAATAAACATTGGCTCTTCTGAACCTGTAAGCCAATCAGAAGCCACCACTTTGACTTTTTTCCCCTTGTTTTAAGCATACTGGGGGTGGGGGGAAATAAGTAGAAAACTGAGGACCTTTCCAGTCTGAGGAATGTTCCAGTCAATAAAGGTGCCTTGATTTAACTAAAGTCTCGTTTTTTGCTTGGTGGTGCTTGTTTGGTGAATCCAGGAAAATCCTCTTCCTGGATTCATAGATCGTATTATGCCAAACCATGCTAAACCCATGTTGCAAGTGGATTGGACCTGATTTGGGATCCAAAAGGATGTGCTATGTTAAAATATATTAAAATGTAGCACTGCTTCTTGGATCTCGAATCAGGTCCAATCCTCTTGCAACAGCTCTTCAAAGCAAAATGTCCTTTCTCTTTTAGATTAACCCTACTATTGACAGCATATAGGAATCTTGCCATGAGTACTTCCTTAAGGTTTAATGGGTTTGGCATAGTTTTATTTTTATTCACCTGGAAATTCAAATTGGGAGGACACTGTTATTATAGTATACCTAGAGGAATGGTCCTCAGAATTTCAAAAACCAAAATAAAAATTTATCCAAGATTAATTTCTGTGAGACTCTGAAACATTATTCACATATGAATTTACCATTGTGATAAAAACATGGTTTCCTCATCCTGTCCCATCCTCATCCTGTATCCATCTTCATTATATATTCCTTTGAAGCAGCTGCAATAAGTGTGATAGAATCTTATCTAACTAGAATGGCTCTAGAAGAGCTCCAAAATATAAATTAGTTGTAAGATTGTTGTTTTTTCTAAAAGTATCCTGAGTATTAAATTCAAAAATTGCCTCAAAACAAGTTCAGGTTAGCGCCAAAATATCTCTGAATAAAGGTTAACCATTTTTAAATTTCACACTTTCTAGGCACAGTACATATTTTTACACCAGTGTGTTCTGGATTTGCTGACAATCAAGAACAACCAGCCTATATGTTTTGTTAACTATTCAGTTTTGCAAAAGATGGATTCTTTGGATGCAATGGAAGGTATGTAAATGTATTTATATCAATCAAAATTATTTTTTTTAAAAAAATGGTAGTTCATTTATTTGTGGCATATTTAAAAATTATGAGAAGCTTTATTTATATTATTTTATTTGATTTTTTTAAACTTTTTGGATAAAGTCAAAGGCGCCATCTTTGTACACATGACTAAACTCATGAAATTCTATAGTTTTCTTCCTAACCTAATTGTTGATGTTAGCCAGAAGTACTTTCTTATTCAGAACTTTTTTAACTTTCAGCCTAGTTGTTAAGGATATTCTTGGCTCATAATTGATGTTATGGGTTATTGAGCAGAGTACCCCTTGAGTATGCACATGAAAGCGGCTGAGAGTGAATAACTACAGTTAATATACTGACACACTGAATTGTGGTAGTTTTTTACTTTTTAGAAAAAAGTAAAGCAAAGTCCAATAACAATCCAAGTCATACACAGATAAGGCAATAGTTAAAATATCAATTCAGGGATATTCCAAGTACAAAGTCTTCTTACCAGTTGTTGTCATTACACAATAAAATAGTTCTTCTTGAGTTTCAAACAGGAACAAGTTCAGTATTAAAACATTCAATAAACAGTAGAAAGCAACAAGTAGCAATGATCAAACAGTGATCATACAGAGAGAACAGGTAGAGAGTAACAGCAAATAAGCAGATAAAATGGTGTAGTGTCCACAAGCCATGATTCAGGCTTCCCCTTAAGTACATTGGCTACAGAGCTTAGCCAATCAAGATACAGGATGATGCAATACAGTCTTAAAGCAATATAATACCTTTTGACAAACATTTATTGAAAGTTTATATATTGCCTGACCAACTAGTTAGACAATAGCCATTTCCTAACACTAGTCCTCTTTTTATTCATTAATAATGGTATTCCCTGGCTTTATATTTTTATTCAGTCACATGCTTTTGTTCTTGCTCTCTGTATCTTTTCCACAATATACAGTCTATTACCTTATCGTATCATTTTTTCTTCCTTTACAAAACTGGGAGCAAAAGCCCTTCTAGTAAATTTCTTGAAGTGACAACTTTATGAGTTGATAATTTTGGGCCATGTTATAATTCATCAGTATCCAGATTTCTACTGTTATGATAATAAATTATTTCATTGCTCTGTTCATGGAATTGTCCCCAGATGTATCCTGTCAATTCCCGGATCCAATAAAAATACTTTGCTATTGGGGTCCATGATTTTGCCCTTTTATCTTATTGGTGATCTATTGGATACAATTGTTGCCTTAGTTCTGCCAACCTCATTTTTCAGATTATCACCCTATTTTCCCTCTTTGCTTCATTTCTTGTATTTTTACTCAAAACACAAAATGTTTCTTACGTGCCCTTTGATATCTTTTTATCACTAAGTACTTACACATACTTTTGTTTTAATACAATATAGCGTATATTATATAGAGAGAGTATAGTGTGTGTGTGTGTGTGTGTGTGTGTGTTAGTATGTAATTTACAAGTTGAAAATAACAATTAACAAAATTACCATGATGGTTGTTTAAAACAACAACAAGTAGCTTATTCTTCCATTGATAATGGAAGCATAAGAAATCCATGTAATATATTTTAAATACTTACTAAACCTGTATGCGTAATTTATGATTAATATGTAGAAGGTTCAACCAGTATTCTCTTTCTTTTTCAGGTGATGTGGAACTAGAGTGGGAAGAAACTACTATGTAAATACACAGATGAAAATGCATTCCATTTCAGGAAACATACGCTTGTGTTCATGTTGCTGTTGTTTCACAATAGGGGCCAAAATATATCCCCATCATACAAATTATTATAAACAAAAATATTTTTGTAGCAAAATAAAATTATAATAGTTGTTTTATATTCCATGTGCCTTCACAAATAATATAAATTATTAAATTATAATTTTATACTGAGTAAAATCTGATTAGTATAATAAAACTGTACACAATAAGAACAATCCAGCAATATACATTACAATAAAATACACATTGCAAGAGATTCTCAGTGGTTATTCATTTATATTATTTCTCCACTTTTTTCTAACAATAACTAATATAATATTGTAATCCATAATAAACTGCCATCATAATTATATTTTTCAATGCTAATAAGTAATGCAAGCAAAGATATACTATACATTACATACATTTCATAAAAAAGAGGTACCAGTTATACTTTATACCAGTATTACCATATCATATGGATCAACTCTGGTTAGACAAGAAAATCTGTAAATAACTAGGCACCAAGTCATAAAACATTTAAAAAGATAAAACTAGCCACTTTAAATTGCTTCTGAAAATCTATTGGATAGGCAAGGCAGACTATTAATGTCAGTGGTGGAATTCAAATTTTTTTACTACCTGTTCTGTGGGCGTGGCTTGGTGGGTGTGTGGTGTGGCTTGGTGGGCGTGGCTTGGTGGGTGTGGCAGGGGAAGGATACTGCAAAATCTCCATTCCCTCCCCACTCTTGGGGGAAGGATATTGCAAAATCTCCATTCCCACCCCACTCTGGGTTCAGCCAGAGGTGGTATTTGCTAGTTCTCCAAACTACTCAAAATTTCCACTACCAGTTCTCCAGAACCTGCTAAATAGCACCCCTGATGGGCATTAAGAAGTACAATATGCTTTTGAGAATAACTGCCAACCTATGTTCTGAGCCTGAGTGATCTTGGAAAGCCTTATCTATGTAGACCACATCGCAATAATCCAAACAAGTAGTAATAACAGTAATAGAAAACAAAGAAACTAAGATGCTCTGGAACTTTAGAATTCAAACAGACATTCACCTGCCACATAAAACCCCAGACTTAACAATTGTCGATAAAGACCAAAAACCCTGGATAGTGGACATGGCAATACCTGACAGCAGAAGAGAAGAAAAAGGAATGCAGAAAATCACAAAATACAAAGACCTGCAAATAGAAGTAGAATAACTGTGGTAAAAGGAAGCAAAGAGTACCAATACTGTCTGGGCAACTTGGGTACAATCCCAAAACATCTGAAACACCATTTGAAGACCATTGGCATTGACAAAATCACTATCGGTCAATTGCAAAAAGCAACTTTACTTGGAACAGCTTACATCCTGCAATGCTCATTTAATATCAAACAACGTCTGCCTAGTCCAGGTCCTAAGGAAGGACTCAATAAGTGGGCAAAAATGCCAAATCCAGTCTAAACATCTGGATGATTATGTGACCATCCATAGCAATAATAATTCTACATGGTTTCAAAATTATAGCCAGATTCCTCAAATTCCCATGTATTCACAGAAAGAAACTTCAAAAAGATGTCATTCATTTCTAGAAAAGGGATGATAAGTTTAATTCAGGAGTATGCTTTATTCCCCTGGAATAGCCTCCTTGAATGGCAGTTGGCCTCCTTCCTCATGGTCTTCCAGAAACGGGGAACCATGCAGGGGTGGGTTCTAAAATTTTTTACTACCGGTTCTGTGGGCATGGCTTATTGTGTGGGCGTGGCTTGATGGTCATGTGACAATTATTTAGGATTTAGCAGAGGTACTGGTCTACCAGGCTTTTAACTGCTTGCAGAGCTGTACCGATCTACCCATTTATTTTTTGCAGGCACTGATCTACTCATGTATTTTTGCAGGCACTGATCTACTCATGTATTTGTGCAGGCACTGATCTACGCTTTTGTTTTTTTTTTAACACTGATCAGCTGTAGGGCGGCCCTTTGAAGCCCCACGGCAAGAGTTTAAACAGTTTTTTCCCCTCTAGCCATCAGCTGGGACTCAGAGGCAGCAATAGATTGGGGGTGGGGCCAAATAAAAGGTAAGGATAACGTGGGGGTGGGGGGGCACGGGGGTGGGCGGGGCAGGGGGGAGAACCGTTTTGGTGACATCATATCATCACTGCTACCGGCTCGGGAGAACAAGGCTGAACCGGGAGGAACCCACCACTGGATCCATGGCTATTCTGGAAAACTTTGGGGTACAAATTGTTTCCACTTAGCTTTATATTTTATTACTATTTTAATCATTTTATAGATTGTCTTCAAGTTACAACGACTTCTTCAGAAATCATACAAACTTATGATGGAGCAAAACAAGGGGGATTTATGACCAGTCTGCAAAATTTGGTGGTGTTGCACCAAAAACATGTGATTGTGATGTGGACACTTGATGCCCAGCCTGTAATTATATTACAGCAATTTCCAATGTTCCCTTCCGGCTTCCCATCAGCAAAATCAATGGAAAGTTGGCACAAAGTCAGAAATCACTTCTACTCCTGTCAGTTTTTCACCTGCCTGCATTGTATAGTACCTTCCCATGCATTCCTGGCCCTTATGGCACCTGCATATCCCTATGTTCTGGGCTTCTGCATACCAACCGGCACCATGCCACCCCTCACACTCCCTAATGCCTGCACATAGTACCTGGCCACTTCTCCATAACACCCCTATATGTCTTGATCTGCTTGCCTGTGACCCAGGGGTGAAATCCAGCAGGTTCTGACAGGTTCTGGAGAACCAGTAGCGTAAATTTTGAGCAGTTCGGAGAACCGGCAAATATCACCTCTGGCTGGCGAGTGGGGTGAAAATGGAGATTTTGCAGTATCCTTCCCGTACCTCGCCCACCAAGCCACACCCACCAAGCCACACCACACCCACCAAGCCATGCCCACAGAACTGGTAGCAAAAAAAATTGAATTTCACCACTGCTGTGACCCCCCCCACTCTTCGTTAGTAACCCATGCTGTCCTGGGGTTACAGCAGTAACAGAGGCTGCAGGATTGCCATTCCTATGGGATGTGGTCATGTGACATCATACTTTACAACCTCATTGCTTATCAATGGAAATCCCAGTCCCAATTGTTGCTGTAACCCCAAGGGTACCTGTATTCTGATTTTATATCCTAATACATACTTTCTATAAACTGCCTAGAACTTGGCAATTTTGAAGCAGTGAGTTAAAATCGATCAGTCAATCATTTAGCTAATTAATTTCAGATATACCTACATATGAAGATAACAACTGTATGCTATGAAATTACATATTGTTCAACTGAAAAGTTCCTATCTTCATTCTCTCATAAGATTACATGGACCCAGTCGCTGCATTTCAACTCAGTTATCACTTCTGGTGGTTATAAAAGCAAAATTGGAGTGCAACTATTAGGCTCATTCACTTGACCTTCTAAAACAGTGGTCCCCAACCTTGGCAGCTTGGCAGCCCAGCTGAGGGGATGGAGAGGGGAACAGGGTCGTGTGAGTGGCAGCCCAGGGCACGTGCGCAGCTGAACTTGCATGAGGAATGGGCCTGCACAAATGTGCACAAGCTGGACCTGTGCAGTTCATGTGCATGTGAAGAGAGGTAGTATTTTATTCCTCTCCCTCTGTTGAGGGAGAGGTGTTTAATTCTAACATAGATGGATTCTTTTACCCCTCTTTCAAACCAATGGTCCTCTCTGTCCAAAATGTGGACTTTTCTGTCTTCAAATTTTTCTTTGTCTTTCAAACTTTAGCTCATAGCACACAGATCCTGTCACAAAGAACTCTGAACCCATTCTCTTGTAACAGCTTTCTCCAACCTGATTTCTTCCAAAATCTTCAACTTCCATTACTTCCATTTGTCATGCATACTGGAATTTATGAAAATTAAGGTCTATAACATCTGGAAAGTGCCATACTGTGGAAAACTAATTTATTTCCAAATAAACCAAATGCCATATAAAGCATTTATACATCCCAGGAATATACAATTTAAATATAAATTTGTGTCCTTACGGCCCTGAGTTGTGAGTGAAGGCTATTATCTGTAGATGCAACAAATATATTTTGACACAGGAAATGTGAATCACTGGAGTTGATGGTATCTAGGAAACTAGCATTTCTTTAAATATTTGCTCTTTATTATTTTTTTTTATGGGAATTGAAATATTATCTCATAATCCTGAACAGCTGAAAACTCACCCTGTGATGCTATGAATATTCTTCAGCTTTTATGCAGCACACGATAACTTCTCAGGAACAGTTGGGTTTTTGAAGCAATATATGATGATCTGAGATTGTTGGGTTTGTTTTATGCTTCTAAATTCTTGTCATAACACAGGCTTCATATTACTTTTTTCAAAATCATTATATTATGTTGTTTTTTGTATATGCTACTGTTAGGCAGTTTTGTAAACCATTAAGACACATTCACTATGAAATATATGACATTATCCAGCCAAAAATAAATGCATCTTCTCTATGCTTATTTCTGAATTGCTGGAGTGTACTATTAGTAATGGGGGATGTGGTGGCTCAGTGGCTAAGATGCTGAGCTTGTCGATCAAAAAGGGCAGTTCGGGGGTTCGAATCCCTAGTGCCGCGTAATGGGGTGAGCTCCCGTTACTTGCCACAACTTCTGCCAACCTAGTTCGAAAGCAGGTAAAAATGCAAGTAGAAAAATAGGGACCACCTTTGGTGGGAAGGTAACAGCGTTCCATGCGCCTTGACAAATATGATGCTTTACAATTTCCCCATATCTCCTGAGCTGTCTGAGGGGAAGGGGAAAACTCCCAAAATCTGTTGAAGGCAGCCTTGGTGGATAGGAGCCTGCTTCTTCTCTGTCTGTGGCAATTGTTGATTTCCTTCTTCCCCTGACCCACTCCTGTTAACAGGGAAGAAAGTAAGCAGTTTTTCTTTCCCTTTCCCACCTCATAATACACATTATTACAGGTAATCCAAAATGTTGCTCACTTCTTATTCAACTAATCTTAAGAAAGAAATTATATTGCGGGTGTGGGGGGAAATTATTGCCATTGCTGTTTGCAAGCTATTATTAAATTTTAACATGTCTTATAGGAAAGTGAGAAAATGAAACCTTTCTCAATATGAGAGATAATCACTCAGGTTTACTGTAATGTACATTTTAAATTTATTTATTTTTAAAGGCAGCCTTCTCAAAGTGCTGCTTGGGAAACCACATTTCATATGGCCCTATAAAATGTTTATTGCAGGACAAAGTTATCTACTGTCTAAGAAAAAC